AAGACTTTAATATTTATATGATCTGTTCCTGCACAATTTTAATTTAGGTACATCAAATAGTTCATAATAATGTTAATATTTGTTTCCAAACTTACTGTATTTGTGTGAACATTACATTACATAGCTATACGTAGTCGTGCCATAAGTTCTGTCCCATGATAATCTCATGATAAAAATGAAACAAGATAAGATATATTTATATGAAAGATATTATTTATTCGACAACATTTTTAGAATTCATAATCAAACAGTTTTATTCAAAATGTCCCCCCTTGGCCTTCACACACTGCTTCAATCTCGCGGGCCACTCATCTATCACTGCACGCACAGCTTCCAAAGGAATAGCTGCCGCTGATCGGATCAAATCCGCTTTCAGGGACTCGATATTACGGTGGGCTTTGGAGCAGGCCAACTGCTCTAGCAGGTCCCACAACTTGTAGTCTAAAGGATTGAGGTCCGGACTCCCTGAGGGCCAATCTTCCGCAGCAATGAACTGGCACATTGCTTTCCAGCCAGCGCTGCGTACTCTTAGCCTTGTGAGCGGGGGCGGAATCCTGCTGGTAGACCCAGTGTTGGTTGGCAAACAATGTACCACTTAAAGGCTTGACGATAGGATCCAGTATGTCGCTCTGATAGTTTGCCGCTTTTGTTTTCACGCCCTGTTTACAGAAATGGAGCTGAGTGACCCCTTCGTAGGACACCCCCCACCAAACCATGACTGACGCAGGGTGGTGGCCTCTCTCAACTCTCGGAATGATCTCCGAAGCTTCCTGTGAACTCCTTGCATACACTTTGTCATTTTGTCGGTTGAATTTTTCTTCTATGGTGAAGATTTTCTCATCCGTGAACAAAATCTTTCGGAATCCCCCAGCTGCGTACCTCTCCAAGAGCTTCTTGGATCTTGTCGCCCTGATGTGTCGCAAGGTGGCCGTAAGTCGCTGGCCCGTACGTCTCCGGTAAGCCCCTAGCCCTAGGTCTTGTTTAATGATGCGCGACATCGTCCGGACAGGAATCTTCATTTCCCTGGATAGGATCTTCTGCTTCCGGAGTGGATTCCTTTGAATCCTGGCTTTTACGGCTTTGATGGCTGCTGGAGTCCTTACTTGACGAGGTCTTCCGCTTCTTGGCCTGTCATCAACAGAGGACGTCTCATTGTACCGCTGAATGGTCCTAGACACAAATTTACGCGATATTTGAAGGCCGCGTAAGAGTTCAAAAATCTGACTAGCACTGTGATTACACTTATGTAAAGCTATCACTGCAATACGGTTCTCTGCCTTGCCCCACTCCATCGTTATGCTTCGAGAGATCAATACAAACTGAGGTATATGTAATTACCCGAAAAGCGCTTAATCAACTGACACCACAATGTAAACAATCGGACAAGTATTAACAGGTCTACACTTGTTTGAAAACGAGGGACAGAACTTATGGCATGACTACGTATACAGTGAAAGCTCTCCTTGCGGACAGCTCCTATAAGCGGACATCTCTTTTAACCGGACAAAGTTCCTGGAACCGAATTTCAGCCATCAATTTTCAATGTTAAATGCATTCCGATAAACGGACGCTCTTATAAACGGACGCGGACACTAGATTTTCCTGTATGTCCCATCTCCCATAAGCGGACGCGAAACTCTAATACCCGGACGATTTTTTAGTTCCGCTTATTGCAATGCACATATCTACATACATAAAATTCGGTAATTCCCCGATTTATATTAGGTGATTCCCCATTTACGCATTTCGTTGGGTAGCCTGTATGTAATCTTGTGGCTTGTCTTCAGTTCAGGCAAATTCGTAGTTGATTGAGTTACGTATTTTATTATTGTAACTGTAAAATGGCACCAAAAAAGGGATGCTCTCGTTAAAGGAAAAGATGGAAGTTGTTAACGTATTAGACAGAGAAAGTGTTTCAGTTCGTCATTTGGCAAAGAGGTTTAATATTGGGAAAACGCAAGCAGCTGAAATTGCCAAAAATAAGGAAGATATCAGGAGTAAATGGCAATCAGGAACTAATATAAATCAAAAGAAGGATTTTTTAAAAAAGGAAGGTTTTGCTATAGACAAAACATGTTTTGAGTGGTTTGTGAAAGCTAGAAGTCAGAACATTCCAATCTCAGGTCCGTTAGTGAAAATGAAAGCTAAAGAAATCGCCACTACTTTGGGCTATAATAATTTCAGTGCGTCCGACGGGTGGCTGCAAAAGTGGCGCAAGAGACATAGTGTGAGTTTCAAATGCATATCTGGCGAAGCTGCTGCAGTAGATCAAGTTGATGTGTCACAATTTTTGGAGAAACTTCCGTCCATGTTGCTTGGCTACAAACCAGAAGATGTGTACAACGCAGATGAGAGTGGACTTTTTTTTCGCGCATTGCCCGACAAAACTCTGTCCTTTAAAGGAGAAACATGTGTGGGTGGAAAGTTGTCTAAAGATAGACTAACCATTTTATTCTGTGCAAATATGGCCGGTGAAAAATGCGATTTGATTGTGATCGGGAAAGCGGCTCGTCCCCGTGCTTTAAAAAACGTTGCTATTAAGGATCTACCAGCGACTTGGAAATCCAACAAAAAGGCATGGATGACCCGAGAAATCATGTCTGAGTGGTTAGTCGAATTCGACCGGAAAATGAGAATCCAAAAAAGGCAAGTTCTTTTATTTTTAGACAATGCATGCTCTCATCCTCGTGATATGAAAATGAAAAATGTGAAAATTATATTTTTACCGCCAAACACAACTTCTGTTTGTCAGCCCATGGATCAAGGTGTCATACAGAACTTTAAATTTTATTATCGGCACTTGATTTTAAAACATATTTTAACAAAAATTGACGATGGTCAAAGCTTATCTGAGCTTACAAAGTCTATCAATGTGTTAGAAGCTTTGTATTTTATAAAAACAGCATGGAATAAAGTAAATTCCTCTACAATTAAAAACTGTTTTGGCAAAGCTGGAATCAGAAAAAGTGAATGTAGCTCAGAATTTGCTGAGCAAAATTATTGCGATGCTGAAGACGATCTGCCCTTAGCGACACTTGCTCAGTTACTGCGACATGCCAAACATTTAGGAGTAGCAGATCCCCAGAAAGTAGATGATTTCCTGGCCATAGACAATAACATAACAACAGAAGAAAATGCCATTGGCAACTTTTCGAATTTGGATGTAGAAAGCCCAGGCCAACTTGAATATGGTAGTCCAAACGACTCAGAAGAAGAAGTGGACTCACTAAGCGGTTCAAAAACGATAAATTCATATGGGGAAGCTCTAAATCATATTTCTATATTGAAAAAATTTGCTAAAGATGATTTCACTGCATTTCAACATTTGAAAAATTTAGAAAGTTATTACGAAAATTGTCTCCTTCAGCAAAAGATGGTGAAATTTCGTCAGACAAACATTTTAAAATTTTTTCAACAAGCTAAAGAATAATGTTTTTTTTTTAATTCTCGTACCATGTATTGAAGCATTTATGTTTTTGTATGCGTATATGTACATATATTATATAGATATATAGCATAAATACATACTTTAAAAATGTGGCGAGTTTCTGTTTCATTTTTCTCATGATTATGATACCTCATTTCCTCATGATTATATACCCCGTTATTTATACTCTATACTTACATACTCTCTTTTAAACGGACACCTCCCATAAGCGGACAAAAGTTACGGAACCGTGAGTGTCCGCTTATGGGAGCTTTCACTGTATTCTTTTTTCCTAATATCTATTAATCATATTTATAGTTTGTTTTCTCTCTACTTAGAGGTCTTTCTCTTTTTGTATTTTTTTTTCACCTTATGGCACACAGACTGTAAATTAAACCAGTGCTCTCTAAATGACATATGCACTGTTTGGCAATAAATTCTTTATTACTATTATTATAAGGTAAGTAAAAAAAACCTCATATCTTCAGTCATCCTAAATACAGTTTATTGACTCACTATACACATTAATATTACCATATTTACACAATGTAACCAACACTGGTGAATTGCTGTCAAGTGATGTTTGTCGGTCTTGGTCGCAGAATCAGCTTTCCAGTATCATCACATGACATGTTGAAGTCACCTAACACCTCTCGAGTTCTTGATGTTATTATAGACGCTGCTATCACTCGTTTGTGAACGCCTAGCAGCAATATAGTGACTGAAAAAGTGTCTTTGCTTAGTTCATTGATGAGAAATTGGTCTGTTGCTTACAGATGCCTGTGCAAAGTTAACATTTACTAATGATCAATCAGAATTGATAGCATTGCTTCTCTCTTGAATGAAAAAGTACGAGAAATGCTAAAAAAATTATCGGCTATGGAAAGCAATTGTAAGGCAAAATAATGTTTACTATCGCAAATGAAACTTCGGTAATTTGGGGAGCTGAATTTAAATATGGCCATTGAAATGATACCAAAGTAACACGGGGCGAAATTGAAATTGATATGGGCGTAATGATGTTACTTACTCAATATTATAGTCGATAATATAAAAAAAGGATGATTTGAAAGCGACTGTGATAAAGAAACTATCCTTGTTTCAGGATCTAGAATCCATTGGCTGGCCCCCGTGGCAACGCATATCGATACAGCAACTAGCACAACTGCAAAAATACAAAAAATAATAGCACTGTTTTAATGGAAAACGGAAAATACAGGAGACTCACTTCTCCATCTTGTTGTAGAAGGATGTAAACAAGCTATCACCTCAGTCAACCGCCTTTCGAAAGCTTTCAAATCTGCAACAATGTCTGTTTTAATATGCTATAACCACAACACGACAGAAAGATTCGTCACCTTCGCATGCAGTTTGTTCTAAAGACATCCTAAACGATGAAATGAAAATCGTTGTAAATGAATTTTAAAAGTTGTCAACAGAACATAACCAAAATCATCTTTCTTGACAGAAATCCACAGAACAACAAACAGATACAGAAAAAACAGATGTTCTGTGTCACGACCACAGATCAACAAGATAAAGAGATGCAGGAGTACGATTTGGTAATTTAAAAGTAATGTTTATCCCATAAAATGTCTAGAGCACTCAGTTGATCTATTACCTAGTAGATGTCGCGCTTGACATGATAAAACATTTGACATGTGCCAACTTTACGTTCTGTGCGTTTTATGTTTTGTGCGCTCAAAATTCTCAAGAAAATGGTGCAGGGCCAGAAATTATTGGAAATTAGAAATGGATAAAAATGTAGAAATATTCAGTTAACTGCATTTGAAAAAACTGTTCTTCACAGAAAACCCGTAAGTAGAAATCGTAACAACCCGGCTAAAATAAATTGGAAACCCCACAATCTAGAAGGTATGGGAATCGAAAGAAATAAAATAATCCTTCCAATAATATTTACATACCTTTTGTAGGTTTACAAGGTACAGTAAAGTATTTTTTAAACTGTTTTAGGAAGATGCAGTCTCAAGAGGGTTTATCCGGCTCGTCGGACCATAGACTAGCATTGATCCACGAAATGAGTTCAAATAATTTTGATCTCATTAGGTTTGCTTCATATAGAACTGCTATGAAGTTGAGATTCATCCAGAAGAAAGTTAATTGTAAGTATTCAGCTGATTCATCAGTATCATTTGTGTAGCTGAATAGATGAGCGGTAATTTGTCCAATTTCACTGACACATTTTTTATATTTGTTAATTACTGGATGTGTACATATGTTATGACTGGTATTTGTATCCATGAAGTTGTTTAGTTTGATCTGTTTTAATTGTATTTATATTCTGTTTGCAGAAAAAATAGATATACAGCAAAAATGATTCATGACCCACATCGTATATAGTTTAGTGCAATCCAAAAAAATTGCAAAACTTACCTCTCCAAAATACTTATGATGGGGGGCTACAGGCATTCACCATTTTTTAAATTATAGCGACTATTAAAAAAGCTGCATTTGAATTGCAGTGGATGCAGTCACACCTTCCAAAAAAAGGTCGATGGTCAGGGATTTACAAGAAAATTGTAATGTTTTTTCTAAAAGAGTTAAATGTACATTTATTTTTTTAAATGGTGAATGATTAAGGATTTTTGAAAAGGGGTGAATGTTGCCTCATTTTTTAGAAAAAGGGATGTAGCTACATTTTCCAAAACAAAAATGTATTTTTTTTTATTCTTCTAGTTTCTCTTCACCTTCATTTTTTGAAAGATGATGGTGCATTCAGCATTTTTTTAAACCATTCTGTTTCCGCCATTAATTGAAAAATAATTTTACATCCACCATTTATGTTTGTTTCTGCATTCACCATTTTTGAAAATTCAGGCTATTTTCAGTTTTTAAAAGTCATGCATCCACCACTTATTGGAAAGTCATGCTATCAACATTTTTCAGAAAATCATTCTGCATGTACCATTTTTTGGAAAACAAATCTGTATCCAACATTTCTGAAAAATATCACTTTATTCAGTCTCCACCATTTTTTGTGAAATATTACACATCCACCATTTGTCATTCTGCATTTAGTATTTTTTTAAAAATCATTCTGTATACTCCATTTTTTTTTTTTTGAAAAATTGTATATTCACCATGTTTGAAAAATGCACATTGATTTTTTGAAAAATTGCACATCCACAATTTTTGTTTCTCACTACATTCCCTATTTTTGAGAAATCATGTAACCATTATTTTTAAAATTATTTTTCGGTTAAATATTGTGCTTACAGCATTTTTTCATAAAAATCTGGATGCATCTACCTTTTTTGGAGATTGAACCGCAACCATCACTTAAAAAAGTCATTATACGCGTTCACTACTTTTTCTAAAATCATTCTGCATACTCATTTTATTGAAAATTATTCTATATGAAAAATTGCACATCCACCATTTATGAGAAAAGTGCACGTCCGTTTTTTGGTACAATTTTTCGTAAAAATTACACATCCACCATTTTTGTTTGTCAATTTTTTTCTCAAGTTATTCCGCATTTACCACTTTTTTGAAATTTTTTATTGGAAATCATGCTTTCAACATTTTTTGGAAAATCATTTTGCATCTATAATTTTTTTGGAAATGTTCCTATATCCAAAGCATTTTAGAAAAAACTTTATTCAGTATTGATATTGTCACCTAAATGTTTCCCTATTGACATACATTTTGGTTTATTAGTGTTTAATTTAAGTTTATTGACCAATTTCTTAATTTTTTCAATTTCACTATTTAACAGTTCTAAAGCAGTGTCCAAATGCTTATGTGCTATATACAGGGTGTCCGCAAAGTTGGGGTTTTCCTTTACACGTCGTGTAGATCTTGAAAACATAAGCAATTTTTCTTAGTACCATATACACCAAAGTCTTAAGGGAACCGAGATAAAGGGCTCTGCAACATCAAAAATATCTGAATACCGTCCTGTAGCCGCGACATCCCCGAGTGGTACTAGGACACTAGCTCAACCCGACGACAGAACTGGGTCGAGGTCAGTGTGTCAGGTCAGTATGCAACCTTCAACCGACGGTTACGGTCACGCGTGTAGAGGTAATCGCGTAGACGAGAATGCTTCAACAAGCACTAGAGACGTAGCTAGAGAAGTGCAAGTATCAAAAACTAAAGTGTGGCAAACGCTGCGTGAAGAGGGGCTGTATCCGTTTCACGTCCAACGTGTACAAGCCCTTCAACCTGACGATTTTCCAGCAAGAGTGCGGTTTTGTGAGTGGTTGTTGCATCAACATGACAATAATCCGGACTTGTTGACGTGCATATTGGTGACAGACGAATCTACGTTCACGCGTAATGGGGTGAATATCTTTCGCAGCACTCATGTTTGGTCAGTAGAAAATCCGCACGCTGTCCGTCGGGCACATTTTCAACAAACATTTTCGGTGAATGTTTGGGCTGGCATGGTGAACGGTATGCTCATTGGACCATTTATTCTCCCAAATCGATTGGACGGGATGCAATACCTAGACTGTTTACGCAACATTTTGCCTTCCTTGTTTGCCTGCGTCTGCTCGGTAGCGCATCAGCTGATTTCATTTTCTGTTAGAGCGGTATGATTTCGGGCAGAGACGTACTTAGCCCTTCTCGTCAACTGGAGAGTGAGTACTTTTTCCTTTATTTTTTTTTACTTGGTCGCCCTCGTTTCACTACACATTACCTTTGTTATTTCAAGGGTAGTTGTTTCTGAAAAGGAAAACCCCAACTTTGCGGAGTGTATCATATTCTCGAATATAATTTTCTGATTTCAGTGCATGCAGTTGACATCTGGAATGTGATTGAAGCGTTCCGCGAGCAAGGTCTTCATGCCTTAGAGCCCTCTCAGGAATTGAGCGTGGCTCGCTTAGAGACTCTACTGTGTTCATTGTACCATAGTCTAAATAAACGTGCCCCACCCACCCAACAAGCCCATGTAGATATTTGCTCCAGTTTGTTGTTGAATTGGATACTTGCTGCTTATGCTACAGTGTGAGTTTCACAACCAAATTTACGTCACGTTTCTTGTGTAAACTCGGAATTGAAAAGTTACCCAACTTTGTATCTCTTAGTGTTTTTGCTATTTATGTTCTTTAGCAATATTTTCTTTTGCAGAGATAATGTTGGTAAAATAAGAGTATTCTCGATTAAAGTAGCCTTGGCGACCCTTTGCGCTGGCAAACTCATGGATAAATTAAGGTGTAAGTTTTCATTGTTTTTTACACTTAAAACAGCACTAGACACTCTTTTCCTTTATGTCATTGCTCAGTTGGTCAGATTTGATGTATTTTTTTTTTAGATATATTCTCCCAAATTTCGGACAGCAACGGTTTTTTGCTTCAATGGAAATTCAACGAATATTTGCAAGAAGTGCTGGCGCTTCCAGCAGCTGTATACGAATCACCAACCTTCAATTACACAGATTCCTTAGCTAACTCAATTTTCAGTCCTGTAAGTAAAGGGTTGTCCAATAGGGACGCAGAAAAGTAAACGTCAATTTGACATAGACGCCATCTTTGTTTTCTGTCACCGAAATGACATTTTGTTAGTTGAATGTTTACCATTGATCGCTATGGAGTCGTATTCGATTGAAGACCGCATTAAAGTTATTCAAGAGCACTACAAAAATGGTGCAAAAATAAAAAACGTTTCGCGCGCTTCGTGAACATTTCGGTCGCAACAACCGCCCAAACGAAATAACGGTCGGTCGTCTGGTGCGTAAATTCGAGGCAACAGGTTCTGTGGCAAATCTGCCAGGCTCTGGCCGGCCAAGGAGCGTTCGCATACCGGAAAATATTGCTGTTGTGAAGGAGAGTGTGAGAGACGATCCGAAACAATCAACAACGCGTCGATCCCAGGAATTGGGCATTTCGAGAACCAGTTTGCTCCGCATTCTCCACAAGGATTTGAATGTACACGCCTACAAGATCCAATTGACGCAAGAGCTGCGTCGGGCCGACCATTTTTCGCGCCGAACGTTATCAGATTGGCTCCTTGAACACCGCCAAATTGATGCCAATTTTTCATCAAAAATCATGTTCAGCGACGAAGCGCATTTCACTTTGAATGGGACGGTAAACAAGCAAAACTGCCGCATCTGGGCGAACGAAAATCCCCGTGAGTATCAAGAGCAGCCGATGCATCCTCAAAAAGTGACTGTGTGGTGTGCATTGTGGTCAAAAAGCATCATCGGACCTTACTTTTTCGAAAATGCGGCCGGGGACGCCGTTACCATCAATTCTGAGCGATATCACGTGATGATAGAGGACTATTTTTTGCCGCAACTTGAAGGAATGGATATGGACGATGTTTATTTCCAACAAGACGGTGCAACATGCCACACAACCAACGTCAATATCCATCGATTGCAGTCCTTCTTCGGTGATCGCGTGATTTCGCGCAGAGGAAATGTGCCATGGCCACCAAGATCGTGCGATTTGACTCCCTTGGACTTCTTTTTATGGGGATATTTGAAAAGCAAAGTCTACGTCAACAAACCATTGCACCCTCCAAGAACTCAAAAACAACATCATTGCCGAGATAAATGCCATAGAACCGACCATGTTGCAAAATGTCATTGAAAATTTCGACCATCGCGTGGACGTCTGTAAATCCAGTCGTGGTGAACATTTGAGCGATATTTTTTTGCATACATAAATGGTATAAATGAACCTTCAAAATAAAGTACCCAACTTGATTTGAATATCAATCTTTCTTGTTTTAATATGCGTTTACTTTCCTGCATCCGTTTTGGAATATAACGCTAAAAAAATTATGCATGTTTTCCTAGAATATGTCGACAAGCTCTTATAAAAAAATGCACTATAGAGCTGCTTTATGGATATACTTTTATATTGTGTTCAGTAGCTCATACTACTCGGAATTAGCCGGTTTATTTTTTATTTTATTTTTTAGAATGTTAAAGTAACAGTCAATGACTTCCTGGATGTTATGATGTCAGACCCTGGGCCGCCTGCTTTGGTTTGGTTGCCGTTAATGCATCGAATAGCGAATGTTGAAAATGGTAAGTTTGTGTTTGTCATAGATTTATTTAGCATTAATTACACAGTATATCACATAATATTTTATGTCTTCAAGTCTACATATATTTTATACAAAATTCCACTGCTATGATTGCTGTTTTTTCATGAAATAATTTTTCAATTTCCCTTTGAACATTTTCAAACTGGCACACATCTTGATATCATTACTTAATTTATCAAATTTGTCAATAATCTCCAAAAGAAACTTTTCCCCATATTCCTTGTGTAGTACAAGGATATGCTATTATGTGGACTCTTTTTCTAGAAAACTAAACAATATATGAAAAAAATTCGAGAGACAAAAAAGTTGTATTTTTATCTGCTTAAACCACTCATAATAAAAATTGCACAAAAGTAAGCATGTTTATGTGAGCTTTGTGTCTTGAAATTACACAGTTATCTATTAAATTTATCGTACATACATTAACAACTCGGACTTTTGGAACATGTGACGTTTTTCGGTAAAACATTTCATTATAGTCAACGCCAAACAAAGTGGCGTGCACGTCATCAAGGTGGGTGTGTTGAAAAATTTACATTGTTGCCAAACTTTTTGTAAAATAATAAAATTTATTATTTACATATCTAGGTTTATAAGCAATATTAACCTCAAATGAGAACAAAAATAATAGTATAATAAAATTATAGATCTGTACTTGCATAATCATTAAGTATGACAATTATTGATCAGATGACACTATGAAACTACCATATTTAATTGATAGCTTAAAGGTACTGAATAAAAATCCAAATGGGGTCCTCCAAATTTTATGCATGGTATTTATTTTACAGAATTCATACAGAAAAATGCATTCTAAAATTAGGTAAGCTACTGGTGTAAGCTTTTTCTGTACAATAAAGTTAGTCGGAGTTTCTTTCTTCAGCGCTGTCTGAATCTGAATCTTCATCACTCTCAAAGTTGATTATTAAAGGTTCGATGTCTGGTCGATCAAAAATTCGTTCTCTTTCATACCATTTAAAAATTTCTTGCTCAGTATGTCGAACACTATTTTTCCACATGTCTGGGGTAACCGTTTGTAGAGCCTTGTTCCACATATCCAAACAGTCTTTTTCACTGTTACCATCTCTACCAATATGTCTGTTATAGTAACCTTTTGCTATGCCCCAAATTAACTCAATAGGGTTAAATATACAATGGTAAGGAGGCAGACGAAGAACTTTGTGCCCATGTTGTTCCGCCAATTCATCAATCACGTATATTTTAGGTGGTTTGTTTCTAAAAAAGCAGTTATTTTAAGAATAGGAATAAACAAAAGAAATATAAACTGTCGACCAAAATATATATAATTAAGAAGCATTATGTACCGAGCAACAATACTCAATAGCTCTGTTTTAAACATTGTGTTTAAAAATGGTATGTTTTGATTTGTCAACCAGTCTTGGATATTTTTTTTTGTCCATGCATTGTTGGGCACTTTGTTCAATATCATGCTGTGATAAGGGGCGTTATCCAGTATAATCATAGATGGACTCTCCAATTTTTCTAATAACTGATGTTGAAACCATTTCAAAAAATTGTCCTGGTTCATCTCTCCATGGTAATCGCTCAATTTTGTTTTCGAAGAAAATATCGCTTCACTACCCTCAATAAACCCATTTTCATTTCCAGCATGTAATATAATGTATCTAAAATATATTAGTTTTAAATTTTATAGTGCAAATTGTGTAAAAGTACATACCTTTTACCATCTGTTTTAATAGCTTTCACGCTTTTTTGGTTTCCATTTTGCCAAGAGCGACCTATGGTCCCATTTTGAAATATCCAAGTTTCATCGAGGAAGACAAACTGGTATAAGGCCTCAACCTTGGCTTGATTGTATTGCCTTAGAAATTCCACCCTTTTCAAAGCTATACTTGGTAGTTCCATGAGCTCTCGTCGCGGATTGTCCTTAAGCCACTTAAATCCAAGATCTCTAAGCAACCGCCTTAAAGACGTGGCACTACCATCAAATAATGCCCTATCTCTTAATCGAGACCATAAAGTTTGTATCGTAACTTGTTCTTCTGAAACCATGTGTAATATGACATTATAATTTAGTTAACAAATTAATGCAAATTTCTGATAAGTTATTATAATAAGATCTTACTTTTGTGATACATATTATAGATCACTTCTCGAATGGCACTTGTATCCAATGTCGCTGTGTTGGTTACACGTTTAATATAACTCCGCTTTTTCTTGGGCGATTCTAAATTTGCATCACTTTTCACACCCTCGGAAATACGACTAACTGTCCTTAAACTAATTTTTAAAGCAGCAGCAACACGCTACAAAAAATGAAATAAAATTTCACTATTATTAATATACATTACATATAATTATTAGTAACCTACCTCTTGAACAGCATTTAAAGGCAACAAAGGCCCGTTGTTGTCCCTTTCTTGCTCAAAGTAGTGCATTAACGAGGCCACGAGTTCCTTACACCGACTATTTAACTGTTTGGGCATCTTTATATACCAAAATTGCCTTTATCTACTCGTAAAATGAATAATTTTGTTTTGAAACAAACAGTTGTTGATTTACAGTATGCGGGGCCAAAGGTTTATAAAGATTTGAAATGCCGCAAATTGATTCAGTGTCAAAATTAATACAAATGTCAGTTCCCAGTTTAAATAAGTTTCAAGGTGACAATGTGTCAACGCTGCGAAATCGGTTTAGTGCGTTTACATGTCGATAAGTGATTGGAGCGTTTGCAAAACATTTTATTTCGCATAATGCGTCTAAATTTATCAGAAAGCAACTTATGTGATATTTTAATAACAATGTTTATATGACTATTAACCATAATAAGAGAGTAATGACCATTTTACAATTTATATATCACATTAATATGAAACTGCAATAGAGCGATTGTTTGTGATAGAAACCTAGGCATTAGGTCGGGGAATTTTTATCGTGATGACGTGCACGCCACTTTGTTTGGCGTTGACTATACATGAATAGTGCCGCCACGTAAATTAATTTCAGTGGTTCATCCTGTACAATGCGATTCCTGTCAAAGGGAAGGCTTTGCCGGATTCAGGTACAGATGTCAAAAGTGTCCTCACTACACACTTTGTCAGGATTGTTTTTGGCGCGGCAGAACGTCGTTGTCTCACACGTTGGAACACCATGTGAAAGAGTATGCTTCATTTGTAAGTATAATAATAAACCCAAACTTTACATTATCACACAGTGAAATAGTTTCTCGTGGTCCCGAACGAGTCTCACATAATCTGCATTATTCAACTCTCTCTTCGACCAACATTCTATTGAACGGACGCGGACAAAAAACAGAATAAAAAGAAACGCCTTGTCTTATTTTTTCCAGTTGGGAGGTTCTCGAGTAAACTGAGGATTCACCGACTTTGATCTTTCGGTACAAACGGTGCCTATGTGGTGCATTTCTGCCTGGCGTGGAATCTCATACAAAAGACATTCGTTTAAAGAATATAAAAATCTTATTTCTATCTTTTTTTTATTTTAAAAACATTTATTTACATATACGAGGTGGTCCCAGAAGTACCTGACCAACGAAGAAAACACAAAAAATTTGTAAAAAAATGTATTTATTTTTCAACATAATCTCCTTTGATCCCTATACACTTTTCCCAGCGATGTTCAATAAGTTCGATACCCTTTTTATAATAAGAACTGTCTTGCTCCTCGAAATATGCTAAGTGACATATAAATCCGAACACCCAGTTTAAATGGTTTTAGTTCAATCAAATTTTGTATAAGTACTTAATGAAGCATAATAAGTAAATGATAAAAATTTCAAAATGATTGTACTGCTTTAAAGCATAATAATGTGTGGATGCACCCTGATGTGCTACGCATTCTCCAACGCGCCTAGGCATGCTTCTGATCAGGTGGTCAATGTCCTCCTGTGGTATCTCATTCCAGGCAACCACCAACTCCTCTCGAAGTGCTTCTAGAGTCTGAGGAGGACGTTGCAAATTGAGCAATCTCCTACCCATCATATCCCACACGTGCTCAATTGGGGATAAGTCGGGAGATCTTGGTGGCCATAGTAACAATGTGACATCATTATGTTGAATGAAGTCTATTGTGAATCTTGCAACATGTGGTCGGGCATTATCTTGTTGGAAAGTTTGATCTGCCAGGGTGTCAAGATAGGGTAAAAGATGGGGTTCTAGAACTTCGTGGATATAACGCTGCGCGTTCATGTTACCTCTGATGAAGATTAAAGGTGACCTGGAACCATAAGCTATAGCACCCCAAACCATAACTCCAACAGTGTGATGAACATGTCTTTCAACAAAAAACTGTGGATTCCTCCTTCCACCACGTCGCCTTCTAACCCTGGCACGACCATCGTGCATGCCTAAACAAAATCGAGACTCGTCACTAAAGACAATACTGTTCCATTCCTGTTCCCAGAGTGACCGTTATCTGCACCACTCAAGGCGATTACGTCGGTGTTCTCGGGTTAAAAGGAGGACCCAGTGTGGCCGGTATGAAAACAAGCCAAAACTTCTCGTTCGTCGGTAAACACTTCGCATGCCAATAGGTATTTCGTGTTCTGCAAACCATTCATTTGCAATGGACCTGGTATTGGAGAAACGGTCCCTTAAGGCCAATAATCTTAGGCGGCGATCTTCACAGTCTGTTGTTCTACGGCGGCGTCTTTGCGTACGGCCTTCTCGAAGCCATGCCTGACAACACCTAACCACAGTGTCTACACTTCTTTGCACTCTAACTGCAATTGCCCGAAAAGAAAGTCCAGCTTCCCGAAATCCCACTATACGGCCCCTATCAAACTCACTAAGTTGACGAAATCGTACAGGTCTCCGTACTCTAGGCATCGTAACCGATCGTAAAGGATGTCAAGAACCAAAATCCGCCAACGTTGATTCTTTACTGCGGCTGAAATATTCATTTTTAGAGCGTTAGTGAATTAAAAAAAAGCAGTATAAAAACCGGAATGTCCAACTGATAAGGCTGAAAATTTTTTCACTTGTTATTTACAGTAAGATAAATACATTCACCAACTTTTATGTTCGGATTTATATGTCACTTAGTTTAGCTATTAACTGCCGACATCGCTTCTTCATCGTTGGGAAATCTTTGACCACTGAGCCATTTTTTCAAGTTTGGAAACAGAAAATAATCCGATGGGGCTAAATTTGGTGAATAGGGTGCATGAGATAGCAATTCAAACTTTAATTCGTTAATTTTGGCCATTGCAATAACGGATTTGTGAGCTGGTGCATTGTGTTGATGAAACGACACTTTCTTCTTAAACAAATGCGGCCGTTTTTGCTTGATTTCATCGCTCAAACGTTGCAATGAGTTCGCCGTTGATAGTTTTACCTTTTTCAAGATAGTCATTGAAAATCATCCCACGCGCATCCCAAAAAACCGACGCCATAGCCTTGCCTGCAGATGAAACGGTCTTCGCCTTCTTTGGAGCCGGATGTCCCTTTCAAGTCCATTGTTTTGATTGTTCTTTTATCTCCGGTGTGAAGTGATGGACCCATGTTTCATCCATGGTTAAAATTCTGCTTTGTTGCTGTCGCTAAACACTCAATTGAAACATCTGTTTTTGCTCGATTGTGAGCAATCGCGGCTCCCATCTTGCACACACCTTTCTCATGTCCAAATTTTCAGATACTATGCGATGAAGCGCACTTTTTGAAATGCCTACTATGTCTTCTAGTTCGCGCACTGTCAGTCGACGATCATTCAGTACCGCTTTGTGAATTTTGTTCACCGTTTCTGGAGTCGTCACCTCGTTCGGTCGACCGCTGCGATGCTCGTCTTGGCAGCTCATTAAACTCTACTACCCAATATTTTGCTGTCGTAAACGAAGGAGCAGACTCACCCAGAGTAGAATCCAGTTCAGCTTTTATTTTGGTTGGGCTGAGGCCTTTGAAATAAAAGTATTGCACCACATAACGATGACCGATTTTCTCCATTTTCACAAATTCACTGAAAACGTCCAGTATTGTCTGCTTCTGGGACCACCCTCGTACGTTTTAAATGTTCCAGTTTCTTGAATATATTCAGATTTCAGTAAAAACACGATTTTTGTTGTATTTCTCATAAACGGACCTCTTGAACGGACACTTGTAGTCGATCCCGTTGGTGTCTCGTCCAAAGGAGATTTCACATTGTTCTTAATAAAAGATCTAATAATAGTTTGCTTCAGTCCCCTAGCAAAACGATCGGGCAATCTCTAAGGAAATCATTCAGGTGCGTTCCCGATAAGCAAAGGAACAACTTGCCCAGGTTTCCGGAGCAACCCGAGAAAACGTTGAACCTCTCACATATAGTGTAAGTATAGACTTAAAAGCGTGAACACATCAAAATAGCTTTTCTAAATTGACATATTTTTCAGTCCGCCATCCCCAATACCGTCTCACAACGGTTTTCCTGAAGGAAATTTCTCTGCTTTTGACGGAATGGGGAGCTTAGATAGCAGATCGACAGCCAGAAGTCTGGACAGTGCGCGAGACGATGAGCACAGGCTGATCGCGAGATATGCCGCGAAGCTAGCACAAGAAGCCAGAGTAGGAATGGTAAGATTACTTTTCCAAAGTTTTTGCATGTCACAGGGGATCGAGTGGTAGGTAATTGATAAAAGTTTTTTGTCTACATTACTCAAAACAGTTAAGGGAGCCAGGAAAAATCTCAATTTTTCGTCAGGCTGTATTTTCGTGAAAACTGGTCGTATCGGGACTTTATAAAAGGCATTTTGAAGCCTTGAGATTATAGTTTTTAGATTTGATAGCCGAAAAATTTTAGGAGCAACGCTTTTCATTCAATTCCAACTGATATCCAGTAGTGATATAAAAAAGAAAAACTCCATTTTCAACCAGACTACACGTTTCGATTCAAAAATGTTGTTCCTTTGATTTTTTTTCAAATGTTGAAAGGGTGATTAGCGGTACATTTAGGTACAAAAATACCTAAAAACATTAGCCTTTTCATTAGCAGTTCCAAAAATGCGATCGCGTTTCCAAAACAAGGCAAAAAGCAACTTTTTGACATTTTTAAAATCAATACTAACGAATAAAAAAATTCTTCAAAGATTGCAATTAAATCTTAAAGGAGTTTTCGAAAATATCACATTCTCTGTGCGATCCTCAAAAGGGTCCTTTTTCATTCAAAGTCAGATATCTGCGCGCCATATGATCGTATCGAGATTTTATAAACAGGATATTGAAGCTAAATAAATGGGCTATCTATTCCGTATGATGGCCTAACAGGGGAAAAAATTTCAAGCTCCTGGACTAAAAAAAAGAAGTAAAAAATTTTGCAAAAAATGTTCCTTGCGCTATGTTAGAATTGCTCAAGAACCGGAGCTCCTAAAATATTTTGGCTAAAAAAACTAAAATGTAGAAGCCTAAAAGCTTCAAAATGCTTTTTCTAAAGACTAGATACGGCCATTTTTCACAGAAATACAACCTGTCAAAGATTACTGAAAAATTTGGATATTTGTCTTGCTCCCTTAATTTGATTTTGAATTCATTTCTGCAACCAAATGTTTTTTGCAACGGCTGCTGTTTACGTTTTTTACCGGCTAGGTATACGAGGGATGTCTTTTAAGTTTTGCATATGGAAATAAAACAACACAGTAGGTAGTTTTAAATGACTATTGTTTTTCGAAGTATTCTCCACGAAGATTAATACACATCTGCATGCGCTCGAACCAATTTTCGAATTTTCGGGAAAGTAAAGAAATCGTTAGGACTTAGATCGGGACTATACGAAGGATGGTCCAATAATTCCACGTTTTCTTCCGTTTAATACTGCCTTGTTTTTTGGGCGGTGTGCGAGCTTGCGGTCTATTACTCCACTAATAACAAAGGCATATCAGCTTTATTTCGGTTGTAAACTAGGAGATCAAGACAAACAGTGGGTACCCCACATCTGTTGTAATACATGTGCTTCAAGTCTGAGGAGCTGGTTAAATGGCAAAAAACGGTCTATGCGCTTTGCTGTCCCAATGGTTTGGAGAGAGCCTACAAATCATATCTATTAATGATTGTTACTTTTGCATGGTACCTTGTGTTGGACAAGCTACAGGTATGTCCAAGAAAAAAAAAAATCGGTTATTAACTACCCAAACATACCATCGGCGATGAGACCTGTGCATCACAGTGACGAAAATCCTATTCCAAAACCCCCAGAATCCTACACTTGCGAATCAGATCATGGCGATCGAGTGATTCGTCAGGAAGAAGATATGCCATCAACGTCAAGAGATCCTGATTTTATACCGAGCACGTCATGCCACCAACCGCACAAAATAACACAGTCACAATTAAATGATCTTGTAAGAGATTTAGAACTTCCAAAATGTAAGGCAGAGTTACTTGGATCAAGACTGCAGCAGTGGAACTTGTTAGAAGACGATGTTTCGGTATGTGTTTTTTGTAAACGCCACAAAGACTTAGAACCATTTTTCAATATGGAGAATAACTTGGTTTTCTGCAGTAATATTAACGGCTTACTGGCGGCTTTAAATATAAACTATAGCCCAGAAGAATGGAGATTGTTTATAGACAGTTCAACATTGAGTTTAAAGGCAGTGTTATTGCATATTGGAAATATTTTACCATCTCTTCCAGTAGGGTATGCAGTTCACATGAAAGAATCATATGACAATATGAAGTACCTATTGACATGCATAAAATACGATGAGCACCAATGGCATATTTGTGGCGATTTGAAAGTTGTTGCACTTTTACTTGGGCTGCAGCTAGGCTACACAAAGTTTTGCTGTTTTTTGTGTGAATGGGACAGTCGGGCAAAGGCACTTCATTACACCAGACAAAACTGGCCTGTTCGTCAATTCCTGGAGCCAGGTCAAAAAAATGTACAGCATATGCCATTAGTAGATTCGAAAAAAAATTTATTACCACCACTGCATATCAAGTTGGGCCGAATGGAAACTTTGTCAAGGCATTAGATAGAGATGGGTCAGCTTTTCAATACCTGCGTCAGAAATTTCCAAGACTAAGTGAGGCAAAGGTTAAACAAGGTAGTTTTGTTGGGCCACAGATTCGAAATATTTTGAAAGATACACAGTTTGAAAACACTTTAACAGGTATTGAAAAAACTGCTTGGAATGATTTCCGTCTGGTGGTCACTAATTTCTTGGGAAATAGAAAAGCTGACAACTATAAAACCCTTGTCAAAAATATGCTGTCATCATATCAAAAGATGGGCTGTAATATGTCTGTTAAGATACATTTCCTACACTCACACCTGGACTTTTTTCCTGACAATTGCGGAGCCGTAAGTGATGAGCACGGCAAACGTTTTCATCAGGATATTTCAACAATGGAAAAAAGGTACCAGGGAAAGTGGAATCCTTCCATGCTTGCAGACTACTGTTGGACTCTTGGTAGAGATGCTCCAGACACGATCCATAAAAGAACAGCAAAAAGACAGCGCATATAGTGATTCTTATAAGTATATGAATCTTGTTACTTTTTTTAATATATCCTTAAAAATAAAAAGTTTTTTTTCTAAACCGCAACTAATTTTTTTATTTCATTGTCATTTTTGGATTCAGCGCCCCAAAATTAACAAAGAAGTGCACTTTCTCCACAAGATACAATTAAAAAACTAAAATTTGTTGTCCAGTGTTATTTTTCCTGTTCGAGTTGTCCTTACGTAAAACAATGGCAAAAGAAATCGCTCTAATTAGCTGAATTTCCAATACATGTATTGAACATAGAAGTTTGATGAAAATTGTGGACCGTTTTACGAGGGCGGCCCGATAAGTACTTAGCATCACCGCCCGATCACTGGCAAAATTTCAACCGGCTGCTATAGCATTTGTATCGAAAAAAAATTCATGGTACTTCCCATGCCTACTGGCAAGGAAGTATTGTAATCGCGAATAATTTCAAAAATGAGATACAATTTTGGATGTTATATGACATGTACATCGCGGAAAACCATTTCACTCATTTGTCTGTCCGCTAATCCTATAACCGCCTATAACTTGGAAACTACTGGGATTTGGGTCAAATTTTCACTCAAGGTTTCCATTATGCCAAGGTCGAGAAAGCTTTGCACTATTTAAAAATTGGGCCAGGGACGGCGGAGAAGAAGACTAAAAAGGGAAAAAATAAAAATCGCTCAATCTTTTCTTTTGGCGTTTTAGAGAATACTGATCATTTAAAAAAAAACTTGAGGCGAAGCAAAGAGTGAATCTATTTGACGAAATTTTTCATCTATCATCTCGGAAAATTTACGACTTAGCAAAATAATGTTTGCATATTGTGCTGTTTACATTAATGATATAATCTGAAATGAAAACAATTGAAAACGTTGCCCTTCGTAATGATTTGTTTTTTTTCTGTAAAAAAATTACAGATAGAGAAAAGAGTGAACCTACTTGACGAAATTTTGCATCTATCATCTCGGAAAAGTTACGACTTCGCAAAATAATGTTTGCATATTGTTTTAGGTTGCTATTTACATCAATAAAATAATATTGAAAACGTTGCCCTTTGTAATGATTTTATTTATTTTTTTTTTCTGTAAAAAATCATAGATAGAAAAAAGAGTGAACCTACTTGACGAAATTTTTCGTCCATCCTCCCGGAAAGTTACGACTTGGCAGAATAATGTTTACATATTGTTTTAGGATGCTGTTTATATTAATAAAGTAATCTGAAATGAAAGCAATTGAAAACGTTGCCATTTGTAATGATTTTTCTTTTCTGTTTTTAGGGAAGGGTTCCGTCAGAGGCTTGCCTCGGCATGGACTCGACAAAAGCGCAAAGAGAACTGATTGGCCAACTTGAGGCGAAAAATAGAGAAATAATGAGGGAAATCGCCCGATTAAGGTATTGTCGAACACTTTTTCTCTTGACAAAGTTTACATGCGAGTTTGTTTCAGGAGACAACAAGAATTGGAGAACGCCGGACACGGGACTGACAATCCAGTATTGATGAACGAACTTCGGGCGCTAAGGATGAGAAAGGACGAGCTAGAAACACATTTGACCACCCTACAAGATTCTAGGAGGCAGCTGATGATGCAGCTGGAAGGACTGATGAAAATGTTAAAGGTTGGAATATGTGAATTTCTTTTCATATCATTTGGTAGTTTTACCTAGAAAGTTTTGTTCTATGATATTAATATATATGTATATATACAGGGTGTCCCAGAAGTCGACGTCAAGCCGAAACCGGGTGATAGGCAAAGTCATAACAGCTATCAGAAATATATTTAAAAAAATTGTATGTATGTGTTTTGAAAATTATAGGTCTTTGAAAAAGATTTAGAAAATTCACACCCTACGGCAGTCTGTCAACTCCTGTTACTACAAATATTAACTTTTTTTGGATTTTATTTTTACAATGTAATGATGAATAATGCATCTTCAAACTGGTGTCTCAACCTTACTGCCAACTTTTCTCGTTCAGGAAAAATTGCCATTTATTTCCCAACCAAGTATTCCAAAGTAAAACTTTGCTCAACTTTAACTGGCTGTACTGGAAAAAATGTACTACGAGAGTTTGGCAAGTAACCTTAAAAGTTGGCGCATTTAATATCGATTCCAAAATGGTATAACACTTAGAAGATTACTCGTTAACTTATGCACAATTTTTATTTGAAAAAAAAATGATGAAAATTTTGCAAAATTTCCTAATTAAACAGCGATTATGAAAACGCACAAGGACCCTTAAGAATAACTGTTTGCACAACAGTGGGCGTCAAAATGCTGCTGCTGATGATTTACCTTTACAGCAAATGCTCAAACTGTTTTCCTTCAGCCGCAATACACGCTCGACATCTTCTTAAAAAAGATCGGGTTATTAAACGAGCGAATCCACGGTTATTAACAAACTCAGCTGCTTCCAATAGTCTTTGCCGCAGCTCAGCTACATTTTGAATCGGCTTGAAATAAACTTTTTCTTTTACAGTTCCCCAGTAAAAAAAAAATCTAATGGATTCAAATCTGGTGACCGGGCCACGGTATTGTACCAGATCAAAAAAAAATTTAAAATTCCTGTCCAATGGTTTATCTTGAAGCGATATTGAGATTTATCTTCTCTCATCAAATGTGGGTTTGCTACGTGCCACTCGTGTAAGTTATGCAGGTTCATGTACCCATCTTTCTTAAATGTCGTCTCATCCGACTATACAATTTTTTCAAAGAACTGTGGATCTTTCCTGTGTCTTTCTAACATTGTGCGACAAAAAGCAATTCGGGGCTCATAATCCCGGGGCAGGAGAGGTTGAACACGCTGTATGTGGTATGGATGAAGCACATCACTTACTTGCTATTGCACATTTTGATACCGATCAGTACTCCTTCGTTTACTGCGCATCTTTACATGTTCGAGCTTGTTGATTTCGTACTGTTTTGGATTCGTGAACTGGACTGTTGATCGCTTGTGATTTGGATTTGGACTGTTTAATTGCTCTTCAAAACAACATTTGCTTTCCTTAGACTATCTTTGGTAGTGTGATTTTGCAGTGCCGCTATGTCCGTGTACACCGTACAAGAATATGCTAACATGCACCTCATTTATGGTGAATGCAGATGCAACGCTGGTGCTGCAGCGAGACTTTACTGTGAGAGGTACCCGAATGCAGCTCGTCATCCAGATCATCGAGTGTTCACAAATGTGCACCGTTTACTGTTCTCAGAGAGCCAACTACCAAACCAATCACACGGTGAGGGAAGATCTTTCCTTCCTTACGAAGACGTGGTGCTAGGAGCTGTCGAAGAAGACCCGAGTACTTCAGTGCGTGCAATAGAACTATAAACAGGTGTGCTCAAAAGTACAGCCCATAGAATCTTGCAAAAAACGTGCTCCATCCATACCACGTGCAGCGTGTTCAAGCTCTTCTGCCCCGGGATTATGAGCACCGAATTGCTTTTTGTCGCACAATGTTAGAAAGGCACAGGGAAGATCCACGATTCTTTGAAAAAAAATTATGGTCAGATGAGACCACATTTAAGAAAGATGAGTACATGAACCTGCATAACTTAAACGAGTGGCATGTAGCAAACCCACATTTGATGAGAGAAGATAAATCTCAATATCGCTTCAAGATAAACCATTGGACAGGAATTTTAAATGGTAAAATAATCGGTCCGTTTGAGTTCCCAGAGACTTTGACTGTTGAGGTTTATTTAGGTTTTTTGCAAAATCATTTAGAAAATTTATTGGAGGACGTGCCACTGAGTATTTACAGCGACATGTGGTTTCAGCATGATGGCTGCCCAGCGCACTATGCACTCTCAGTGAGAGAGTATCTCGACCAGAACTTTCCAGGCAGATGGATAGGGCGGTCTGGTACAATACCGTGGCCAGCCCGGTCACCAGATTTGAATCCGTTAGATTTTTTTTACTGGGGAACTGTAAAAGAAAAAGTGTATTTCAAGCCGATTCAAAATGTAGCTGAGCTACGGCAAAGACTATTGGAAGCAGCTGAGTTTGTTAATAACCGTGGATTCGCTCGTTTAATTACCCGATCTTTTTTAAGAAGATGTCGAGCGTGTATTGCGGCTGAAGGAAAACAGTTTGAGCATTTGCTGTAAAGGTAAATCATCATCAGCAGCATTTTGACGCCCACTGTTGTGCAAACGGTTATCCTTAAGGGTCCTTGTGCGTTTTCATAATCGCTGTTAAATTAGGAAATTTTGAAAAATTTTCATCACTTTTTCTTCAAATAAAAATTGTGCATAAGTTAACGAGTAATCTTCTAAGTGTTATACCATTTTGGAATCGTTATTAAATGCGCCAACTTTTAAGGTTACTTGCCAAACTCTCGTAATACATTTTTTTCCAGTACAGCCAGTTAAAGTTTAGCAAAGTTTTACTTTGAAATACTTGGTTGGGAAATAAGTGGCAATTTTTCCTGAACGAGAAAAGTTGGCAGTAAGGTTGAAACACCAGTTTGAAGATGCATTATTCATCATTACATTGTAAAAATAAAATCCAAAAAAAGTTAATATTTGTAGTAACAGGAGTTGACAGACTGCCGTAGGGTGTCAAATTTCTATATTTTTTTCAAAGACCTATAATTTTCAAAACACATACATAAAATTTTTTTAAATATTTTTCTGATAGCTGTTATGACTTTGCCTATCACCCGGTTTCGGCTTGACGTCGACTTCTGGGACACCCTGTATATATATACATATATAATATTGAAACTATACAATTCCAAAGCTCCAACTGGTAGCCAAGCTTAGAGACACGCTACTCGTACTCTCAAACACCCTTGCAAAAAAAGTTGTTAGGTAGCAGATATAAATAACTTTTCTACTTTTTAACGCCACTTTATGTATGTCTTATTTTACGTGTTGTTTGTTGTTACTAACTATTTTATGTTCAACTATAATTGACCTGTGCAAACACATGTTTGTGTAATAGCAATAATAAAGTATTATTATTCAAATCATGATTATACGCGTGTCGTTACCAAAATATAAACAGACACTATAAGTGCGTCGCGAACTGTATATTGACGAAAACATTTCAGAACCACCAGGCGTCTCCGCGCAGCACCCCAAATTCATCGCCGCGCAGCACGAAATCCCCCCCGTTGCCGAGTCAACAGCACCAGATGTCGAACCCTCGCAGCGCCCCCCAAACGCCGATGGGGGCCCCGACGACGCCCGGCGGGAGCGTCGTCGCCGGCGTAGGGCAGGCGCAGATGGAGAGGGATCAGTTGCAGCAGCATGTGCAACATCAGCAGATGCAGATGATGGGTAAGATGAAAGAAGAGACTTTGTTAATTGGAAGTGGCTGCCCAGAAAAATCGATTTCTAACTTATGCCATGTCTGCACACATGGACAACTATCGATGAGATTACCGGAAAAACAAAATTTAGTGTTTGTTTCAGATTTATTTAGCATTAATGCTACAATATCCATATTACACAGTATATCACAAAATATATTATGCCTTCAAGACTACATATTTTTATACAAAATTTCACTACTATGAGTTCTGGTTTTCCATGAGATATTTTTTCAATTTCCTTTTGAACATTTCCAAACTGACACACGTCACCATTTGAATTGCTGTTTCGGTAGAATACTTTTTTCTGATTCCTGCTTGAAATTGTGTCAATATCTTGTTTTCTTCAATATAATCAATGACTTGTTCATATATGATTGCTTATAAGAGCTTCTCGACATCTGGCAGTACATTAATTGGCCGCATGTTTGTATATAACTCTAATTTTGCACTTTTGGAACAGGAGTAATAGTAGAACATTTTAATTTTGAATTAAACAAACAATCGGAAACAGTGATCAAATATGCGATGAATTTGTACAATTTTTTACTGGTATAGGTGCGAACTTGGCACATAATATACAAGAAAATGTGCCCAATACTCAGCTTCCAAAAAGATCTTTGAACTCGTGGCATTTAGGCTTCTGCCTGCGTTGCTGCTTCGGTATAAAAAATGTCTAATAACTTTTTCTTTTTAGGGCATCCGGGTCGAGAGCAAATGAATAGCATGCCACCAGATAGAAACGAAGGCGACCGAGGGTTGCATAATCTAAATAATGACCTTGTAGGCGTAGGTGGGGACGTGAGGAACGCTTTTGGAGGATCCAACATTAATATTGGTAAGTCGCGATTTCTGAGATATCATGTTCTAGCAGTCCTTTTGTGGCCCTGTGCTTACCAGCCACAAGATCTGCCCTCCTAGCAAAGTGAAGTACTACTACTGGGTTAAAGTTTCTGTTTTTTGAACATAATTTTTAGGACACACTAAAGGAACAAAAAAATCAAAATTTTCGGTAATCTTTGACAGCCTGTCTTTCAGTGAAAAATGACCGTATCCAGACTTTAAAAAAGGAATTTTGAAGCTTCAAGATTCTAGTTTTCAGATTTAATAACCGAAAAATTTCACTAGCGGCGTTTCTCGTGCAATCCCAACAGATAGCGCAAGGAAGAATGAATAACTTTTTTTCTGTTAGGCCAACATTTGGATCCGTCTCAATATTCTGTTTTTAAAATCTCGATACGATCATTTGGCCCAGAGATACCTGACTTTGGAAGAAAAAGGATCTTTTCGTCGTCTGATACGAGGGTTATTTCAAAAATAAGGCTCCCACATTTTTTCAGGCACAAGTAATTCTTTATTTGAAAAAAAGGAATTCACCATTGGAAACGTTGATCTTTACGCTATTTTTCTCCATAGTCGCCGTTTTTTCTACGCATTTTTTGACGCCTCAGAAACTTGATAATCGCTTCTTGCAACTCCTCGTCCGTCTCGAACCGTTGACCTCCTAGGTGCTCCGTCAATTTCGGAATCGCAATGAGAGTTTTTCCCTACGAAGATTCTGGATTGCCCGTCTCAGCGTTTTCAGAATCCTCGGGAATTTCAAGCGCCTGTTCCCGGATCGTGATTCGCCGATCTTCGAGCAAAATTCGCTCAATCTTCGCCAGAAATTCCTCGGAGATCGACGGCCTCCTGCTTCGTCGCTCATCGTTTCCCCAAATACTTGGCTCAATTGACGATGAATTTTTATGAGTGGTGACGTTTTTGCGTGCAAAAATCGCATGGCTTTCAAGGCCGACAAACACGACGGTATTGCCAGATTTCGCGTGGAAAATCGACCGCATTTTTAACTGCTAATGAGAAGGCTGATTTTTTTATACCTCAATGTACCCCTAATAATCCTACATGACGGCAGATCGATCCAATCCATGGTTTCTACGTGTCTAGATCTAATTTTTCTAGCATCTTTTTGGATATTCTGTTTTGTAATTTATGAATAATTAAACAGGTTCCAATGGCAACAGTACTCCAGGATCGGCGGGTAGATCCTTAAGGAACGACCTGCTGGTCGCGGCTGATTCCGTGACGAACGCTATGTCAACGCTTGTCAGAGAGCTGAATTCAGGTACAAAAAATTAATTTATAAACGGCCAAGCTTCACGCATTTAGTATTATCATATGAAAGCGATATACTTAGCTAGTTTATGCAAGGGTTGTCTAACAATTGAAGTTGGATAAATCTTGCCCTAGCCAGAGTTTTTACCAATTTCAGCGACTTTTTAAATTGAAATTTGTTGTTTATAAAAGTTAACCAAAACCGCTAATACGCGTATTCTGTCCTAATGCCGTATTTCAACGTCTGAAAAGTTATTTACCAGAGATAAAATGAGATACCATGAGGGTGTTCGAAAAATAGACGGAGATATTGTAGAGGGTGCCTCCTTGTTAAAAAATATGAAAAAAGTTTTTATAAACATGGGTCCGGAAATGCAGTTTTCAAGATACCAAGGTGATAATTTTTTTTAATTTGTTGTAGTGTACTTTGTGTCATCTATTGGAAAAGTTGCAATAACACCTAGATTTTTTTTTATTTTTTGTTCTCCAAGGCACTTGTGATTTTTTTAGCAAAAATCAATAAACATCGTGTTTAATTTTTTGTGCATTTTTTCTTCGATCGTAACTTGTTAACAAATATTAGTACAGCTATGAAATTGTATGTGTATATTCCACTTTTATGGATGACTGAAACAAGTGATCATTATCACTTTTTTTCTTCGAAAAATCTTTGCCTTCCTTGAAAACTCAACTTGCGGCGGGACGAGGCTTCAAGAAAATTAAAGATTTTTCGAAAGGAAAAAGTGATAAGAACAACTTTAATCACTCGTTTTATTCTTCCATAAAAGAGGAATATTCACACACAATTTCAGAGCTGTACTTATATTTGTTAACAAGTTCTGATTGAAGAAAAGATGCACAATAAAATGGACAAAAATGCATTTTTTGACTAAAAACATTGTTATTTAGTCATCTATAAACACCATGAAATTATCAGATGAAAAGGATTTAGAATACTGTTCACCCAAGGTCATTTTCATATTGCTGATGTCGCCCTAAATTTAATAATAATAAATGTCTTTATTAATACACATACCTTCGCGACTTTTTAGATTTCATAAAAAAAAATCCTCTTGTAAATTTGAGAGAATTGAAAAATACTGTAGAATAATATTATGAAACTTATCAAGAATTTTAATTGTTTGACAACCTTTTGTTCTGTTTTATATAGTGTACACGATCTTGTTGAAAAACTAGAAATTCTGTGTAGTCTTACACTGTACAAATTTTGTTATTTGACTTTTACATTAGACTTTGCCATAATTCAATCTAAATGGTTTCGCATAGAGGTGGGTTTTATTTATTTATATTTTTTAACATTTACTTTTTTTCGAATTGTGATGTGACACCGCCACTATGTAGAAATATTTGGAAAGAATCAGTACTGAAAAAAAAAGAATTATTTGTGGAAATAGTGATATTGAGAATGTAAATTTTCGGCATGCAGTGTGCCTACATTGTAACGCGTAGCATGTCTACACATCACACAGTGAAAATACTCTCGATTGTTATTTTTTTGTTAGGTATTTTTATAAATTGTATTATCTATTGTTATTTTTTCATAATCTTTATTTTTTGTAATATATTCTTTCATGTTGAAATTTTGAGTTTATTTTATTTTTCCGTTTTTTTTTACATTATTCGTTTTAAAATAAGTAACCAGAATGGTTTTTCGAATACTTGTGTGTGTTGTTTAGAATTGACTTGAGGAATACAAACTTTGGGTATTGCCAGACAAATCGTTACTTGTTAAAATATAAAAAATATTCGTTTGTTTCTAAAAGAGTCAATGTTGCTGACGACTAAAAGAGTTACTGTATTTAACTGTTTGTTTTCGTAGGTAAGTTACTTTGAGATATTTTTTGTTTAACCGAAATACTGAAAACATACTGAACATCCGCATTTTGTAAAAACAATAGTGTGGTAGACTTGTTTGTGGAATGCTGCCTGTTGAATGACTGTTAAATTGCAGAATCCTCACTACAGCCAGAAGCTAGTGGTATCAGAAAACCTATTGGTGAGTAGTTTATGTAGATCGATATATTCTTTGCTTTTTTATGCTATATCTGTTATGATGTGACTTCTGCCTATCTTTCCTGGCGCGCTACAGGGTCTTTCCTTATTGTCAATATTTAAGTGGTCGATTTTGGGGTGCATTTTAAGAAGAAAACTTCATTTATACGTATGTCCTCTTTTGAGATACAGGTTGAATTTCTAAAAAAAACACAGACTTGTAAAAATAAAGAAATCTATTCATTTATGAACAGACTTCACTATATTGTATAAAGATGTCTGCTGTAACCGTGTGTCAGTAACGACCAGTGTTGCTAGGACAACGAAATGCACCAGAAATTGGAGAGATTCAATAAAAAAAACCCAGGAATTTTAAAAGTTAATTTTTTAAGCTGTATTACTTTTTTCGTTGCATCACACAAGTCCGTGTTTTTCATTTATATCGGTTTGTCAGCCGGTGTCTGTTGTATATCAAAGCGTAATAAGTACTGAGTCACTCTACTTGACGAAATATTCGGAGAACCATCGTAGACGAAGTGACACATTTCTGTTGTAGCCGTGTGTCAGTGACGACCAGTGTTTCCAGATCAAAAACATAAAGGGTTGTCCAATAGGGACGCAGGAAAGTAAACGTCAATTTGACATAGACGCCATCTTTGTTTTCTGTCACCGACATGTCATTTTGTTAGTTGAATGTTTACCATTGATCGCTATGGAGTCGTATTCGATTGAAGACCGCATTAAAGTTATTCAAGAGCACTACAAAAATGGTGCAAAAATAAATAACACGTTTCGCGCGCTTCGTGAACATTTCGGTCGCAACAACCGCCCAAACGAAAAAACCATCGGTGCGTAAATTCGAGGCAACAGGTTCTGTGGCAAATCTGCCAGGCTCTGGCCGGCCAAGGAGCGTTCGCACACCGGAAAATATTGCTGTTGTGAAGGAGAGTGTGAGAGACGATCCGAGGCAATCAACAACGCGTCGATCCCAAGAATGGGGCATTTCGAGAACCAGTTTGCTCCGCATTCTCCACAAGGATTTGAATGTACACGCCTACAAGATCCAATTGACGCAAGAGCTGCGTCGGGCCGACCATTTTTCGCGCCGAACGTTCTCAGATTGGCTCCTTGAACACCGCCAAATTGATGCCAATTTTTCATCAAAAATCATGTTCAGCGACGAAGCGCATTTCACTTTGAATGGGACGGTAAACAAGCAAAACTGCCGCATCTGGGCGAACGAAAATCCCCGTGAGTATCAAGAGCAGCCGATACATCCTCAAAAAGTGACTGTGTGGTGTGCATTGTGGTCAAAAGGCATCATCGGACGTTACTTTTTCGAAAATGCGGCCGGGGACGCCGTTACCGTCAATTCTGAACGATATCACGTGATGATAGAGGACTATTTTTTGCCGCAACTTGAAGGAATGGATATGGACGATGTTTATTTCCAACAAGACGGTGCAACATGCCACACAACCAACGTCAATATCCATCGATTGCAGTCCTTCTTCGGTGATCGCGTGATTTCGCGCAGAGGAAATGTGCCATGGCCACCAAGTTCGTGCGATTTGACTCCCTTGAACTTCTTTTTATGGGGATATTTGAAAAGCAAAGTCCACGTCAACAAACCAGCCACCCCCCAAGAACTCAAAAACAACATCATTGCCGAGATAAATGCAATAGAACCGACCATGTTGCAAAATGTCATTGAAAATTTCGACCATCGCGTGGACGTCTGTAAATCCAGTCGTGGTGAACATTTGAGCGATATTATTTTTCATACGTAAATGGTATAAATGAACCTTCAAAATAAAGTACCCAACTTGATTTGAATATCAATCTTTCTTGTTTTAATATGCGTTTACTTTCCTGCGTCCGTTGTGGACAGCCCCATACAATACACCAGAAATTGGAATTAAAAACACCAGATTTAAAAAAAAATTAAAAAAACGATTCACTATAAATTTCCAGCTACTGTGACGAAAGCAATAAAATATGTCATTAGCACCTACTTAAGCTAAAATTTGAATACACTTTTTCGCACGGTTTTTAAGTCAAGTAGATTGACTCTTATCTTCACCGCCTCTGAACCAATTTGAAATCTACGACTACCTAAACGAGAGAAGTATAAAACTCGCGATAATATTCGAAGTTTAATGTTGCTTAACGATATCTGAATCACTCAAGTCTGTGTTTCTCATTTATATAGCTTTGTCAGTCCGTGTCTGTTGTATATCAAAGCGTATTAAGTACTGAGTCACTCTACTTGACGAAATATTCTGAGAACCATCATAGACGAAGTGACACATTTCTGTTGTAGCCGTGTGTCAGTGACGACCAGCGTTGCCAGATCAAAAACATACAACTCACCAGAAATTGGAATTAAAAACACCAGATTTAAAAAAAATAAAAAAACGATTCACTATAAATTTCCAGCTACTGTGACGAAAGCAATAAAATATGTCATTAGCACCTACTTAAGCTAAAATTTGAATACACTTTTTCGCACGGTTTTTACGACAAGTAGATTGACTCTTATCTTCACCACCTGTGAATCAATTTGAAATCTACGACTACCTAAACGAGAGAAGCATAAAACTCGCGATAATATTCTAACTACAAGTTTAATGTTGCTTAACGATATCTGAATCACTCAAGTCCGTGTTTCTCATTTATATAGCTTTGTCAGTCCGTGTCTGTTGTATATCAAAGCGTATTAAGTACTGAGTCACTCTACTTGACGAAATATTCTGAGAACCATCATAGACGAAGTGACATAAATTGAAGTTCAGGCGAAATGGGTGGTACATTTAAGGATCATAAAATTCTGAAAAATACATGTGTGGATATAAAAACAGTTACGTCATCGTTCACGAAAGCGTCGCGGATGTACTGTCATGGACAAAAGTATGGAAATATTTTTATTTCAAACATTTTTCCAGCTCGCCTCGTTTACAGGAATAAATTGTACCGTTCATTTTATATGCCTGCTTAGGTATCACATATTTTCACATGTTTACTTTTTGTGCCATAGACATTTCTACGTTATTTCCGTTTTTTTTTACAATTGTATTGAAAGTTTTTTCATATCAGCATCGTTACTTATTCAACATCATTGGATTAGTTTTGTTTGATCAATGCTATAACCAGCATCCTATTAAGAATGAGCAAGAATAAGAGTTGCGACTTGAAGTTGAGGAGTTGAAAAGCAAAGTGTAAAGCAAGAAGTTTAGACTTGAGCGAGGGTGACGTTTCAAAAATTCTAAAAGTTTCGGTTACTAGGAAACGTTACTAACCGGCCAAGGTTAGGTGGTCCTAGAAAAACTACCCCCTATGTTGATAAGGACATTAAAAGAATATCGATAGCTGATCCGCATAAGTTATCCGTTCAAATTAATAATAAATGATGTATTATGGAAAACTTTACCACCCTGTATTTCAAAAGTTAAAACGCTTAGCCATAAAAAATCTCCCACTGAATATTGAAATTCTATTAGGAAACACCCTGATTACTACTTATAAAACTGTCATTTCAGCTTTTGTACAAAATTTGGCTTAATAGAATTCTGTAAAAATATTGGATACATAACTCAGAATAGTGTCGTTTCGAAATATGTGTATATTCGTAGATTTCTAGCTATCTAGTATATAGTTTTTTAACGGATACTTCGTTCTCACTGACAAAGAATCGGACAGATGGGATTTTGGAGAATGGTTAAATTTCCCGAAAAGCTGCCATCTTGTTGTTGAAAGGTCCTTATCCTTGTTTAGAAGTATACTAAGTGACATATAAATCCGAACACCCAGTTTAAATGGTTTTATTTTAATAAAAGTTGGTGAATGTATTTATCTTACTGTAAATAACAAGTTAAAAAATTTTCAGCATGATCAATTAAACATTCCGGTTTTTATACTGCTTTTTTTTAATTCACTAACGCTCTAAAAATGAATATTTCAGCCGCAGTAAAGAATCAACGTTGGCGGATTTTGGTTCTTGACATCCTTTACGATCGGTTACGATGCCTAGAGTACGGAGACCTGTACGATTTCGTCAACTTAGTGAGTTTGATAGGGGCCGTATAGTGGGACTTCGGGAAGCTGGACTTTCTTTTCGGGCAATTGCAGTTAGAGTGCAAAGAAGTGTAGACACTGTGGTTAGGTGTTGTCAGGCATGGCTTCGAGAAGGCCGTACGCAAAGAGCAAGGGGCACTGGACGCCGCCGTAGAACAACAGACCGTGAAGATCACCGCCTAAGATTATTGGCCTTAAGGGACCGTTTCTCCACTACCAGGTCCATTGCAAATGAATGATTTGCAAAACACAGAAGACCTATTGGCATGCGAAGTGTTTACCGACGAATGAGAAGTTTTGGCTTGTTTTCATACCGGCCACACTGGGTCCTCCCTTTAACTCGAGAGCACCGACGTAATCGCCTTGAGTGGTGCAGACAACGGTCACTCTGGGATTAGGAATGGAACAGTATTGTCTTTAGTGACGAGTCTCGATTTTGTTTAGGCATGCACGATGGTCGTGCCAGGGTTAGAAGGCGACGTGGTGAAGGGAGGAATCCATAGTTTTTTGTTGAAAGACATGTTCATCATACTGTTGGAGTTATGGTTTGGTTTGCAATAGCTTATGGTTCCAGGTCACCTTTAATCTTCATCACAGGTAACATGAACGCGCAGCGTTATATCCACGAAGTTCTAGAACCCCATCTTTTACCCTATCTTGACACCCTGGCAGATCCAACTTTCCAACAAGATAATGCCCGACCACATGTTGCAAGAGTCACAATAGACTTCTTTCAACATAATGATGTCACATTGTTACCATGGCCACCAAGATCTCCCGACATATCCCCAATTGAGCACGTGTCGGATATGATGGGTAGGAGATTGCTCAATTTGCAACGTCCTCCTCAGACTCTAGAAGCACTTCAAGAGGAGTTGGTTATTAAAGGTCAAAGGGCTTTAAAGCAGTGCAATCATTTGGAAATTTTTATCATTTACTTATTATGCTTCATTAAGTACTTATACAAAATTTTATTAAAATAAAACCATTTAAACTGGGTGTTCGGATTTATATGTCAGTATATTTCACTTTGAGAAATTCTGAAATGAAGGAAAACGACGGATTTTTACGAATAACGTAGAGGAATTCCCTGTGTCCCTATGTCTTAGATACAGACATAAAGCGAAATTCGCCAATAAAATCCCTGTCTGGTGCGCAATTTCTAACAGGGGTGTATCCCAATCTTTAGTGGGAAGAGTGTTGGGTGAAGCTTTGAATAGTCAGAGCTATATTGATAACTGCCTCTCCAAATTGCTGTAGTTTGACTACCCAACTTATCTGGTACTCAGACAAAAATGCAATATCAAGAAAACTCCCATCAATCAGACGGTTACTTTGAGACCCTTCCACACTTTTCCCCATTTTTTAATAATAATTTTTCAATGTATATGCCGTTAGACTTCGAAGACGACGGCGAAGACGAATCGGACGGCGGCTGGCAACAAGAACTACAACGTCGCTACGCTCAAGAGGAAAGCTTCATGGCGGAATTGCGCGCGAGACACCCTCCCAGCCAAGGGGAGGTTCCCTTCCAACCCTATGGCGCATACGGCGGTGGACAGCCGTTCCGGGTACAGCCTGTGCACTACCCGGGGCATCCGCACGGCGATGGCGCGGAGTACGACCAGCAGCTGCAGCAGGGATATGGAGCTGCAGCGGGATTTGGACAGCAGGGAAACCAGGAGCAAGATACGCCGTTTGGACAGGTACGGCCCTCTTAAAACCGTTTCACAGTCCAGCTGCAGGACTCGATTTAAAGCTGATTATCACTGGACAACAAATTTTAGTTTTTTAATTGTATCTTGTGGGAAAAGTGCACTTCTTTGTTAATTTTGGGGCGCTGAATCCAAAAATGACAATGAAGTAAAAAAATTAGTTGCGGTTTAGAAAAAACTTTTTATTTTTAAGGATATACTAAAAAAAGTAACAAGATTCATATACTTATAAGAATCATATATATGCGCTGTCTTTTTGCTGTTCTTTTATGGATCGTTTCTGGAGCATCTCTACCAAGGGTCCAACAGTAGTCTGCAAGCATGGAAGGATTCCACTTTCACTGGTACCTTTCTCCATTGTTGAAATATCCTGATGAAAACGTTCGCCGTGCTCATCACTTACGACTCCGCAATTGTCAGGAAAACAGTCCAGGTGTGAGTGTAGGAAATGTATCTTAAGAGACATATTACAGCCCAACTTTTGATACGATGACAGCATATTTTTGACAAGGATTTTATAGTTGTCAGCTTTTCTATTTCCCAAGAAATTAGTGACCACCAGACGAAAATCATTCCAAGCAGTTTTTTCAATACCTGTTAAAGTGTTTTCAAACTGTGTATCTTTCAAAATATTTCGAATCTGTGGCCCAACAAAAATACCTTGTTTAACCTTTGCCTCACTGAGTCTTGGAACTTTCTGACGCAGGTATTGAAAAGCTGACCCATCTCTATCTAATGCCTTGACAAAGTTTTTCATTAGGCCCAACTTGATATGCAGTGGTGGTAATAAATTTTTTTTCGAATCTACTAATGGCTATGCTGTACATTTTTTTGACCTGGCTCTAGGAATTGACGAACAGGCCAGTTTTGTCTGGTGTAATGAAGTGCCTTTGCCCGACTGTCCCATTCACACAAAAAACAGCAAAACTTTGTGTAGCCTAGCTGCAGCCCAAGTAAAAGTGCAACAACTTTCAAATCGCCACAAATATGCCATTGGTGCTCATCGTATTTTATGCATGTCAGTAGGTACTTCATATTGTCATATGATTCTTTCATGTGAACTGCATACCCTACAGGAAGAGATGGTAAAATATTTCCAATATGCAATAACACTGCCTTTAAACTCAATGTTGAACTGTCTATAAACAATCTCCATTCTTCTGGGTTATAGTTTATATTTAAAGCCGCCAGTAAGCCGTTAATGTTACTGCAGAAAACCAAGTTATTCTCCATATTGAAAAATGGTTCGAAGTCTTTGTGGCGTTTACAAAAAACATACCGAAACATCGTCTTCTAACAAGTTCCACTGCTGCAGTCTTGATCCAAGTAACTCTGCCTTACATTTTGGAAGTTCTAAATCTCTTACAAGATCATTTAATTCTGACTGTGTTATTTTGTGCGGTTGGTGGCATGACGTGCTCGGTATAAAATCAGGATCTCTTGACGTTGATGGCATATCTTCTTCCTGACGAATCACTCGATCGCCATGATCTGATTCGTTTTCTGATTCGCAAGTGTAGGATTCTGGGGGTTTTGGAATAGGATTTTCGTCACTGTGAGGCACAGGTCTCATCGCAGATGGTATGTTTGGGTAGTTAATAACCGATTTTTTTTTCTTGGACATACCTGTGGCTTGTCCAACACAAGGTACCATGCAAAAGTAACAATCATTAATATGATTTGTAGGCTCTCTCCAAACCATTGGGACAGCAAAGCGCATAGACCGTTTTTTGCCATTTAACCAGCTCCTCAGACTTGAAGCACATGTATTACAGCAGATGTGGGGTGCCCACTGTTTGTCTTGATCACCTAGTTTACAACCGAAATAAAGCTGATATGCCTTTGTTATTAGTGGAGTAATAGACCGTCTCTGAGACGCAAAAGTCACATCACCACACACGTAACAAAACTGATCTGGATTGTTTACACACTTTCGAGACATCTTGCATGAACGCTGTCAGCCGACTGAGGAAAAAATGGCTAATATAAAACAATATAATGTACACGTATGTATAACGTAACACAATCATGCCGATTACATCATCTTTCCTTGCCGAATATAAAAATGTAGCACGTGCATTCTTGTGAATTACAGTATATTAACACTGTCACAGCAGGAACACATATAATTACCGTATCTCTAAAACTCGAACTAATATTGAAAAAATAAGTTTCATTCCGGTTTTAGCACATTAAAAATAGTAATATTTTGTTGATTTTATTTAGGATATTTTTTGGCTGTTGATCAGTGTTATTGACTCGTGTTGAAAACTAAATCCGCATGGTGACACTTCGCAGATAGGCGTTTCTTGTTGGGATCGGTGGTGGGGGAGCCGACAAACACGACGGTGTTGCCAGATACAGCGTTGGGAACATTATTTTTGAAACAACCCTCGTACAAGTCCATACGTGGGATGTCTTTTAAGTGTTGCATATGGAAATAAAACAACACGGTAGGTAGTTTTAAATGACTCCATTGCTTTTCGAAGTATTCTCCACGAAAATTAATACACATCTGCGTGCGTTCGAACCAATTTTCGAAGCACTTATTACACTCGTTTGCTGGCGGATCCAAAACGGCATTTTTGAATGCGTCAACTGCTTCTTCTCGTGACTGGAACCTTTGACCACGCAGACTGTTTTTAATTTTCAGGAAAGTGAAGAAATCGTTAGAACTTAGATCGGAACTATATGGAGGATGGTCCAATAATTTCACGTTTTCTTCCGTTAAATACTGCCTTGTTTTTTGGGCTGTGTCTGAGCTTGCATTGTCTTGGTCTAGGATGATTCTTCTTTCAGGGTTGATTTTTAGAAGCTCGGTGATGACTTTTGGCAAACAAATGGTGGTATACCAATCCGCAGTAGCAGTTCTTTGCTCATTAAGAGGAATTGTTGCAATACGACCTGCTTTTGACACAAATGTCACGACCATCTTTTTTGGGGTATCCAATGAGAAACTAATTTTCTTACTCTACACCCTAGGATCGTCGCTAAGACTCACCCGTCCACGTTTGAATTCTCCATTCCAACGGGAAATTGTCGACTGACGTAGCGCTTCGTTGCCGAAAACACACAGTAACTCAGCAAGGCATCCTTGTTGCGATAATTGTATCTGCAAGTTGTAATAAATTATGGCGCGAAAATGTTCTCGGTTGAGTCCCATTTTTCTAATGACTTGGTGACACTTAAAAATTTACTGTAGTGAGAACACTGCACGTTTTGTTGGGAAACTTTGAATTTAAGTTTACTAAAGAGTGACGTTAAGATTCAGTACCGACGTTCGATCCGCGCGTCAGTAGTGATACTATGGGGATTGAGTCTCACTGTTAATAAAGTCCGCCACTAGAGGCGCTGGCGTCATGCGCCATTGATGAGTTGGACGGAATCTGTATGTGAAATTGATGAGTTGGGAATTTCGCCGCTAGATGGCGCTGTACAAACCAAACGGAATCTGTGTCATTGGACACCTGTCATTGATGGGTTGGGCATCTCGCGCATAGATGGCGCTACACACGTCATACGTCATTGGACACCTGTCATGCGTCATTGATGGGTTGGGCAGTGACATTGACAAACCAAACGGAATCTGTATGTGTCATTGGACACCTGTCATTGATGGGTTGGGCATCTCGCGCATAGATGGCGCCGATGTCGCACCTGTCTGTACGATGGTGTTGGCGTGGATATACGGGGGGCAGAAATTTAGAACCTGTATACAGGGGTGCATCGAAAAATAGCGGATCGATTTACCGACGGTATATCGTTAAATCGTATATAGCAAGGCGTGACCTAAATAGCGTGGTGGGCTCCTCTGATCGGTCAGAATGTCTTATAACCTGTAAACGATGTACTCTGTTATTATACTATGTTTCTATATGCAAAACTTAAAAGACATCCCTCGTACCATCGTTAGAAAATAGATACGGCTTAGGTTGCAATGACTAAAACGTGACGAACCAAGGGTTGCCTTTGCCAGGCAAACCTGCTGTAATCTGGCTGTGTGTTCAGTTAGTTTTTATATTTACAGCCATTCATACCAGAGAGGCGTTGCAGCCAAGAAAGGCGCGCGAGTCAAGAACAAGTGAAACAGTACGAGATCAGGGAAGAACTCACCGAGGAGGACCAGGAAGAAAGAAACAACCAAATGTTGCAATTCGAGGAAGCACTGAAGCAATGGGTGAACAGATAAGTAGACAAAAGTGAACGGAATCATTTCGTTGTGAACTAGAACGACGTTACGCTTATTATTTATTCATTTCTGTATTAGACTGGGTCTTAAATATTAAATCCTTGAAGACTTAATTTCGATATTTTTGAAGTATGTTTTGATCTAATGTATCGCGAATACGCTACAAAAATTATGTCTATTTGTATACTTGATTTTTTTGAGTACAAGAAAATGTGAATCATCGATGTATAACGTTCAGATACTACAATCCTGACCGGTCGAAAACCACCGCATGGAATGAATCAGTAGATTTCCCAATACCCGAAGTAAAATCATCAGACTGTTAACACGATCTATCTCTGTCTAGACTGAGATGTACTTGTAGCATAAATGTAGTAAGCAATTGATACATGTATAATGTTATTGTAAGAACACGATTTGTTAACTAAAACCGTTGATTGTCGTATTCTGCCTGAAAATGTCCAACCCAATGCTATATTTCCAGGTCCACAAAATTATCCGTGATAAAATGAAATATCGTCTTCCAAAATCTGCATACGGTGAGTCACTCTTATTTCCTGCATGTAGAGTGCTGACATCAGTAAAGCTGTGGATCGGATTGATCGTACAGGAAAGGAGGTCGTTGATAAGTAAGGACTGTTTCAGAATACAACGTTTTTTGTACAAGATTTGATTCAATTTCCTGGACAAGATAAATTTGGTTTGAAAAAAAACAATATGAACAAGAGATTGATTAAAATATTTAACATGTTATATTTCCTTACAATTTATAGGCTTTGCCTCACTTGTTATTATACTAAATGACATTAAGAAACAGAATCGGGAATTATTTCTTGTGTAATAAACTGTGTAAATGTGAAACAGTCATTTTTGATGCGAAACAACTTTCTATCTAAAATATTGTCCCAAAAATTGAACCAAATCTAAAACGATGTTAAGAGGAACACTGTCAGAGTCAAGACCGATCCCTGGGGAACACCCGCGTTGACGTTGTCGGATGAAAAGGAGAACCCATCAATCACGATGCATCTTGCGGCCAGAGAGAAAGTCGACCATCCACCTCAAATAATTTTTTTGATGTGGGAATATAGCGTTAACCTGGCTATCTTCAGGAATAACACGATATTTAATGTTAAAACAGTATACCCCAACAGCTGAAAACATTTAACCGTCGTACTTTTTTATGGACGAAAAAATTACAGTAGAGAGCAAATGAGGAATGAGCTACAGTAGCGGGCAAAAGTTTGGAAACAAATTGTGAAGGAACAGATAATATAAATATTAAAGTCTATATTTGTCTCCCGGACTAATACAACGTTTATCTTATCAATATTCAAATTCACTGAAGAAAAAAAACACGGGTTTTTTAAATACCACAATTTTTGTAACGACAAAAGTATGGAAACGTTTCAGTTTTGCCGTATTTATTCGTTCTGCGATACTCTGACATTGCGTGCGGTAAATATTAACATCAGTGAGAATGGCAAAAGTAAAACAATTTTCAAAAGATTTAAGAGACAAAGTAATCGAAAATAGAAACGAAAAAATTCTATGAGCAGCAGATGTCAGGCAGTGTTGAACGCTAAAGACTATGCTACCAAATATTAGCTAAACAGTATTTAAATATTTTTGTATTTAGTTTTGTAATAAAAAATGTTTCCATACTATCGTAGTCTCATTTTTGGTCATAAAATAATACGAAGTTATTTTAAAACTACATAGTCTGTAGTATCACAGCAAACACAAATTGTTATTTGTATCCTCCACAGCAAACTAGGTGTATATGAGTAAAATCAGTCTTCAATAATAAAGAATAAAAAGAGCACTTTTTAAAATTTACTAAGAATGTTTCCAAACTTTTATCCGGTACTGTAATTGCACACTAAAAACCAGCTAGTTGTAAGATGACATTTTAACCTGTTTTTTTACGGTTTTTAGATTTTCGTCTGGTTGCATCTGCTGTATTTTTTTTAGTCTGTGCAGGGTTAAATGTCTAAACTCTTGCGGTAACTCGTTTCGCAAGTTGTGACTTGTTATTTTGTTTTGATATGTGATATAACTCCCCTTTGTTGAAACTGTGTATGTATGTATCGATCAAGACGTGGCTTTTGGAGCTTAGTGCTGTCTTTGAAGTTTGACATGTAAAAAGTTGATAAGATATCGTAGCATTTTACACTGTGAGCGATATTGTATAGTTAAAATTTCGTATATTATACAGGGTGCTATAGTTTTCCGATCTAAGTCTAGCCTGTTTAAATGCCCAATAAGTATTAGGAACAAATCATCATCTGAATTTGTAGGCTTGCTAAGTGAAATCCGAGGAAGCTAATAGGGTGATCAAAAAGTATCGATGGATATAAAACGTCTCGAAAAATATGTTTCAGAGAGCAAATTGTTGTAAGGTTTGAAAATATTCATCTATTGATGGTCTTGAACGTGACCTTGGCTATGACCTTCGACCTCATTTGAAGGTCGAGGTAGTTTTCTTAAATGGAAACTCCTATTTTTGATACCGGAACAAGAGCAAAAAACTTTGTTATATGTTAAAGGTCATTTGAAGGTCAAATGTAAATTTTAACAGGAAATATCTATTTTTAATTCCTGGATTTCGAATTCCGGACACTCAAGTTCAAGTATATTCTTGCCAACGAACCTGACCATGATCTTCAAGGTCATTTCAAGATCAGATGAATGTTCAAGTGAACTCCTTACTTTTTGTCAAGGATATAAAAAAGCGAACCATTGAAATTGATTCTTAAACGTTTGTGAAATTAATTACCTTTAGCTTTACAGCGGGTTTATTTTATTATTATACAGCGTGATTCACAGATCGTGACCAAGAATGGAACATAATACACAGGACCGCAATCTTTTACTCCAAGGCTTCATTAAAAAGATACGTTGAATTTTTTATTTTCTAACTTCATCTTTTTAATGAAGCCCTTCAGGAAAAAAGTGATAATGTGTGTGATGTTTCATTTTCGGCCACGACTTGTGAATCACCCTGTATCTTGATCGCGAATCTAGAATCGACTGTCTTTCAGCAAATAACTTTTTTTAAAGGACCCCCAATGATCACTATAACCATCCTGTATAATGTACAGTTCGTTTCATCAATCATATTCATTGTCCATCTATCTTCCATCCCTGTTTGTATTGTGCGCTTCTATACCTAATAGTAAGTATCGGACCAAATACTTTTACCTAACCCTTAAATTAAGTTATCCTAAACCGAAAATAGATACAGAACATACGTAGCGCTAGCTTTTCAAAAGTTTTCAATAGTATGCATGAAAAATTTAGCATAATATATGCCTTCAGTTTTATTTTGCATTGAAGAACCTCGTTACATTATCTCTTTTTTATATTTGATTAACTTTTCATAAGGCATTTCCACCTAAATTAAATTCAGGCTGAAAACCGGCATTATTAAACCCGCTTTTCGTTCATCTTCGGTATCAGGAAAGTTTTTACTCTTATTTTTCAAACGAAATTACATACAGGGGGTGCGACATTTTCGTTGGGCCACCCTGTAGATACACTAAACTGTCCCTAGCATTCAATCTGTTCCTCGTAAAATTATCGGTGCAAGAAACAAAATGTAACCGGAAAAGCGCAAGAGCATTCCAAGGAATAACAATCAGAATCATTTACAACATGGATTTAGTTATTTTCGAAAAAATTACGTATCATGTATTTCGTTTTTTTTTTCTGTTCTTGTGTTCTATATTTTGAGACGCTTGCAAAAACTGACTATTGCCCTAACATAAACTAATATTTCTGGCTTAAAGTAACTAAAATTGCAACGGTATAGTATAGTGGTGTGTAGTTCGCGAACGAACTAGTTCAATAGAACGATTCTTATAAGTGAACTAGTTCATCAATCCTTGGAAAACTCGTTCACTACGAACGGCTGGTATTACAGAAGGTAGGAGACAGGAGTCTGAACACCGTAGCAGAAGGCTGACAAAATTTGCTAACTTTTATAAATTGCGGCTCATGAATAACTTAAAACAATACAAAAATGAAAGTGTAAACGTAAATACAAATTTCAATTGTTAGAAAAGGTGTATAATCTCATAGCTACAGTAGCGGACATAGTTCGGAAACAAATATTAACATTGTTATGAACTATTTCATATACCTAAATTAAAATTGTGAAGGAACAGATAATATAAATATTAAAGTCTACCTTTTTCTCCCGGGGCGATTTCGAAAATTATTGGTAAATATGTCAGGCAGTGTTGAATGCTGAAGTCTATGCTACCAAATATTAACTAATCAGTATTTTTTAAATATTTTTGTAGAGTTATTGTATAAAAAATACGTTTCCATACTTTTGTCGTCTCATTTTTGGTCATGAAATAATATGAAGGTATTTTAATGCTACTACAAACACAAATTGTCATTTGTATCCTCAAGACTGTAAGCAAACTATATGAGTACAAATAGTCCTCGATAGTAATGAATAAAAAAATTAGCGCACTTTTTATAAATTACTAAGAATGTTTCCAAACCTTTGATCGCTACTGTACATCTACTATGTGAGCGACAGTTTACGTGTATTAATTAAATTTGAAACAAAAAAAGAAAAAAACGAGGTGTTCCTTGTGTAAAACAGTTCGTTCGCGAATTAGTTCCTAGAACTAGTTCGTTTTAGTGAACGCGACCTATTGAACTAGTTCACCGAAATGATCTAGAAGCACATTGCTAGTATAGTATATAACTAAAATTTTGGAAAGTAGCCTTTGTTCCATTTCCTTTGTTTTCTAGATTGATTAAATGACGAAGTATATGTGTATTATAAATATTATTTGCTATCGCCTAAGCATCGTTTGGAATATTTTCCACTATTGTTGAAAGTTATGTAAAAAACTTCTTTGACTGAAAGTTTGAGTAGAAACAGTGAGAGAATTGTTAAAGTTTTGCATGTTATAGGTATTGTACGTCTTGAAATAAACATTAGGAGAATGTAACTGATTTCACTATATACCCTGAAAAAACTTCATCGTAACACCGTCCATAAATTTTTTGCTCAACGTACGAGGATCGTGGAATAGGAAAATTCATAATTTGGAATATTGATTTCCAAATATTCATATATATATATATATATATATATATATATATATATATATATATAGGTGAAAAATTAAAGCTTCGGCCTTTTGCTGGATACTTCGACAAAATTTAAGCAAAGAGGACTCTTTATACTTTTTTTAATTCTCTCTAGCTTTCAATGGACTTTGCCATCTTCATCAGGAGCTGCAATTACAATGATAACAGTAGCAACAAAAGTGTAAAATGAATTTAAATTGAATCAACTTACAGTAGTATGTGAGGATGTTGCTAATTGTTGTTTTCGTATAGGATGAGGGAAACGTCCAGTAACATGGTGAGAGCTGGATACATGGTACAATGGTTAAAATTATATAAAATATGACAAGACAAGTTAATGACAGATTAAACATTATTTAGAAAACATTAGAGCATTACGTCGTGAAGCCACTTGATGATTGCACAAAATGGTGGTTATGGAATAATAAGTGAGATGAACCTTTGACAGAAGGCCGAAGGTTGTCAGTGTCTGTGTTGAAAGATGGAACGAATTGTGGGCGTGTGCCAATACGTTGCCAAATCACTTCAGATGATGTGATTTTCAGAATGTTATGTAAGAAATTGTTAAACCGACCAGAGGCAGTTGAATAAAATATATTTTATTTATTAATGGGAATTTTAAATTAACAATTATTAATAAATCCACTCAAAATCTAATAATTCTCTTCTCACGATTTATTAATAATTGTTAATTTAAAATTCCCATTAATTAAAATATATTTTATTCAACTGCCTCTGGTCGGTTTAACAATTTCTTACATAACATTCTGAAAATCACATCATCTGAAGGGATTTGGCAACGTTTTGGCACACGCCCACAATTCGTTCCATCTTTCAACACAGACATTGACAACCTTCGGCCTTCTGTCAAATGTTCATCTCACTCATTATTCCATGACCACCATTTTGTGCAATCATCAAGTGGCTTCACGACGAAATGCTCTAATGTTTTCTAAATAATTTTTAATCTGTCTTTAACTTGTCTTGTCATATTTTATATAATTTTAACCATTGTACCATGTATCCAGCTCTCACCATTTTACTGGACGTTTCCCTCATCCTATACGAAAACAACAATTAGCAACATCCTCACATACTACTGTAAGTTGATTCAATTTAAATTCATTTTACACTTTTGTTGCTACTGTTATCATTGTAATTGCAGCTCCTGACGATGATGGCAAAGTCCATTGAAAGCTAGAGAGAATTAAAAAAGTATAAAGAGTCCTCTTTGCTTAAATTTTGTCGAAGTACCCAACAAAAGGCGGAAGCTTTAATTTTTCACCTATATATATATATATATATATATATATATATATATATATATATATAAAATTGTTTATTGTGGTTGGGATATATATTTTTCTTTAGTTATAATTTTATTATTTTGTATTCGAGATACGGGCATTAATACGATAATACTCTTTCAATCTCAGTGCCTGAATGTTGATGAAACCGGTAGCGTCACTGGGACTGAAATTGGAATGTTTATCCATTGACACGAGATCTTCATTATACATCGATGTTTCCGAAGATCTTCCAAGGATTGTCACTGGAAATATTCAAAAGTTAGAACTGCAATTAAAGTCCCTCAAAATACATTCTTACCGTTTCCTTTATAAATTTCAACTTTGACAAAGCCATTCACGGATTGTTCGGCAAGAGCAATGCATTTTCTGACATATTCTCCTTCGGGAGAAAACCAAAAACCGTTGTATACATAGTCTGCCAGATGTTCAGACAAGCTCTGTTTCAACCTGTACACTTCTTTGTCCAAACAAAATAGTTCGATATCCTTATGTGCTGTGTGAAGAATGTGGCCGCCAGGGGTTTCATATACTCCCCTAGACTAAAAAATAAAGAATTCAGCTATTGATCAACATATACGAGCCCTAACACAAAAATGTTCGGACATTATCTAATTTTAACTAAAAGTTTGTTTATTTTTGTAAGATTGAAAATGAACTGACACTTCCTCCAAGGCATCGGGATGTTGAATAAAGATTTTTCGGTCGTTAAAAGGGCACTACATGTCTATTTCAGCCGTGTCTAGATACGCCACTTTGGCGTGTTGTTTTTCCCCTACAAATCTCTGGACATATTAGTACTGCCTCAGAACGCATTCCTTACGTCCTGAATATCGTCTAGTGCTACCAGAAGGCTTAAAATTTGATTGAAATCATTTCATGCATTATTATACATTCTAATACGGAAAACAAAAAATATCAATTTCTGTTTATTTCTGGGTGTAACACATGGCAACAAAAACGACTGCGCAATGTCATACAAACAAGGTTTGCTCGAGGATTCGAGACTCTATTATCGGAGACAAAATAATATTTACAACAGATCAATAATTGATCTAAAATTTTACATTTTAGAGAAAACGTGTATACGAGGAGAGGTCAGTACGTAATTCACGGCACTGGGAAAAAGCTTCATTACTATTGCTTGCATATCATTAACGAAACTGTTTTCAAGTTATATGATATTGAAATATTAAATCAAACTAATATTTCTAACAACGCAACATTTTGCTGGCACATAATGTTCGGACACCATGTTAAAAAGAAATGCCATGGAAATAAAAAAGTGATTTAAGAATCAATTTGCTTTAAAATATCGCATGGTTCATCCAGGTAAGAGTGTTCACTAAATATATATAGTCAAAATCACGAAAGATGACTATTACGTCATACCCTAAATTGTTCTGAAGTAATCAATGGACGTACGTCGATGATAAAATCACGATGTCAGGAACATAATGACAACAAATTTATATTATGATTTTGCGAAGTTAGGTTATTTCACTGATTATTTTTATTTTCATTTTATTTCATGGTTTTGAGCGATACCTTAATAATAATTTTAGTGGCGAGTTTTTGTTTTGAAAAAAACAGTTAGTAGAATACCTTAAGACAGGAATACCAAAGACCAAAGTATTATTCGAAAACAACATAACCTGCTTTAACATAACCTATCTATTCATCTATCAAATATGATCGATCGTGCAACATGAAAACATCGTTTGTCTTTATCGGATACATGCAAATTAGCAATACAGTTTGTTTAGACAATAAAATTCTGTTTGTCTCTGTCTAACATAGCAGAAACGTCATTAAATATATTCACAAATCGCTGTCGTTAGTCTTTAATACAGATTAAAATGATGACGTAATCGTCATCTTTCGTGATTTCGACTATATAAGTCTGTTAACATATGCATGATGATTTACCCCAAGAAGAATCCGCAGAAATTGAAAGCACAGACCCCTATACGTATGGAAATTCAAATCGTACCTTCATACCAATGAATCTGTTTTCTACGATGTCGATTCTTCCGACACCATGTTCTCCTCCAATTTTGTTGAGTAAGCTTAGTATTTCCAAGGGTTTCGCATAGCTTTTATTATCTGTTTTCAGCAGCGTTGGCAATCCTTCCTTAAAGTGTATCTCCAACCTGTTTTGTCAAAGTGAGAGGTGTTAACGTCACAGCCAACCATATACTGTATTTCGACGTCCAAAAGAAATCTCAAATACGCAAGCGCCATCTGTAAGGCTGTAGCGGAACCCAATAATGAATAATAATAACAGTGAAGAATTAGGGAAATAATTTCAGTCTCCTACAATGTACAGTGTCCCAACGAAAATAGAAAGTAGTTTTATGATCAAGCTGGAAATGATACATAGAGATATATTTTAGCGTTTTTTTCAGATCAGCTTAATATTCGTGATGATAAAATTTTTATGAACTAAGTATCTTCAAAAATGGCGGAGCTTTGAGCTGTCAAAGTTGAGCATTTTTCAGAGGTTTCACCAAATATTTAAACAATTGACAATCGAAATCATATGCTATAATATGATGTCAAACTTCTTGTTTTTTGAAGCTGTATCCAAATATGCAATAAAATATAGGGTATACTTTAAAAAAAGTTTGTAATTATTGAACACCTTGTACAGGGTGACTTTGAAGTTGAGTCATTAATTTTCAGATAATGATTGTAGAAGGAAGATAAACCAAAATATGTGTGTAAAAATAAAAAAAAAATTTACCTCGTTTTATAAAGTATCCTCCCGACAAGTATTTCAGTGCGGACCTGTATTTGATCGTGAGGTCTTGGAGCACCGGCATGCCGTCACCTGATTCACGAGCCCGTTATACTACATTAACAAAGGCACGAGGGGTTGGTTGCACTCGATTGGGAAACCGATCCGCATAAACATGTGCCATTTTTTATTTCGTTTGAGCCACGCAACAGATACCACTATTCACTCACGCGTTACCGACTGACACTTACTGTATACAAATGAATAAAATAATTGTAAAAACATCGTTCCAAATTCTTTCGCTTTTTTGTTTCCGATGCGATGAACCGATAAGGCGGATTATATCCGTTGTTGCTAAACACGAGCACATAATATTATTATTGAGACAGGGCGGTACTCAAACTTCCAAAGGGCTATAACTTTGTTACTTTAATTTTACCAGAAAAATGGTAAAGGAAAAAAACATTTCTTTTGATCAGATCTACTCACTGTTAAAATAAATGACTCAACTTCGAAATATGTATATATTCAAATAATTTCAAATCGTGCACTAGCTTACAACGAAAACAGATTTTTGATATCTTTTCCAGTCTGCCCTGAAAACTACTTTCCATTTTTGTTGGGACACCCTGTATAGAAGCCGACTCGTTTAGAACGAGAATCAGAAGCCTGGCGAGTAGATTTAGCAGGCTCGGAAATGTGCTGAACCACGCGCCGGATGACTTTTTGATAAAGTCCGGCGTTCATTATGAGTCCAAATTACCTAGTCGGTTTTTCTGGGGCGTCTTTCAGATCCTTCGTCATCAAAAACAAATCTTTCGGAGGTTCGTTCGCAGGATTTTCTAGAACTCCGGATTCATAGCTGATGTGCATCAGGTTGGCGTCCATACTCCACGGCGCTTTGAGTGTGGCTACCACGGGAATGCCGTGTTCGCCGGCATACCTCATGAGGTCCTGTCTGCCTTGGAACCTCGAAGTGAACTCTTCCATACGCCATGGAGCGATGATCTCGATCTCGGGGCATAAGGAGTAGCAGGAGAGCTCGAACCTCACCTGGTCGTTGCCTTAAAAAATATATAATTCTCATCGTTGGGAAAATTCGGTATATTCAGTAATTATTTTCTCACACAACAAATATCACTGATTTTATACACATGCAGACCAATACACATAATCACCCAGATGCGATCTTGCTATTCAAACAACTTTCTTCTCAGAGATAAAAACTACAGACCCGGATCACTCAGCTCAGCCTCACAAAACTATGCAACCAATAATGCGTAGTTTTGTTGAGAGATTCCTCCATAGATGGACGTTCACAACGATCCTAGTGAGCAAACGTGGAATGACTGTTTGCGCCATAAAAACTACGTAGTTTGCAAAATGACATCTGATAGGTTTTTTTTTACGTTTTATAGGTTATTTACATGATACCTTGCATTTTCCTGACATTTTTTCACAAGGCTGTGAAATAAAATTTCACATTTCCACTTCTTTCAGGATACCAAGAAAAAATAAGTTCCGTATACATAGTGAAGAGAGGTTAAAGAAGACAGTCGACAGTTGGGAAATTGCTTGAAATATGTAAACGTTTGGCAGTTGAAAGTACAGGGCCGGATTAAAGGAAAAAATAGTTTCTTGTTCATTTTTATCTAGCTTGCAAGTATTTTTGAAAAAAAATATGTATATTGAATGGACTCCAGTATGAGTGTGTTTAATTTCCCTTCCTCAAAGTCTTAATGACTTGAACGCAAAATTCATAATTACTTTTTGTATTCCACTTTTGTCTTAACTTTCCGACCACTGGCATATCCATCCATCAATCTCTCATCAGCAAATTCCTTTATACAGGGTGGGCCATTAAGTTGAGCGGATGTTAAAAAATCACAGAAAAAAAAGGACAAAGCGTAGGGGAGATAATTTAAATGTTTCATAAAGTAGACACATGTGAATTTAATTTTTTAAAAGTAACATCATAGAGAGGTGCGTCATCGAGACGTAGGTACGCACTCCTCAAATCTCGACTTCAAACTGTAACATCTATATTGAATTTCAAAAAATAGTTGTCTATAACTATTGATATTTTTATCACCTGCTGATAGAAGTGCTTAATTGTGTCAGTATTTCCACCAGTTACTTGATTTGTTTAATGGGCAGTTCAGAGTCTTAATCCTTAAGCTTAGTACACACTAGTAGACCCCGTTGCGCAACTTGTCCATAGGCAGTCTGGAGACGGTCTCAAGACACGATCTATAGATGATCTATACACATCCTTCTTTGTCTCGTCTAGCGTCCATACGATAATGTGAATTTTTCGGTCTCATGTTTGTTTTCGCCATCAAATACATTGTTTTGTGTGGAATGTACTGGGATAGGTCTCGGGGACTTTCTGGTCCGCCCTGTATTTGAACGATAGAGTGCATCTTACCTTTCCCTGTCGCACCGTGAGAAATGTACTTTGCGTGATTCTCTTTGGCACATTTCACAAGACCTACGGAAATGCAGGGTCTGGCAAGAGAAGTGCCCAGCAAATATCTAGATTCATAGACGAGTCCAGCTTGTACTGCAGGCCAAACGTAGTCTTTTACGAAGGATTCTTCGACGTCTTCAATAACTACCTATAGATGAAGAGATTATTACGGCGCTTGGATTAAAAAGACGGTAATTAAAATTGAAATTTGTAGTATTGAAAATAAATTTGAAAATTACACGACTTGATTTTTTTTATATTTGTCTGATATTATTTGATTGTATATGTCAGGCAGAAAATATTTTCAAAAAAGTGGTTAAAGAAATATTCGCACATCGCGAGCTTTAATTTTAGAGGCTAATGCCGAAAACAATAATGTATCCACACCTTAGATGCTCCGATATCCAGCGCTTTTTTTCTTGCTTGTTCAAAATCTTCATCTTGGCCTATATTTGCGATGTAGCAGATCACATCGTAATCCTTCTGCAGTAGCCACTTCAAAATGCAACTGGTGTCAAGACCACCAGAATATGCCAAAATCACTTTTTCCTTCGTCATATTTCACTTTTCTACACTTTGCTAGCACGAATATACTGATATTTTTAGAATCATCTTTTCTCTTATAGATATAAATGTCGATATTTACTCTGGTTATCTAACATTAAATAAAGTTAAATGACTTCATTATCGTGGATAAGAGAATATATTATAATTATGTTTATACAGGGTATTTTCAAAGTTGAGTCATGTAACTGCTTGTAGGACTCGTCAAAAATCACCTATACAGGGTGACTTTGAAGTTGAGTCATTAATTTTCAAATAATGATTGTAGAAGGAAGATAAACCAAAATATGTGTGTAAAAATAAAAAAAAAATATGTTACCTTGTTTTATAAAGTATCCTCCCGACAAGTATTTCAGTGCGAACCTGTATTTGATCGTGAGGTCTTGGAGCACCGGCATGCCGTCCCCTGTGAGGTCTTAAGTCACCTGATTCACGAGCCCATTGTACTACATTAACAAAGGCACGAGGGGTTGGTTGCACTCGATTGGGAAACCGATCCGCATAAACATTTTTTATTTCGTTTGAGCCAAGCAACAGACACCACTATTCACTCACGCGTTACCGACTGACACTGACTGTATACAACTGAATAAAATAATTGTAAAAACATCGTTCCAAATTCTTTCGCTTTTTTGTTTCCGATGCGATGAACCGATAAGGCGGATTATATCCGTTGTTGCCAAACACGAGCACATAATATTATTATTAAGACAGGGCGGTACTCAAACTTCCAAAGGGCTATAATTTTGTTACTTTAATTTTACCAGAAAAATGGTAAAGGAAAAAACATTTCTTTTGATCAGATCTACTCACTGTTAAAATAAATGACTCAACTTCGAAGTCACCCTGTATAAAAGTTGCATAATAAAAGAAATAATAAAAGATTAAAAATTTCAAAAAATAAGTGGGTTATTACAAAGATTTTTTTATGTTCTCAACCACTGCCGTGTAAAATCCGAACAAAGCACTGAAAATGCTTGTGATTAATTTCTTGGACACCAGGATTTTAGTTTCGCATGTTGTAAAGAGTCGAGGATTTGTCGAGCAAGATTTTGAGTTAATAGAACAAATGGGGACAATTTTGAACAGTTTTAATGATAACTTGATAATGATTTTTCATGTATTGCAGCATACTATAAATCGGGACTTTAATCATTCCTAACATAACATATCAACCTCTATCTTCACCCAACTTGTGTATGCCCAATGAAATATTCATCCAGCTGTCCAGGCAGGACATTCTTTGGAACAGTTGCCCTTGCAAATCATTATCATCCATATTCATTATATCACGTTTATAACGCTCGGGTGCCTATAACGCATGCCATTCCTGAAATTGAAGGCGTCCCCCCTCCAAAGCTTGATAAAAATATTTCAGCTATAATTCTGAAAGAAAACCTGAAAGTTTATTGACAGCAGTTCTGTAAAATGGAACAGTTGCCCTTGCAAATCATTATCATCCATATTCATTATATCACGTTTATAACGCTCGGGTGTCTATAACGTATGCCATTCCTGAAATTGAAGGCGTCCCCCCTCCAAAGCTTGATAAAAATATTTCAGCTATAATTCTGAAATAAAACCTGAAAGTTTATTGACAGCAGTTCTGTAAAATACGTAAAAATAAGAAATATATCAGCTAAAAATAGATATGTTCGTAAAATATGTATAAAAAAAATATATTGATGAATTATACAAATATGTTTCATAGAAGTCCTATTCATAAAAACACTTTACCTCTGATTTACGCTCGCATGCTCTGATCAAGGGCATGACGTGTCGTCTGCATCCCGCGATGTGCGATGAGCATGATGAAGAGTTGTCTGATGTATCCCTCGATGTGCCCCCACATCGCAGAGTGCCCAAGCCAAATTCCCTAATATTTATCTAGCTACGTATTTAGAGTTCCCTGACGCAAATGTTCTTGAAGCGTGACTATCCCGATTCTCTCTACTTTCAAAGTTCGCAACCGTTTTTTTATTTTTACTAACTATTCTACTGAACGGACGCTTTTTCTTAGTGATGCCTATCTAAATGGGGCACCCTGTCTGGGCGAGGGCAGATTTCTGAGCTTCGCAGCTCTCTCACGTGTTCGGCTGTAAACCCTACGCCAATAAGAAAACCCTAAATGCACTTACCTTTCAGCAAACTGCTCTAGTCCCTGGAACAAGTAGAAACAGTATGAGTATACAAGTACTACGTTATTCAAACTATCGCTCTCACACTTTGAGCAGGAAAAGCGGATGAAACGATTTAAGGGTGCAGGGGAAATATGAATGCCACAAATTTGATGTTTTGTAGTTAGAACCGGCAGGATGTAGTCTTTATGTAGTACAATTCCATGAGGTATCGGAAACCCGCGAAAACAATGACACTCCGTAGTTATACCCAGTTGAAAACTTGCCGTGAACGGAAAAAAGATGATGTCTAGCCGTTGTATAAAGAAAAGGATTAAAGTCCACTGATCGTCACCGAAACTAGTAGCAACCAACCCTACAGTTTTTCAAAAATCTTCCAAGTTTTCAGTTCAGGCCTTCGAAGCTACAGCTTATAAATTATCGAAAAATTTCGCACAAGCTTACCGAAAACAGATCAGCTATACCTGGCAACACTGGTCTTAGTTCTGACCTACCCTTAAGAAAATCTACTTCCTATCATATTTTTGCAGCGGTTCTGGTTGACCTTAAGTGACATGAAAATAACACAATTCAAATTTTGTCATTTTTATATCACTCAAGGTCAACCAGAACCAGAACCGCTGCGAGAATAACTTGATTCAAGTTAAGTCATAAGTGTTTTATTCGTAAGCAATATACTATTTTTCACAAATATCTATCGCGGAACAATGTAAACAAATGACAGCTGATCATGCACGCAAAAATCAAATTATTTGTGCGCGGTTGTAGTTCTCGTTGGCCTTGAGTGAATTTGAAAAAATTTGAATGGAAATTTTGTAACTTTTATGTCACTCAAGGCCAACCAGAACCACAACCGCTCAAAAGGAATTTGCTTAAGAAATGCAAAACTACAGGACTTTGGCAAAGAACAGTTCGTACTTTTGTTGATAGGTAGTGTATGCAAGGCCATATAAAGATACAACATGAATATAGTTCAATTAATGGCAAGTCCTTTTAAAAATATGTTTGGATTTTCGGACGAAACAATTACAAAAAATCGTTTTTCCCGCCCAGACAAAGTGTTTTTACGTTTTTAGATCATTTTGGATAAAAAAGTTTTTGGTAATTTCTCTCTAAAAGTATCGTTTTCGAGTCATAAGCGATTAAATATCTGAAAAACCTAAAAATGTTCTCTCATGTTACTCAGAGTCTCAATAATTAAACTTCAAACCTTTTCTTACTTTGAACTTATTTTGAAGCGCTGCTACTGTTAATAACGCGCATTGAAATACAGTGCCTCGCGTTATTAACAATAAGTAATGATACTTTAAGGTATACTAATCCTAAAATACTGGGAGTCTTTCAGACAAAGGTACGAAATTCAACTTAGACACTTGGCAACCTCAAAGATGATAATTTTAACCGCGTTTTAAAGCTTGAAGATCGACATTTAGGTTTCTCAGAACTTTAATCGCTTATAATGAAAACGTTTAACTTTAGAGAAATATTGCTAATGACTTTTGACTACAACACGAGAAGTCAATCTTGACTTTATGAGCTCAAAGCTAACACAGAAGTAGATGAGTATGGATAACCTACCTAGTTTGCAATGAAGACATTCAGTTCCCTCAGAATGATCGGAATATCCAACGTAAAAATACTCCACTCGCCCTTTTTGAACAACCACAACACATTTTCACACACAAAATCACTCACACCACCATCACGACACGACGACACTGCGGGGAATCGCCGACAAAGACTTGTCACACACACACACACATTAACGACGACTTCAACAGAAGCAGAGCGTTACACGGCGGACTCGACGCACCGTCCTCCAACAACGCCAACCGATAACTAAAGTACGCGTTAGTTCGCAGCGTAGGGCGCCGGTACGGCTATCGTTCCTGCTGCGTCGCCATTGGTTGGAATTTAGCAACGCCTCCTCCAGCTCCCAATCTTTGTTGGGCGCAGGGTTGCCAACAATACAGTTTTAACTGTAGATTTAGTTTTTCCAGAATCTTCCAAGTTTTCAGATCGGGCAATGTCAACGTCTACTTGCTGATCATGCATGCGATTAAGCATTTTTTTTTGAGCGATTGTGCTTCTGGTTGGCCTTGAGTGAATATGGAAAAATTTGAATGAAAATTCTGTCACTTTTATATCACCCACAGTATAAGGGTAATCTCAAAGGTCTGTCTTATCGTTTCTGTATCTTCTATTATAATATTGCCTGGACATATTCAGCCAGAAAATCATGGAGCCCTGTTAACATGAAAATCATAAGTTAGGTTTTAGTTGTTATATAAAAAACATTGGAAAACATAGTTTTTGAAATAAATGACCGATTTAATTCCGAAATGAAAAAACCATCTCGAAGTAACGGCAAAGAAGGTTACAAAATATACTGTACCTAATCAACGTTACTTCAATACCAACCCATCCCTACAGGATAGTCGTTTCCATGGTTACGATTTTAGCGCTCAACGGCTCAACAAACATTTTGAGGTTATGTGTGTGTTTGGGCTCAGTTTTTAAGCACTTTTTAGAGTTTTAATGATGTTTGATTGAAATTTAAACATGGAACAACTGAAAGCAACCGAAAAAGACAAGATTTCGCCGTCCGATGCCATTACGCCTTCAAATCCGCCGGATATTTCCAAAGATACAAACGGTGCAGTTGATCATGCAAGTTCCTATCAGATAAAACCATCCTTGGATGAGAAGTAAGTCACAGAATATTGTTCATATAAAAACTGAATATCCAAAATCGAAATTGCGTTTGCAGATTCAAAGAAACACCAGTAAAAAGCATCATCAACAATGTTGTTTCGAACATACTCAGTGGAAAGTCATATGAGGCTGACAGTGTGAAGAAATGGACTGTGCAGGTAGCGAATGAAGTTAACAATAAAGTGAAAGGTACATTTTATTATCAAGCCTTCAATTTTTACTATCGTCTTTTTCTCGAGTATTTACTACAAATATGATAGCAAATAACACCTGTTTTTCTAATACAAATGAAAATAAACATATTTCCTAATGCAGGAACAATAAAACAAGATAATCAGTTTTATTTGATATAAACAGTTCACACTATATCACTACATTTATAGTACATGGGTCTGTAACCTTACCAATGATGACTCCCAAATCTAAGCAAAGTCCATTACTTTTGGAGTGCTGGTGTGACATTTTTTATACATTTCATCATTAGATTACTGTGCAAGGCATTTTCTTGTTTCAGATTTGCAGATGAAAAAGTACAAACATATAGTGAATGTCGTGATAGGAGAAATGAAAGGGGCAGGAGTAAAGTCAGGATTTAGGTGTATATGGGACTCCGATGTAGACAGCTTTACTAGTGATGTATTTATGAATGTAAGTTACATTTTAAAATACTTCGGGATTTCTACTAAATTCTATTTGTTTCAGGATACTATTTTCTGTGTTACAACAGTTTTTGCTGTATATGTCTATTAATAACTAAATTCTAAGTAAACTGCTTTGTAACCTGTACTGAGATATATCTTAATTTGCATGTCATTAGTTTTTATTTATTGTAAATTGAATATTACTGCAAGTACTATTGTTTTTAATAAATATAAAATAAATAATCAAAATGGTATGTTTGGTAATGTTATTAATTCATCATGCAAGACTCATAAGTGGGTATCAGGTATTTAATGTTGATAAAGGCATCTTCTCCTCCATATTTTTCCAAAGTCTCCAAAGTTTCATTGATTATATCAGCTAGATTGTCGCCGCGCATTTGACTGTAGTCTATTTCATCTCCACAATTTACTGAAATCAGAAAAAAAAGAGATTGAATTTTCGAAATTGTCTCTATGCTCGGCGCTCACCATTTTTTTCTTTGAAAAGATTCAGCACTGGCAGTATTTGCCTATAATACGGTACTAACGCAACCCCAACCATGTCTCCTGATCTTGCTAAGTGTTGTAATACCCTCAAGGTGGTGCACATAACTTCTTTATTTTTCGTTTTTAATGCATCTGAAAAAAGATGTCGATCAAGTACTGAATCTAAACTGATCCTTAAATTAAATTAGATTAAATCTTGCATAACCGGCACGGGTGTCGTCAAAAAAAACTAAGATGTCAACTTGCAGACTAGGCAGTTCTTAGGACGCAAACAGTCATTCCACGTTTGCTCACTAGGATCGTTGTGAACGTCCATCTATGGAGGAATCACTCAACTAAACTACGCACTATTGGTTGCATAGTTTTGTGAGTGATCCGGTCTGTTGTTTTTATCTCTAAGAAGAAAGTTGGTTGAATAGCAAGAACGCCTCTGGATGATTATGTGTATTGGTCTGCATGTGTATAAAATCAGTGATATTTGCTGTGTGAGAAAATCATTACTGAATATGACGGGTTATTTATTTGTTGTGCTTTCTGAAGAGAGGTTATGTTCAATGTTATAAATTACGAAAAACTGAGAAGAATTAGGGGAAATCATCACCCCGCGTTGTGTGTAATTACTGTTAGCATGTATATGGCTTGTAATTCGACAGTGTACAGTGAATATAATTATTTCTTATCTCACTCATTTTTGAAATTCGGCAAATTTGTATATGTAATTTCCAGAATGGATAAGAAAAAGTGGACTAATTTCTAGCTTTGAATTGAAATGAAGTGTATTAGAGACAAGAACCCAATGTAATTATAATCAACGCATACAACTTACAGCTTAGACCTCCAGTAATGCCATCTCACAAGCAGATTTTACATGACATCAGTCACTTTTCAAGATACGTGATACCCGTGCGGGTTTAAATGAAATTCGAACATATTTAAAGTGCTCTCTTACCCTTTATAGGAATTATCAGTTGTGGTATGCATGGTAAAATTTTCGACCCTCCATGAGCGAGCATATCTTGAATGCCTTGTTGCGCAAATTTCATGTATGGATTTTCAGTTTCACCAAGGCCTTCAAAGAACATTGGTAGGTAATAGTGGAAATCTAGCTTATTGATATCGGCCTAAAATGTCAGAAAAGCTTTATGATATAATAAGTCGTTTTAAGCATACATTTTTATGGCAATGCTTAAGTCAAACTACAGGGTGTCAAAGAACTAGATGTCAAGTCATAATAGTTATCAGAAAAAAGAATTAATAAAAGTGGCGTTACTGTTTAGCAGTCATTTTTATTTTGTGAAAGGGCAGAACAATCTAACTGGTCTTCCAATTTTATAGAGATTATGTAGAGAAATAAAATCATTTTTACCTTCCAGGAAGCCTTGCCTCCCTTAGCATCCAGAGCAATTGGTAAATTGCCTCGCATATAGTTCGTCCTGAACTTGGTGCATTTGGGCACGGTACCTTTGAATGCGTTGCATTTTGGCGGAGGGATGACACACGTGCCCTTTTGAAGTGCCTGGATGGTAAACGCCGGCACTAGCCGACACCCCTCCTTGCCGCCAGCACCCGGCAGGGGTTTTTTCAAGTTGCTCCTGAATTCTTTACCTGTTTCAATAATAACTATTCAAAAAGAGACAATACAAGGCGCCATATATTGCCAGAATCGACCACTGCGAGTGTGTAGCAGCTGTCTGTAAAGATTTCAGTTCGCGTTAGATAGGTCAGAGGCTGGCGGTTCTGGCGATAACTGCTATGCACTCCTTTTCACATTCATATATATATATATATACTAAGTGACATATAAATCCGAACAAACAGGTTAAATGGTTTTATTTTAATAAAATTTTGTATACGTACTTAATGAAGCATAATAAGTAAATGATAAAATTTTCAAAATGATTGCACTGCTTTAAAGCCCTTTGACCTTTAATAATGTGTGGATGCACCCTGATGTGCTACGCATTCTCCAACGCGCCTAGGCATGCTTCTGATCAGGTGGTCAATGTCCTCCTGTGGTATCTCATTCCAGGCAACCACCAACTCCTCTCGAAGTGCTTCTAGAGTCTGAGGAGGACGTTGCGAATTGGGCAATCTCCTACCCATCATATCCCACACGTGCTCAATTGGGGATAAGTCGGGAGATCTTGGTGGCCATGGTAACAATGTGACATCATTATGTTGAAAGAAGTCTATTGTGACTCTTGCAACATGTGGTCGGGCATTATCTTGTTGGAAAGTTGGATCTGCCAGGGTGTCAAGATAGGGTAAAAGATGGGGTTCTAGAACTTCGTGGATATAACGCTCATGTTCATGTTACCTCTGATGAAGATTACAGGTGACCTGGAACCATAAGCTATAGCACCCCAAACCATAACTCCAACAGTGTGATGAACATGTCTTTCAACAAAAAACTGTGGATTCCTCCTTTCACCACGTCGCCTTCTAACCCTGGCACGACCATCGCGCATGCCTAAACAAAATCGAGACTCGTCACTAAAGACAATACTGTTCCATTCCTGATCCCAGAGTGACCGTTGTCTGCACCACTCAAGGCGATTACGTCGGTGTTCTCGAGTTAAAGGGAGGACCCAGTGTGGCCGGTATGAAAACAAGCCAAAACTTCTCATTCGTCTGTAAACACTTCGCATGCCAATAGGTCTTCTGTGTTCTGCAAACCATTAATTTGCAATGGACCTGGTAGTGGAGAAACGGTCCCTTAAGGGCAATAATCTTAGGCGGCGATCTTCACGGTCTGTTGTTCTACGGCGGCGTCCAGTGCCCCTTGCTCTTTGCGTACGGCCTTCTCGAAGCCATGCCTGACAACACCTAACCACAGTGTCTACACTTCTTTGCACTCTAACTGCAATTGCCCGAAAAGAAAGTCCAGCTTCCCGAAGTCCCACTATACGGCCCCTATCAAACTCACTAAGTTGACGAAATCGTACAGGTCTCCGTACTCTAGGCATCGTAACCGATCGTATAGGATGTCAAGAACCAAAATCCGCCAAAGTTGATTCTTTACTGCGGCTGAAATATTCATTTTTAGAGCGTTAGTGAATTAAAAAAAAGCAGTATAAAAACCGGAATGTCCAACTGATAAGGCTGAAAATTTTTTCACTTGTTATTTACAGTAAGATAAATACATTCACCAACTTTTATTAAAATAAAACCATTTAAACTGGGTGTTCGGATTTATATGTCACTTAGTATATATTCTTAAACATCCCCCTAAAATTTATATCCCGTCAAAATAATTGAAACAGTACGAGAAATATCGTGTTTCTCACAAGACCCTGTGCAATAATATGGATTTTATCAAGAAACTGTAGATTTAATTGAAGCTTCACAGATGCCTGTGTGAAAATAATGAGCACATAAAATTTCCACATATAAATTGTAAAAGTAACACTTTTTTCAACGGAGCCGTGATTTTACGTTACCTTTGACTAGCTAAAACCACGTTGCTATCTGACCAAAAGGAACGCAGTTTCATCCAATATACGACGCATAGAGCTTGTTTACTTAATTATGACATATTTTGAACATTTAAAAATACGAAATACATTACGTAGGTAGAATAAATTAATATTCGTCTACTTACCAGCTACCATTTCGCGATACGCTGATTGTCTGAAGCGTGGAAAAACATTCTAGTATTTTCCCGAAAACTGATGGCTGAGATGAGCGTCAACATGATGTGTGAGTTGCTATAGTGACGCTTGGTCGATTTTACCACCTTTTGGTGTCATCTTTGTTGGAAGAGCTGGTAAAATTTTAGTTCAGGGAAATTATGAAACCAGCTTTAATCCGCCTCTGAAAATGCTTACGACGAAACACGTATCGCGTGTTTAACATCCGGTTTGACGAGTGCAAAAGTCTCTAGTAGTCATAGCAGTTATCAAGCCCACAGCGTTCAGTTCGAATGAGATTTCACTTACTACGCTACTCGGCGAGGAAGTTTTGTAACGGCGAAAAATGTCGAATAATCTATAACTTCAGAAGTACCGCTCGGATTTTGATGATTTTTTTTTACTACTATGCCAACGACAAACCTTTCGAATTACGACAGCTGTTAGCAAGTACAAAATGAATCTGAAATCTGAATGTGAAACAAAACACGGCTCTGACTACCTGGTGTTGACGTATACGGCGATTTTCTCATCAAATGCTGGCGACGAACGTGACTTAAAACCTGGCAACTCTGCGTAAAGCATACTGAAAAAACACGATAAGACGAACAAAAAATGTTCAATCTTCGTTTTGTGGAATTTCAGAGGCTCCTTATGATTTGTCACAAAAATTGGGGATAGGTAGTAGTGATGGGGAGGCAAACCCTGGAAAATAGGCCACCATTGATCCATTTTCCTGATAGGATTAATTTTTTTTGCAGACGCTCGTGACGGTGGCGGCAGACTGCATGTCCTATTTGGCTGACTTGATCCATTAATTTTTTTGTTTTACATTTTTTAATACTTCATATATTTAGGTTATACTTTAATCTTGAAACAAATACATTCACGTTTATAATTTATTTATTAAAACAAAAAACCAATAAAAATAACATACAAAACCCTTACGATTCTATAAACTAAACAAATAATTTCATTAATGTTGTGAATAAATACAAGGCACATGGGGAAGAATATATCCTATTCACAAAAATTTGCAGAAAGCCATCTTAGTATGGTTTAAAACAAATAGGATACAATTGTTAACATGTGTTACTTTGGAAATAAGGTAGAAGAATGTCAGAAATAGTACCTTCCTAATCACCAAATATTAAAATAATAGAAAAAAAGACATGACAACAGCCTTCAAACATAAATATTGGTGAGATATCGAGTCAGAAGCTCGACAAGCCATAAAAAATTATTCATCTTTCTTATCCCCACTTGCAACAGTGATTTTTTTCTGCAACTTGCTATGTTCTTCAGCTAAACGATCATATTCTCTTGCCAAGTTGTCGGACTGAGACTTCAATGCCTCTTTATCTTTCTTCTCCAACCTGAGCTGATCCTCTAGAGTGGATATCTTCTTTTTGAGGTCAGTAATCTGGAAACAGACAAAAATACCACACTGAACTATAAAAGTCTGATCAAGTGCAGTTGTACTAGCTCCCAAAGAGGAATACATAAATGTCCATCTGTTCTTTTTTAGATAAGGATTCATTCACTCCTCATAGATATCATGACCTACCTCTTTATCATGAGCCTCGTTGCTATCATTCTGAGCCTCTTCATTCTTCTGAGCCAGCAGACTCTTAGCAGCAGTGGTAGCACTTTGTGCTTGTCTCATAGATGCCTCTGATTGGGCCTGCAACGTAGCCTGTTGACTGATCAGAATTACCAGTCTACGGATGACCAGAGACAAGAACAAGGCAAAGCCAGAGATGTAAAAGTTCCTCTGGGCTCTAAACAGGCGCATGCTGCCTTGCATCTCCCTATCTAGGTGTGCGTGACCAGCCTCCTCACTTTCTGCAAAAAATAAAACAATGCTGGTAACCTGAAGTTATAATTAAAACGATGGTTCTGTATTCTGACAACCAAAATTTGCTCTCAAATATCATCATGATGTAAAAACCTCCCTTCTACATGGCAAAATACTTACCAGTGTGCGAGTACTTCCTCATCTCTCGGATGGCGTCCAAAAGGAAGAGCACCAGAATCGACAGCAGAATCAAAAAGTAAAATTGCGCCTGTCTTTGAAGCCCTTGAAGGAACTTGGACTTGAAAATAGCGTTCCATCTCCTCGGACTGGCAATGGGCAGTACCAGCAACAATACAATGAAAACTTCAAGGTACAAAAAACCGGCTATCAAGGTCCACTGAAGACTCATTTTGGAATGTGGTTAAAATTATACGGGAGACGATTAAATTTGGTTTGGCTATTTATATAATCAATCAAGATTCGTGGCCCAATGACTGCTTTGTTGTCTGCTAAAAGTAACCGATGACTAATTTTATCACTATCGTAGGAAAGTGCAGCTACACCCGAGCAACGAGGCGATACGAATTACGAACGATATAAAAAAGTCGTAAGAGTAGAAAGCAGACGAGGACGTCACACAACACACATCAAATTAAATGCAATTTTCTCCACTGACAGTTTTGAAGTATTTTCGAATTTTCCTACATAAAAGTCAAAGTTGACAAGTTGTCTTTCTTTAGTCTATGGCGGCATCTGCAGGGCAGTAGGTCAACTAGAGTTTATAGAATACTTTATGAAGCGGCAACGTTGTGATGGTAACGTATTCCATTGACGCTTCAAATGATGACTTCTGCATCTTCTTCCTCAATGATCTATGCTTTTGACGGAAATTGATTGTCATCACTGTCATTGTATTTTGTCATCTGTCATAATTTTTTACCGTCAAGTTGTGATTACAAGCATTTTCCGATTTTCAAAAGAAGAGCAAGTAATTAAAAACTTATAAAATGCCCCCTGTTTTGAACGCTTTTGGCCCTGCTTTTGCCGATGACTGGAGAGATGCACCTCACAGCACCGGCGTAAGTTTTTCAACATATTTTTAAAAGAAATTCAATGAAATGTTATAACTTTTTCAGACGTCTATCATGGCATGCGAATTCAATGGGGGTGTAGTTATTGGGGCTGACTCTAGAACCACAACTGGGTAGGTTAACAAATAAATAAATACATAAAGGTCTATAATTTTTCTTACTATGTTTTGAAAACCAAAGAAGTGATAAATTTTGATTTTTGTATTGTGGGTTACTCTAGTGTTTCTCTGTGAATCCTTATGTTTTTCAGTGCCTACATTGCAAACCGAGCATCAGACAAGTTGACCAAGGTAACAGATCATGTGTACTGTTGTCGCTCTGGGTCTGCTGCTGATACCCAAGCCATATCTGACATTGTCAGCTACCATCTCAACTTCCACGGGTAAAGAAATCAATAAGTTTCTGTAAATCGTATCTCTATGTCACGAATATTCTAGAATGGAACTAGGGGTGGAACCATCTGTTGAGGTAGCTGCATCTGTCTTCCAAGAGCTATGCTACAATTACAGAGACTCCTTAATGGCTGGGATCCTCGTTGCTGGATGGGACAAGCGTAAAGGTGGCCAAATATATTCCATTCCGATTGGAGGAATGTGTGTGAGGCAGCCAGTCTCTATCGGAGGATCTGGGTCGAGCTATGTGTATGGTTACGTTGATGCTAATTTCAAGCCTAAAATGTCCAAGGATGAGTGTATTAAGTTTGTTACAAATTGTAAGTTTTTATAAAAAAAGAGGTCCTGTTTTCACCAACAATTATTATTCAAACAAGCAATATTTGCTTATAACTATGGCAACTAAAGCCTAGCTATCATGAAAATATTACAACATATAGTTATAATTCAAAAGAAACAACTGATTGAAAATATTTCATTATTGTTCAAATGATTTTTTTTTTAGGCTTGGCGCTTGCAATGTCCAGAGATGGTTCCTCAGGAGGTGTTGTAAGGCTTGGGATCATCACTGAGGAAGGTGTAGAGCGTAGAGTTATCTTAGGCAATGAATTACCAAAGTTTTATGAAGAAGGATCAGTTTAAATTACTCTTTATTCCTTGATATGTTCTGATTTTTATTTTGAGTAAATTATCCAACAAAATTTGTGTTTTATTAAATAAGTATAATCAAAGATGTAGGGAGAAGTGTAGTGGGTCACAAATTCTGATAATGATATGCCAGAAATGTTTGTAATATTTTTTATGCTCAACCAGCCATTACTAGTGATCATGTATGCTTAATATTGTTGAAATAACAAAAATTTTCAAATCAAAAAAATACAACAAAATTTTACATTGTACAAGCAGCCTCCCTACCAATTTAAAACAGACTGCGTGGTCAAAGGTTCCAGTCGTCAGAAGAAGCAGTTGACACATTCAAAAATGCTGTTTTGGATCTGCCAGCAAACGAGTGGAATGAGTGCTTCGAAAATTGGTTCGAGCGCATGCAGATGTGTATTAATCTTCGTGGAAAATACTTCGAAAAGCAATAAAGTCATTTAAATCTACCTACCATGTTGTTTTATTTCCATATGCAAAACTTACAAGACATCTCTCGTACACAGCTTAGCATTTATTATAGTAAGAATGAAGATGCGTTTTTTTTAGTAGAATAATAAAAAATATAAAATATCGCACTAAGTAGTAATGTTTGAGAGAGAGTGAACCTTACCTTTATACTTATTCCAGACTCTGGAGCCTTATTCAAAATGCATTCGTGTGGATTCTGGGACATTTCTTGGGTATTTAGAAGAAAAAAAAAACGTTTGGAATATGAGAAATGATTTTTATTATTAAAATGCATATTCTGAAATCGAGCACTACAGTAGTACACTAAAATAAAATCTAAGGAAAATAAATACTTTCAAGGAAAAATAATCTTAAAAATAGTTAACAGCTCACTGTCAAATTGACTGTCATTCAGTCATGTACAAACTAAATCTCTATATTCTATATAATAAGAGTAGATGCCGTGATAAAAATCGGAAAACTGAAACATACATTTTTGTTCAAGTTTCTGCCATATGTAAACGTCAAAACAAACACAGGATTGCCATCAACCCTTTTAACATTATTGCATTCGCCTTATTTTAATACCATAAATCGGCAAAAATAAAAGGAGGAAAAAAAAACGGCAGCATTAAAAAGTAGAGTGAGAAAAATGAGACCTTCAATGTTCGTTGAACATCGATTTCAAGTCGTGCTCGTAGAGAGCTATCAGCGCCATGATTCCGAAGCCTAGGAGCAAACCTCCTAGATGCAGGACGCATTGCAACAGGTTGCCTTCATCCTCGTGAGCGGAGCTCAGCTCCGGGATCATGTCGACCAGCGCGATGTAGATGAACATCCCGGCTGCTGCGGCGAACACCCACGAGCTAGCGTCTTCCATGTTACCTACGTCGAAGAAAAAATACAGGATGTTACCGAAGCCTGCATACTTCAAAATTGTCCACCATATGGATTATAGTGTCGAAAAGGGCATCCGCAAAATACTAGCGTTATCTATAAAAAAGTAGCGCGATACAGAAGTGAATTTAGAAATCTACTTTGAATAGAGTTAGTGTTTGATTCTGCTATTGTTCGATAGATAGCGCTAGGATCTTCAGTCCGATTCAAGCGCCTCTTTAGAGCATTTTTAACACGCTTTTATTAGATTGACCTGCACGTACTGTAGCGGACAAATGATTGGAAAAAAATACAGCAGACGTTCGATAACGTAAACACGGGATAATGAAAACTTGCGCTAATGTAAACACAAACTTCGTTCTATAGGATCAAATGGAACGCGCGATAACGTAAACAATGTGTACGCTCGATAACGTAAACAACTCTCGGCGCACGGAAACAGCGCGACGGTAAAATGCTGAAGCCTCGATGAGTTATGTCGGGTGTCGGGGAGTCCCCGATTTATGATGTAGAGTGTAGGTGATTCACCTCTAAAACACGACAAACTTGGTCAGTCGTATGATCGTTTAGGATACCTTTATACGTACGTATGTATTTCATTTTTATCCTATAAAAGAAAGTGTTTAAAGTTGAGTGAGAAAGTGAAAATCATAGACGAAGTTGCACTAGGTGCGGAAGTGACACAGTTAGCAATTAGTAGTTAGCATCGAAAGCAACAATCTGTAAAATTAAGCGTATGAAAACTCAAATTTTACAAAGAACGTGCAATACATTTGGAGGTCCGGTAAAAAGAAAAACTTTAAAAAATGCGAAGGCACCTAAAATGGAAAATTCCCTGTATAAGTGGTTTTTAAAACAACGGGAAAATCATGTCCCAGTTAGTGGCAAAGTACTTAAACAGATATGGAATTCGACTGCTGTCTATATCTGGTGAAAAATTATCAGCACAACCGCAATTAGTGCAACCATTCAAAGAAAAATTGATGAAAACAATTACCGAGCTAGATTTAAGTATGGAACAAATTTACAACGCAGATGAAAGTGGCCTTTATTGGAAAATGTTACCAGAGAAAACCTATGCTGCATCATTTGAAAAATCTGCCCCGGGAAGAAAGCCGGAGAAACAACGAATAACGTTTCTAGCCTGCACTAATGCTAATGGTTCACACAAAATAAAGCCACTGGTAATTGGGAAAGCAAAAAATCCGCGCTCATTTGAAAATGTAAATATCCCTGCAGTATATTCCTGAAATGGTTCCACAGGTGCTTTGTCCCTCAGGTATGACAATCAATTCCCACGCGCACTTTTTAAAAATTACCAAGAATGTTTCCAAACTTTTGTCCGCTACTGTATGTAGCAAAATAATTTTTATCAATTTCAAGAAGTCTGATTAACTTGAAAGTTTGAGCAGCGATCAAGGAACGATGACCATACAATAATCCGGAATTTAAAGTTTTTTAGATAATTTGAATTTTGAAATTCGGAAAAAATTTGATTGGAAAATCGGAAATTTGAAGAATTGAAAAGATTGAAGGTAAATCTCGAGTCATTGACAAATCTCTTCAAAAATGACGGAGCTGCGAGCCGTTGTATGTTGAAGATCCGGATTCCGGCCAAGAAATTGAAAATCCAGTTGGAATACAAGAACTTTTGGAAGATTCTGATGTCGATGAGGTTTCAGTACCAACAGAAGCTATTACAAATTAAGGTAAAGCTATAACCCTGACCAAGCAGCGCAAAAGTTTTGTCAAAAACCAGGGAGAGACAGAGTCGTTGGAGCTTCTTTCTAAATCAGAAATACGCTTTCAAGACGCCATTTTAAAGAAAAATAGAAGACTATATTTGAAATTTTGATTCCTTAAAGTGCCTTTTTTATTTCATTGTTTTTGTATGTATGTACATACTTTGTATATATCTACAGATAACGAACCTTTTTTCGAGTTTAAAATATTTTGTTTATTTTAAAAACATTTATATAGTTATACGGTTTAAATATCCTAGTTTCTTCAATATACTCAATTTTAATAAAAAAACACGATTTTTGTTGTATTTCTGTCTATACTGACACCAGTCTTGAACGGACAGTTTCACTGTATAAAAAAAAACATTTTTTTTATTTCGAACAATTTTCTGATTTTTTTGGATCATTCTCGACAAAAAAGGTCCTTAGTAACATTTCTCTAAAGTTGACTGTTATACGCCATTTGCCATGTCTAAAAGCCCTAAAACCGGTCAGATTCAATGCTCAAAAACTCAGTTAAAAATCGTTATTTTTGAGGTTGCCAAGTCTCTAAATTGAAGCTAAAACCTTCCTCTACCAGATCCCGAAGCATGTTTTGAGATCGGTTGCCCCTTGGTAATACACCTTATTTTAAGAACTGGCTTGCTGGTGGTGAGCAGTAAATTTGTGTATATTACCTAGAGCCAATCCCGCGATGTTACCGAAAACGCACAGCACGCTGGAAAGAATATTATAGAAGAGAGCCTGTTTGATAGTCATTCCTGCTTTCAAAAGCATAGCGAAATCTCCGAGTTCGTGTGGAAGCTCGTGGCAAAATACTGCGACGGTCGTCGAGAATCCGCCAGCCAGACCACCTGAAAAAAAACACAATTTAATTTATCATGTATTTTTAAAAGCTTAGGCGTCGACATACCTGAAAAAGCTGCCCCAATCGCCATGCCATCGGTGAAATTGTGGAGTCCATCACCCATGATCACCATCCAAGCCACAGAAGACATGTCTTTCGGCGCCGCGTGAACGTGGCCATGCTTGTGCGAATGGCCGTGGTGTTCGTTTCTATGTTCCCTGCACAAAAAAGGCGGCAAGTAGATTAACTATATTTTCTACGCCTTCGTTTGAAGTCGTTCAATTTGTCGAATAGGATGCTATGATTTAAACCAGGCCTCTCCGACTCGAGCACTTGGTGCTGGTGAGCTCCGGTGCTGAACCCAGCGGCACCGGTGCCGTTCCCTCTCCACCTCGACCGCACAGCCCCGTCGCGATAGAGAGAAACATATCACTGGTCAACACTGGTTTTGCCACACGAACTTTGACAGCTAATTTTGTTTTATCAGTCTACCCTCATTATTACATGACAGATGTCATATGTCTATTAGCCTCATATTTGTTGTGATACGGTAATACTCATAACTAGTACTACGGCAGTAAATTAACAGAAACGCTTACAAGTAAATCCTTATAAAAATATTTGTTGTTGAATTTGAACACTTTTTTGTGATTTATTAACCCTGTGAATATGTCGAGGAAGTGTAATAATGATCCTAACTCTTTTTGTTATGTCTGCGGAGAACTTACATTCAAAAAACAACGACGAAATTTTACGAATCTTGTGTTGGAGTGTTATCACCAATGTTTTGGTTTTTCTGTCGCCCATCAAGACAAATCCTGGGCCCCTCATGTCTGTTGCATAACGTGTGTGAAAAATTTAACTGACTGGAAGAAAGGTGCACGACCTATGCCGTTTGCTGTACCCATGATATGGACTGAACAGCAAGATCACGTTTCAGACTGCTATTTTTGTCTCACAGACATAAAAGGTATAAATTACAAGAAAAAAACCACAGTTATTTACCCGAACTTATCTTCGGCTATAAGACCAGTCTCTCATTGTAAAAAATTGCCAGAACTAATACCAGTTGTAACTACGTCTGTTGAGAACAATTCACAACCGTCCACTTCAGGTGAATGTGTTGACGAGGACGATGACTTTGAGTTAAAAGGAATTGTAAACGAGCCACATTTGATAACTCAAGGAGACCTAAATGATTTGGTTCGGGATTTAAATTTGTCTAAAAAGCAGTCAGAACTATTAGGATCACGTCTAAAAGAATGGAATTTGCTACATCATAATACAAAAGTTAGCTATTTTCGAAACCGTGATCAACACTTCAGAACGTATTTTTCTCAGGATGGAGATTTGGTGTTTTGCAATAACATAAATGAGATTATGAAAATGTTGGACATAGATCTGATCTCTCTCAGTGGCGTTTATTCATTGATTCTTCGAAAGCAAGTCTAAAAGCAGTGTTATTGAATAATGGAAATAAGCTTCCGTCTGTACCTCTGGCCCATGCTGCAAATATGAAAGAAACCTATGAAAATATGAAACTTTTACTTGAAAAAATAAATTACAGTACATATTCCTTCAAAATCTGCGGTGATCTTAAAGTTGTTGCACTATTACTTGGACTTCAGCTGGGTTATACAAAGTTTTGCTGCTTTTTATGTGAATGGGATAGCCGAGACAGAACTAATCACTATATAAAAAAAACATGGCCTACGCGTGCATCGTTAGTTCCTGGGCAAAAAAACGTAAAGTATTTACCCCTTGTACAGCCAAATAATGTGCTTCTACCACCATTGCATATCAAATTAGGATTAATAAAAAATTTTGTGAAGGCAATGGATCGCAATGGGAGTGGATTTTTGTACCTAAAAGAAAAATTCCCTAAAATAAGTGATGCAAAGATAAAAGAGGGTATTTTTGTTGGCCCTCAAATTAGGGAGTTAATAAAAGATTCAAGATTTGAAGAAAAATTAAGCGATTTAGAAACATCTGCATGGAAGGCTTTTAAAAATGTTGTTTCAAATTTTTTGGGTAACCACAAGAGTGACAGATACAGAGAGTTGGTTAGCGAGCTATTATTGTCATATCAAGCATTGGGTTGCAACATGTCACTTAAGATCCATTTTTTAGACTCGCACCTGGATTTTTTTCCTGACAATTTAAGGGCTGTCAGCGACGAGCACGGTGAGAGGTTCCATCAGGACATTTCTAATATGGAAAAGCGGTACCAGGGCAAATGCAACCCAAATATGTTAGCAGATTACTGCTGGACAATTAAAAGGGACCAACCAGAAGCTAAATATTCAAGAAAATCTTAGATTATTAAGTCATTTATAAAAAAAAAATAACTTTTGATTTACGAGATCTGTGTTTTTTCTTAATATTTTAAATTACTCAATAGAATAAAATCCTTGTCTAGCATATTTTTTTTTAACTGTTTATTTTTTCTTACAATCACCAATTAAAGTAAAAAATATCAAAAAAGTTCGTGTGGCACGACAAAGTTAAAATTTTGTTGACCAGTGATATTAGCCGACGGCGCGTACCATTTCTTAATAGGACAAGACAAAGTGGACAGGTTTTTCAGCGTCTTAACGTGCATCTTTTTTTAAACGATGCAAAATGTTTAATTTGTCACACGGTATTGAGGCCAGCCCTTCTAAGTTCTGAAGAGGTAATTATTAATTTGGTCGTAGTTGATTATTATTAATGATGTCGTAATGCAACAAGTTATATTGTTGCTTTGAAAATTGCAGAAAGTGGGAAACCGTCCACTGACGGTGCACTTGTCAAAGAATTTTTAGTGGAGCAAACAATTTATCGTCGCATGCTTGAACTTGCAGATTTAAAAGAACAACTGCGGGAAAATGTGCCCATTTTGTGAGCTAGAGCTCTCGATGAAAGTAAAGACATTTCTGATACAGCATAATTAGCTGTTTTCGTTAGAGGTGTCGAAATAGTCTTTACTATCACCGACGAACTACTAGACGTTATCCCGGTCAAAGATACAATGGGCGGAGAAGATATTTTTGATGCTGTAGAATACACAATGAATGACATGGGTACACTACTCAAATGCTTGCGTAGGGTTGTTACTGATGGAGCGCCAGCAATGTTATCGGAAGCACAAGGTTTTACTGGGCGAATGAAAATAAAAGTACGCGACGCTGGGCTACCTCCGATATCATCGGTGCACTGCATATTACATCAGGAATAACTATGTGGAAAAACGTTCCGTAATTTCAAATCTATTATGGATGTAGTAATAACATGTGTCAATTTCAGCAGAAAGCAAGGTCTCAACCACGGCAATTTGAAGTATTTTTAAAAGACCTGGAAGCAACTTACGGTGGTATACATTTTATTGTGTTAAGCGCTGGTTAAGCTGCGCAGAAGTGCTAAAAGATTTTTTTTAAATCATTGACGACGTTGAGATGTTTATGCAAATGAGATTTTAACGTGCTCTTCGAAACAGAACCGCCGCAGTTCCAAATGGAGCTGATTAAGCTTCAATGCGATACGATCCTTAAGGATAGATACTACCACTAAAATAGTGATTTAATTTCGTTTTATCAAGGTGTTAAGCAGCAAGATTTTCCCAAAATTCTTGCACTGGCCTTGGAAACTTGCTCCATGTTCGGTGCAACGTACTTCTGCGAGCAGATGTTTTCTTTGATGAATTTGAACAAAACTAAAAACAGGTCTTTGTCTGATGTGTCCTTAGAGGCGATACTCAGAATTTGCACTGCTCAAGCCACTGTACCAAATATTAGAAAACTTGTTGAATCGAAACGCTGTCGAAGTTCATCTTAAGAATAAATGTGTTTACGTCGAAATTACGAACATTATTTTATCACCCGCGCGTTGACTCGATCAGACCAATTCAAATGTCAATACGAATGTCACTCCGCTCATTTTCCGTTGGGGCTGGGAGCCGGCGAAATTAAACTTTAGTAATAATATGAAGTTTCAAAGTAAATGAACAAAAAGGGCTTGAAGATACAACGTGACGGTCGGATTTTACGATAACCTAAATTGGTGAAGAGCTGTAATTGAAGATCGTCCTTGAGTATATCCACGCTGAGTGTTGCTTAACAATTCATTTCATGCATAAAAACAGTGTTAATTTCAAAACTCCGGTTATTTTAACGATTTTAAGTACACGAGTGCATGATTTAAACACGTCAAAACTATTTTTATAAGGAGCTTCTAAACACCAACGAAAGATTCACTATCGCACGTTCTTACCTTAAAATCACAGTGTAGTCATCGTGTTCGTGTTTGTGTTCAGGCGTGAGCATTTTGTTCGACTCGGTGGTCATGTTCAGGTCAGTCGCACATTCCCTGTTTGAATCCATTTGATCGCAATTTGCATTGCTCAGTTTTTTGCACGGATCCGAATTGTTCGAACTCGGATCCATTATTGTGGTGGCAGTCTTGTCGGAATCGTAGATGGTATCTGAAACAACGGGACATATTCATTTGAACAATCTATATTTCTAATTATAATCACGGTACACTTGGTAGTAGGAGTAGTAGAAAGATTTATTTAGCACATTTGGCTACATAAACAGAATAATTGTAAACAACTTAGAACTAGTAAATTCAAGCCATATGGTGTATGATGTAAATGCTGGGCAACCTGTAATTGTAGATTTAACAAGTGATTTCTCAATTTTACTTTAAATTTTGTCAAAGTTTTCTGGTCTTTTATCTCCGAGTATAATTTGTTATATTCAATCAACCCTTGATGGAATACAGATTTGTAGCATATGTTATACTTTTTGGTCATGAAATGGAAGTCATCTTTATTTCTGATATTATGTAAATGATGGTCGACATTTGATGATGTTAAATTAGTTAGACTTGATGGAAATATATTATTTTTTACTTTATAAATGAATATCATTACAAGATATTTGATAAAAATTTTTACATTGAGCCATTTTAATTTGCTAAGCATTTGCCTAATTGGAGTATATTTATCTTTATTTAGTATTATTCTCATGCACTTATTTTGTAAAATTTGCAGCCTCTCAAAAATGGAATTATTTGCTAAATATAGAATAGTCGAACAGTACAAGAAATTTGGAAGAATGATGGTATTATAGATAATTTTTCTGCTATATGAACTCAGACATCCAGAAACTCTCGATAAATATCCCACTTTACTACTAATCTTATTTATAACTTTTTCATAATGAATATCAAAAATTAATCGAGAGTCAACAAAAACCCCCAGGTATTTAAAATTTTCTACGAATTCACTATCTTCACCATCAATATTCAGTTGAACATTTGTACATTGTTTTTTTCCGATTAACAAGGCTTTCGTTTTACTTGCATTTAATTTTAGTCTGTTAGATGCTAACCATTTTGAGACAAGCTTCAAGTCTTCATTTAAATAAGAGATACCAGACTGAATATTTTTAGTACTTATATAAATCATAGTGTCATCGGCGAAAATCTGAATTTTGCATTTTTTGACTATGGCAGGTTTGCGCCGAAAATTCGTATAAAAAATTCGGGGCGTCGTGAAGGGATATCCCGGTGGTTCCCTCTCTCTATGCAATCCCCTATATGTTCAGCTCTTTTTTACATGGAGCTCTCTCCGATTGAGGCAAGAATGGTAGTGGGGAATGTTGAACGAATTCGCGGCTGTATTCTTAAAGACAGTCCATTGACAGTTAGAATGATGGCTGCGGATCTGTGAATCCCCAAAACAATCGTCCACGAAATTCTGTCAGAAAAACTTGAAATAAAAAAGACTTTCAGCGATCGTATCAACGGTGGAAACGGCGTTGGCAGAAGTGCATCTTGCCTCAGGGGGAATACTTTGAAGGAGACCATACTGAAATACCTAAACAATTGTGAAATAAAGTTATTATTTCACTTTTATACATATTTTCGGACAAACCTCGTAAAGTTGCAAACAATATACGTAAGTCATAACGAGAAACAGTGTTATGAAAAAAGTGCAACTATTCAGTATCTGACACTGTGTTTTGCACCAAGTGCATTTTAAGTGCCTCCTGTCCTCTCGTTTAAAAATATTCTCATTGTTAATCAATTTTATTGTGTTTGGCAAGCAGTTGAAAAATTTGAGACATGCTTCTCAGTTAATGTTAGTCTATGCCTAGCATTAACATTTAAATTTGGATTCTAGGACCTTGTGAACTAGCAATGGTTAGTGCTGTTAAAACTGGAATGTTTGAAAATGTTTCTACTCTATAAAGAAGATCCTAAAGATAAATTACATCTACTTTAGTTTGGCTTTGTTGCCGGAAGAGTACAATTATCCTTGATGACAAAGCTAATTTAAAACTAAAATATACTAAGTGACATATAAATCCGAACACCCAGTTTAAATGGTTTCATTTTAATAAAATTTTGTATAAGTACTTAATGAAGCATAATAAGTAAATGATAAAAATTTCAAAATGATTGCACTGCTTTAAAGCCCTTTGACCTTTAATAATGTGTGGATGCACCCTGATGTGCTACGCATTCTACAACGCGCCTAGGCATGCTTCTGATCAGGTGGTCAATGTCCTCCTGTGGTATCTCATTCCAGGCAACCACCAACTCCTCTCGAAGTGCTTCTAGAGTCTGAGGAGGACGTTGCAAATTGAGCAATCTCCTACCCATCATATCCCACACGTGCTCAATTGGGGATAAGTTGGGAGATCTTGGTGGCCATGGTAACAATGTGACATCATTATGTTGAAAGAAGTCTATTGTGACTCTTGCAACATGTGGTCGGGCATTATCTTGTTGGAAAGTTGGATCTGCCAGGGTGTCAAGATAGGATAAAAGATGGGGTTCTAGAACTTCGTGGATATAACGCTGCTCGTTCATGTTACCTCTGATGAAGATTAAAGGTGACCTGGAACCATAAGCTATAGCACCCCAAACCATAACTCCAACAGTGCGATGAACATGTCTTTAAACAAAAAACTGTGGATTCCTCCTTTCACCACGTCGCCTTCTAACCCTGGCACGACCATCGTGCATGCCCAAACAAAATCGAGACTCGTCACTAAAGACAATACTGTTCCATTCCTGATCCCAGAGTGACCGTTGTCTGCACCACTCAAGGCGATTACGTCGGTGTTCTCGAGTTAAAGGGAGGACCCAGTGTGGCCGGTATGAAAACAAGCCAAAACTTCTCAATCGTCGGTAAACACTTCGCATGCCAATAGGTCTTTCGTGTTCTGCAAACCATTCATTTGCAATGGACCTGGTAGTCGAGAAACGGTCCCTTAAGGCCAATAATCTTAGGCGGCGATCTTCACGGTCTGTTGTTCTACGGTGGCGTCCAGTGCCCCTTGCTCTTTGCGTACGGCCTTCTCGAAGCCATGCCTGACAACACCTAACCACAGTGTCTACACTTCTTTGCACTCTAACTGCAATTGCCCGAAAAGAAAGTCCAGCTTCCCGAAGTCCCACTATACGGCCCCTATCAAACTCACTAAGTTGACGAAATCGTACAGGTCTCCGTACTCTAGGCATCGTAACCGATCGTAAAGGATGCCAAGAACCAAAAACCGCCAACGTTGATTCTTTACTGCGGCTGAAATATTCATTTTTAGAGCGTTAGTGAATTAAAAAAAGCAGTATAAAAACCGGAATGTCCAACTGATAAGGCTGAAAATTTTTCCACACTAAATACATTCACCAACGTTTATTAAAATAAAACCATTTAAACTGGGTGTTCGGATTTATATGTCACTTAGTATATAACAAAGCATTCCAAAGTCATAAATGTTGTCTTTATAACATTGAATGCTAGGTAACTGTTATCACGCTATTTTTTGATCGACTGCAATATTGTGGTATCGTCAGCAAAACCTACGGATTATATTGCAAAAATTCCTTTCTACTTACGTGGGTTAGACATGATATCTTTATAGCAGAACGGGATAGGATTGTACTTATCTACACACTGCATATTGTTCTTATGATTCATACTCTCTCTTCTATCTTTGATCACGGTGACGTGGGAATGCCTCTGCTTAGTCTTACCCTTTCTCCATTTTGCAAACAGCTGAATCAACCTAAACACAACGGAATATTTGAAATTGCACTCGTAAAGTTATACAACTTTGTGTGCACAATAGCGTTATACCGACATTTTCGATTGGATCCCAAAAAACACGCTTTCTCATTCTTCGTTGTCGAACAGAAAGTTTTCCCACAAAAATTGGCGTACCCATTTTACGCGTCCATGTTTTGAATACCCCCTTGATCAACTTGCATCAATAAAACCAAACTTTACAGTTATTTTGCAGAGCAGGGGTCAAATACTGGGTGCGCCATCTATTACTGTTTCTTTTACCTATAAGTTTGTGTTACCATGTGAGTCAAAAGTCATGTGGTATGAATAGATGAACTGTCAAAGGTATGCCATTTATAGTCATGGATTCGTTTACAACACAACAACGCATTTTGGGTATCCAAACGGTCGACCGACATGGACGTCCTATGGAGCCTGGAATTCGTTGGATTGTTAACCGTTTTGAGGACACTGGTTCAGCTGAAGGTCGTAGACCATACCAACATGCTCGTCCAGCTCGTACTCGTGAAAACATAGTCGCAGTGAGTGAAAATGTGCGAGAAGATCCAACCACCTCGACTAGGCACCGTTCGCAACGATTGGGAATTAGTGAGACCACTTTACGCCGGATTTTAGACATTGATTTACACCTCCATCCATACGACATCCAACTAACACAAGAATTGAAACCGGAGACCATCAACAGCGGCGTGTTTTTGTTATGGATGCTGGAAAGAGAAGGCGGATTTTCGGCCAAAGTGCTCTTTTCAAATGAGGCTCATTTTCACCTCAATGGGTACGTAAATAAGCAAAAATGCGGGAGGCTGAAAATTCAATATCATGAACAACTTCTCCACCCTGAAAATGCGGATTATGGGCTGGTGGCATCGTTGGACCATTCTTGTTTGAAGATGCCGAAGAAAAGGCCATTACCGTCAACGGGGAACATTATCGCGGCATGTTAACAGGCTTTTTGTGGCCACAATTGGACCGTATTGGTGCCGACGATCTTTGGTTTCATCAAGACGGAGCAACGGCTCACACATCTCGTCAAACAATCGCCTTATTGCACACCAAATTTAAAGACATAAGGCATAATTTCACGAAATTCAGATGTCAGTTGGCCCCCGAGATCGTGCGATTTAACACCTCTTGACTATTTTCTTTGGAGATTTTTGAAAGGAAAAGTATATGCGAATGGTCCCCGGACAATTCAAGACATAAAGCGCAATATTCGGACTGAAATTGCGGCCATAGACCCGATTATTCTGGGAAAAGTCTTTGAAAATTTTGCGAAGCCGCGGTGGTCACATGACTGATGTTATTTTTCAGACATAAATGGCATAAACCAACCTTCATTTATCAATAAAAAAAATCTATTTCACCTCGTAAAAAGCGTGCTGATTTTTCAAATAGAAAAAAGTAATAGATGACGCATCGGTCAGCTTCAGAAACAAAATCGTTATCTGCCACGTTTCCGCGCCATTGCGACTTTCTAAAAATGATGGATACACAAAAGGAGGCTTTGTCGAGAAATAAATCGCCACTTTTCAAAAACGTTCGTAGTACTTATCGGACAGGCCTCGTACGACCGCATTGTACGTAGAACGTACTACGAGCTCAATATTCACTCACATTGTTGACATTTCTAATGATGTGAAAGATTAAGGTAAATTTGGTTGAATTTACCTCTCCATGATGAAGAAAAACGTCAATCCAAGCATGGCTATGCAACCTTTCTGAGTATTCTCGTCGTGAGAGTGATCAGGATCTTCCAATGCATGGCCATGTCCATGCTGATGGCTGGGAGTCATGGCATGGGGCAATAAATGCAATAGGGCATCTCCTGAAAACCATAAATGGAATAATGTAGATGCACCGAGAACTTATTATTTTTTTTTTAAGAATTGGTTAGCGGTAATGCTGCAACGTCAAGGTTTCTGTAATTTTAAAATTACACGGCTAGGCACTTTGGGCTTTGGGTGTTCATAAAATGATTTTTTGATTTCGCCTTGAACATTTTTAAATTCAATCAGCAAGATAATGACCCGAAGCACACTTCAAATTCTTTCTGGATGAAAAAATACCAGTTCTCAGATGGCCTTCACAGTCTCCCGATATAAACCCCATTGAAATTCTATGGAAATACTTAGATAAGCAAATACGAGATAAAAATTATTGAAGCAAGGATGAACTTTTTGGCGCTTTAGAGCAAAAGTGGAGTCAGACTGATGAATCTTATATCAAGAAACTTCTACAATCTATGCCGAGACGATGCCAGACGGTGATTGACAGTAATGGTTATGCTACAAAATATTAACACAAACATGGTTGGTTTTCTATAATTCAATGAACTTTGCTTCTTTTTTTCTATAATTGTTTTGCTTTGTCTATATATTTTTGTCCTTCATAGTTCCAGTTTTTTTCAATTAATTTTTTATTGAAGGGAGTCTAATGAATTTATTGTGAGTATTATGCTATAACGAAGTATGTATACAGGTTGAAGTATTAATAAAACAAGTTAAAAAATAAATACAGCACAATATTAATTAGTCTATATACTTTTATAATATATAATAATGGCATACAATAAAGAATTTTGGAAATAGCAAGTCCTTCACATGAAATTTTCTTGAAAAACTTGGGCAAAATGTTTTTGTTGACATAAAGGAGCCTCAATGATAAATAGCAGCTTTTAACTAAAGGGTTGTCCAATAGGCACGCAGGAAAGTAAACGTCAATTTGACATAGACGCCATCTTTGTTTTCTGTCACCGACATGTCATTTTGTTAGTTGAATGTTTACCATTGATCGCTATGGAGTCGTATTCGATTGAAGACCGCATTAAAGTTATTCAAGAGCACAACAAAAATGGTGCAAAAATAAAAAACACGTTTCGCGCGCTTCGTGAACATTTCGATCGCAACAACCGCCCAAACGAAACGACCATCGGTCGTCTGGTGCGTAAATTCGAGGCAACAGGTTCTGTGGCAAATCTGCCAGGCTCTGGCCGGCCAAGGAGCGTTCGCACACCGGAAAATATTGCTGTTGTGAAGGAGAGTGTGAGAGACGAACCGAAACAATCAACAACGCGTCGATCCCAAGAATTGGGCATTTCGAGAACCAGTTTGCTCCGCATTCTCCACAAGGATTTGAATGTACACGCCTACAAGATCCAATTGACGCAAGAGCTGCGCGGGCCGACCATTTTTCGCGCCGAACGTTCTCAGATTGGCTCCTTGAACACCGCCAAATTGATGCCAATTTTTCATCAAAAATCATGTTCAGCGACGAAGCGCATTTCGCTTTGAATGGGACGGTAAACAAGCAAAACTGCCGCATCTGGGCGAACGAAAATCCCAGTGAGTATCAAGAGCAGTCGATGCATCCTCAAAAAGTGACTGTGTGGTGTGCATTGTGGTCAAAAGGCATCATCGGACCTCACTTTTTCGAAAATGCGGCCGGGGACGCCGTTACCGTCAATTCTGAGCGATATCACGTGATGATAGAAGACTATTTTTTGCCGCAACTTGAACGAATGGATATGGACGATGTTTATTTCCAACAAGACGGTGCAACATGCCACACAACCATCGATTGCAGTCCTTCTTCGGTGATCGCGTGATTTCGCGCAGAGGAAATGTGCCATGGCCACCGAGATCGTGCGATTTGACTCCCTTGGACTTCTTTTTATGGGGATATTTGAAAAGCAAAGTCTACGTCAACAAACCAGCCACCCTCCAAGAACTCAAAAACATCATTGCCGAGATAAATGCCATAGAACCAACCATGTTGCAAAGTGTCATTGAAAATTTCGACCATCGCGTGGACGTCTGTAAATCCAGTCGTGGTGAACATTTGAGCGATATTATTTTTCATACATAAATGGTATAAATGAACGTTCAAAATAAAGTACCCAACTTGATTTGAACATCAATCTTTCTTGTTTTAATATGCGTTTACTTTCCTGCGTCAACCCCATATAAAAGCACCCCGAGATTTTTCGCTCGTTCAGAGAACTTGAACAGTGATTTTTGATAAAAATTTCTTTAAAAAAAATGGATTTCATTCGTGGGCCGGATAAAATAATTTGGGGTTTTTCGGTGTTCAATTTAAGAGCATTGTCCTTTGCATATCAATTTTAAATTCACTAACTATAAAAATAAGCTTCCGGACACTCAGCTTTGCTTCTTAGATTGTTCATCAGTGTGGTGCAACAAAAACTAAAATTGAGGTTGATCTCAACATTTGGAACACATTTTCCAAACTGCTAGATTCGAGACATTATTCGCCCTAAAAAAACCACCAACTTTTGCTCGTCGACGACATCTGGTCATCGCCGAATACCCGTATGTAAAGTGCTTTCACTCACCAGCCAATGTTCCCACAGCCAACGCGACCAAGAACTGAATCAGCGGCTTGTAAAACTTCTTCTGCATGACGGGGATGATGGCGAGCGACAACACGCCGCACGCGCTTATGATTACGATCGCCATGATCGAACACAGCCATACGAGACCGCTGGACGGCGACGTCGCCAATCCTTCCAATTCGTTTTCTTCTAAATGCTCTCGTTCGGCGCAGTCTTCCGCTATAATACTGTAAAGGAGGACGGGGCAGGCTTTGTAGAACTGCGAACCGTTCATGGAGGCAGGCTCTTGCTCCGTTTCGCTACGGATCAGAGCGGTGATGGTGTCTTTGTTCATACACTGGAAAGAAATAGGCGTTTCAAATCATGGTGCTTCAAATAAATCGGTTATTTCAAACCGTGGAAGTCCAGCATGCGTTTTTTAATGGCATTTTATTTAGCATGATTGCTACAATTACATTCTTTTAAAAAACCACAACGATTACATAAGAAACAAATACAGCAGACGCTCGATAACGTAAACACGGGATAATGGAAACTTGCGCTAATGTAAACACAAACTTCGTTCTGTAGGATCAAACGGAACGCGCGATAACGTAAACAATGTGTACGCTCGATAACGTAAACAACTCTCGGCGCACGGAACAGCGCGACGGTAAAATGCTGAAGCCTCGATGATTTATGTCGGGCGTCGGGGAGTCCCCGATTTATGATGTAGAGTGTAGGGGATTCACCTGTGCGATAAAATACGACAAACTCGGTCAGTCGTATGATCGTTTAGGATACGTTTATACGTACGTATGTATTTCATTTTTGAACTTAAGTGAATAGATTGCACGCGTTAATATATTTTACGACTATGCCATCCACATCCTATAAAAGAAAGTGTTTAAAGTTGAGTGAGAAAGTCAAAATCCTAGACGAAGCTGCATTAGGTGCGGGAGTGACACAGTTAGCAAAAAAATATGGAGTATCGAAAGCAACAATCTGTAAAATTAAGCGTATGAAAACCCAAATTTTACAAAGAACGTGCAATACATTTGGAGGTCCGCGAAAAAGAAAAACTTAAAAAAATGCGAAGGCACATAAAATGGAAAATTCCCTGTATAAGTGGTTTTTAAAACAACGGGAAAATCATGTCCCAGTTAGTGGCGAAGTACTTAAACAGAGAGCGAGACTGTTAAATGAGAAACTGAAAATTTCGTAGCTAGTGATGGCTGGCTGCAACGATTCAAAACAAGATATGGAATTCGACTGCTGTCTATATCTGGTGAAAAAATATCAGCACAACCACAATTAGTGCAACCATTCAAATAAAAATTGATGAAAACAATTACCGAGCTAGATTTAAGAATGGAACAAATTTACAACGCAGATGAAAGTGGCCTTTATTGGAAAATGTTACCAGAGAAAACCTATGCTGCATCATTTGAAAAATCTGCCCCGGGAAGAAAGCCGGAGAAACAACGAATAACGTTTCTAGCCTGCGCTAATGCTAATGGTTCACACAAAATAAAGCCACTGGTAATTGGGAAAGCACAAAATCCGCGCTCATTTAAAAATGTTAATATCCCTGTTGATTATGACTGTTCAAAAACCGCTTGGATGACTAGCAGTATATTCCTGAAATGGTTCCACAGGTGCTTTGTCCCTCAGGTATGACAATCAATTATCACAAATGCTCTATTCATAATTTGAAGATGTGTTTTCAATTTGTAGGTAAAAGGTTTCCTAAAACAACAGAAGCTTCCAATAAAAGCGTTGTTACTATTGGATAATGCACCAAGTCATCCTCCCGAGCAACAACTGAGGAGCAGGGATGGGTCAATTTTCGTCATGTACATGCCGCCCAACGTAACATCGTTAATTCAACCGATGGACCAGAATATAATAAGACTCGCCAAACTATACTATAGGAAGTTTCTACTTCCGTCTGTCTTATCAAAGAATCCTGAAAACTTATCTGAGGCTTTAAAAAAGTAACATTACGAGAAGCTGTTTTAGATTTACATATGGCCTGGAATGAACTTAACCAGCAAACTATTCAAAAATGTTGGAACAATCTCTTTTGTACCAATACTGAAGATGATGAAGAAGACGATGTCCCCTTAAGCGTAATTAGAGAACGTTTGCAATCCAATAATGATAATGTTATTAGTGTGTCATTGGATGTTGTTGATTTATTGAAAACAGTGCATCCCAACATTGTTTGTACTCCTGCTGATATTAATTTATGGAACGAAGATAAACAGACGAATGATGCTGATAAGGACGAGGATATGGACAGTGAGGATGATGAGAACGATCCCATTGAAGTCAGAAGTGTAGTGACTGACGCGCAAGCTATACAAGTTTTTAACCAAGCTTTAGATTGGGCTGAAAGAAAAGAAGTTTCATACACGGATATTCTAGTTCTTCGTAAATTACGGGCGCAGGCATTGGAAGACAATGCTAAGCGCAAATTTACGCAGACAAAAATTGTTAATTATTTTTCTTCTAATTAAAAAAATACTTATCGCTGTTAGAATATTTGTTTATTTTGTTATAAATAGTATGTATTAAACGTTTCTTTTAATAAATCAAATAATATATAAATCACGTTCGCTAATGTAAACATTTCGATAATGTGAACCACACTTGGATTAAATTAGTTTACATTATCGAGCGTCTGCTGTATATGAAATTTGTTATATCCAACCGTTGCCATTCTTGTTACATACATTTAATTTTGGTGTACATATTTTTATTCAATATTATTCTCATAGCTTCATTTGTAGGACTTGTAATTTTGAGAGAATACAGCTTCATTGGCAGTGAACAAGACAGTCGAACAATATAGTAAATGCAGTGATGTATTATGAACTATTTTTTTGGGAATATGTACTACGACTATTCTTAATGATTACACCAAATTTTTCAAGCATTTTCTATCTGTAATTTTGAAAGTGAATTTAAAAAAATCTATTATAATTTCAGTTCATTGAAGCCACAACCACTTTGATCCTATTATAGTTTTTCTATAGTACATCGTTATGTATACCGAACATTGTTACCCATAATTTGTTTATAAGTTTCACATCTGTAGTTTAGTAAGCTCAGTTAAAAATTGCATTGCCAATTTGTATTCAATATGTATATACTCCAATAAACATTATTATTATTTACAAAAAAACTTACCATTTGTGACATATTCCTAGTATTGTTCAGATCTTTCAATAGTTCCTCTGTAGAATGTCTTTTCTTCTGATCAACCTCCTGTTTTAAAGCACCTTGTATTTTTAAATGATCCACTAGTTTCTCGAAACCCTGAAAATATTTACCGCATTAACAAAAATAGGATAACAGTAGCTTAGAATCGATCTTTTATCAGAATTCTGTAACGGAATAGAATAGACAACAAAGTCTTCTAATATCTCTGTTGCATAATTCTCTCTAGTCAAAAGGGATCAGTATACATTTCTACTACTTGCTATAAAAAAAATAGCCGACAATATGTTTCTAAGAATCACCTGTCCGCGTTTGAAAATGTGGGCATAAGATTGATTACATATTGCCCCAAAAAACTGTAATCCCCTGATAAGGGCAAAAATAAACATACCTGTATCGTCAAAACATCACCACTGCCATACATTTCAAATATCTTCTTCACATACTCATTCTCACTATATACATTATCCTTACTACTACTAATATCACTATTTCTCTTCACCAGACGTCTATCATGGGTATGATTCACGTGATTCGGATGATCCAAATCCCTCCTATCTCTTTTCAATTTGATGCTACGTTTCGCCATATGCGGGTGGGTGTGATTCAAATGATCTATGTCTCTTTTCTCTCTGAAATCTTGGTCGACTGATCGCCTGCGGAGAGAGATAAATTGATGTTCGATCAAACTAATTTCTAGACAAACTAAAAAAAAAAAAAATGACAATGGAATAGCTGAAACATAACCTGTGATTACGAGGTCTGTAAATTAAGTGATGAAATTGGTTCGTTGTTCAAAATTAAAAAATAAGGTCTTCAAATTTTTTTCAGGCACCAGGAACTTTTTATTTGAAAAAATAAATTCACCATCGGAAACTCTGATCTTTAAGCTATTTTTTCTCAGTTGAAAAAACAAACAGAAGAAAGGGAACTGAAGACGCGCCTCTTAACTGATAAATGCACATCTCTCTACAATTTTCAAGATCCTTAATTAATAGCTAAAGGTCCTTACCTGTGATGCGTATGATTGACATGATTGGGATGATCCAAGTCTCTTTTTTCCCTTTCCCAATGCGCCGATTGCACGTCGTTCACGAGCAGATCATCGGAGAGGCCTTCGTATTCCTGCTGCTGAAGGAGATTCTCATTCTTTACAGCTACATGGGAAGCACATGGAGAATGTGTGGCGCATATGAAGCAGAAGATGCATAGTGTGATTAAGTGACGAGCCATTGCAGAGGGCTGAAACCAAAAAAATAACCAGAATTGAGATATCTTGGTTTGGAAAAGAGACATGTCCATTTAATGGAAATCCTGGCCTGGCTGTTGAGAGGGTGATCAATAATCTGTCAAATCTGAGAGCCGGTGAAACTGTCACAAAATTCATTGACTTTAAATTCAACAAACACAAAATAATATCAAGTTGCCTTTGGAAACAACAGTTTGTCTACTTACTTTACTGTCGGTCGACATTTATTTATTTTGAAGTTTCCGCTTTAAGATGTATAAATTAGAAATAGAAAAAGTGGAAGTACTTTTTAATTTATTGGAAACTACAGCAATTTTCCTTTGGTTAATCACCTTAGTGATACATTTGTTACATTTTTCTGTATTGTTTTAAGTTAACTATGTTCCGGTACTTTGTGTGTTTAGCATAAAACCGCTGCACAAATGGACCACTCTACTTTGGCTGAACGCGCTCATTGACTGTAATTAAAGTCCTACCTATACGTCAAAAAATGCAGAATCCCAAAAAAAAAAAAAAAATTAAGGCTTAGTGAGTAGATCTGATCAAAAGAAATGTTTTTTCCTTTACCATTTTTCTGGTAAAATTAAAGTAACAAAGTTATAGCCCTTTGGAAGTTTGAGTACCGCCCTGTCTCAATAATAATATTATGTGCTCGTGTTTGGCAACAACGGATATAATCCGCCTTATCGGTTCATCGCATCGGAACCAAAAAAGCGAAAGAATTTGGAACGATGTTTTTACAATTATTTTATTCATTTGTATACAGTCAGTGTCAGTCGGTAACGCGTGAGTGAATAGTGGTGTCTGTTGCGTGGCTCAAACGAAATAAAAAATGGCACATGTTTATGCGGATCGGTTTCCCAATCGAGTGCAACCAACCCCTCGTGCCTTTGTTAATGTAGTACAACGGGCTCGTGAATCAGGTGACTTAAGACCTCACAGGGGACGGCATGCCGGTGCTCCAAGCCCTCACGATCAAATACAGGTCCGCACTGAATTACTTGTCGGGAGGATACTTTATAAAACAAGGTAACATTTTGTTTTTATTTTTACACACATATTTTGGTTTATCTTCCTTCTACAATCATTATCTGAAAATTAATGACTCAACTTCAAAGTCACCCTGTAGAAAACATTATCTAGGTATCATAATTTCATCAAGTACCAAAGTACCTCTTTTTCCACTATCTAATTTAGATTGAATTAGTCGGTGATATATCCAAATTGCAGCCCGAATATTTATAACATTATCCGATGTATAACACTCATGTTTACGTTGTTTATTTGGAACGTATTTTCGACACAATTTGCTAATGCAACGGCAACAAGTGGGTTACCTCAGATTCATGCACTAATTTTAGAAACTATATTTAGACATCATTATTGTATCTCCATTAGTCACTGGTCTATATTTCTTAAGGGCATCACGTATGGACTTGGGACAGTCACAGGTTTTTTAATACTCATCAAAACTAAAATTAGCGCCGAAATTGTACTTTCAGATATCCTCAAATGAAAGCCTTTACGATTTTTTGAACCTAGATAAAAGTTTGTATGTTGAAGACCCAGATTCAGGTCAAGAAACTACCAGAGCCTCCAGAAGATTCTGATGACGATGAGGTTCCAGTACCAACAGAAGCTATTGCAAATTATGGTAACTGGCCTGCAGCTCAAAAGTTTTGTCTAAAATCAGGGAGATACAGAGTCTGCGGAGCTTCTTTTGAAATTAGAAATACGATCTCGAAAAGCCATTTTGAGGAAAAAGAGGAGAAAAACGGCTATATATGATTTTTTGGGTCCTTAAAGTGACTTTTTATTTAATTTTTATGTGTTACTACATATACTAAGTGACATATAAATCCGAACACCCAGTTTAAATAGTTTTATTTTAATAAAATTTTGTATAAGTACTTAATGAAGCATAATAAGTAAATGATAAAAATTTCAAAATGATTGCACTGCTTTAAAGCCCTTTGACCTTTAATAATATGTGGATGGACCCTGATGTGCTACGCATTCTCCAACGCGCCTAGGCATGCTTCTGATCAGGTGGTCAATGTCCTCCTATGGTATCTCATTCCAGGCAACCACCAACTCCTCTCGAAGTGCTTCTAGAGTCTGAGGAGGACGTTACAAATTGAGCAATCTCCTACCCATCATATCCCACACGTGCTCAATTGGGGATAAGTCGGGAGATCTTGGTGGCCATGGTAACAATGTGACATCGTTATGTTGAAAGAAGTCTATTGTGACTCTTGCAACATGTGGTCGGGCATTATCTTGTTGGAAAGTTGGATCTGCCAGGGTGTCAAGATAGGGTAAAATATGGGGTTCTAGAACTTCGTGGATATAACGCTGCGCGTTCATGTTACCTCTGATGAAGATTAAAGGTGACCTGGAACCATAAGCTATAGCACCCCAAACCATAACTCCAACAGTGCGATGAACATGTCTTTCAACAAAAAACTGTGGATTCCTCCTTTCACCACGTCGCCTTCTAACCCTGGCACGACCATCGTGCATGCCTAAACAAAATCGAGACTCGTCACTAAAGACAATACTGTTCCATTCCTGATTCCAGAATGACCGTTGTCTGCACCACTCAAGGCGATTACGTCGGTGTTCTCGAGCTAAAGGGAGGACCCAGTGTGGCCGGTATAAAAACAAGCCAATACTTCTCATTCGTCGGTAAACACTTCGCATGCCAATAGGTCTTCCGTGTTCTGCAAACCATTCATTTGCAATGGACCTGGTAGTGGAGAAACGGTCCTAGGCCAATAATCTTAGGCGGCGATCTTCACGGTCTGTTGTTCTACGGCGGCGTCTAGTGCTCCTTGCTCTTTGCGTACGGCCTTCTCGAAGCCATGCCTGACAACACCTAACCACAGTGTCTACACTTCTTTGCACTCTAACTGCAATTGCCAGAAAAGAAAGTCCAGCTTCCCGAAGTCCCACTATACGGCCCCTATCAAAATCACTAAGTTGACGAAATCGTACAGGTCTCCGTACTCTAGGCATCGTAACCGATCGTAAAGGATGTCGAAAACCAAAATCCGCCAACGTTGATTCTTTACTGCGGCTGAAATATTCATTTTTAGAGCGTTAGTGAATTAAAAAAAAAGCAGTATAAAAACCGGAATGTCCAACTGATAAGGCTGAACATTTTTTCACTTGTTATTTACAGTAAGATAAATACATTCACCAACTTTTATTAAAATAAAACCATTTAAACTGGGTGTTCGGATTTATATGTCACTTGGTATATATTATATATTATACATCTATATCTAAAGGTACAAAATGAAGTGGCGCTAATAAAAACTAATCTATGAAATATGATGTAGCATTATGATTCTGTTTATATGAGAATAGCAGTATTGCTAATTTTATGATGTCAAAAGACAATAAAGATAGCCAAAAATAAAAGTTATCGACGCTATCTATCACGTTTAATACGATTATCACTGTAACCCTTTGGTTTAGCTCAGGGTTCTTCACTACGAACTGATACTAGCTTTTTAGAGGTAACAAGTTAATATACAGCTACCTAAATGTTTGGTAAGCACCCCTGCTCATCAATCTTCAGTTAAGGGCATTTTAAACAAAAACCTTATCAGTCCGCTATCCCGATAAGTTGAAAAGTACCGCTTGGATTTTGATTAAATTTCTATTGAAGGTTCTTACTACGCCAAATATGACAAAGCTTTGTAGTTTTTGAAAATATATCCAGCGGCGGAGGAAATATGGACAAGAAATACAAAAAAATATCTCTAATTTCTGTTTTTGACGTTTCGTAGATTCCTGGATCATCAGAAAATTCTTTTGAGTGGTATAAAATTATGGAATCGGGGATTAATATAATCCCTATATAAATGTGAAAAAACATCCATATTCTAACGAAACAAAATCGCATACTTACAGAAAATGCTGCGCAAAGCCGCTTGAATCGACACCGGTGTGAAAAGTTCAGTGTACCCTATTAAAATGTGAATCAGTCTAGATGTAGTACCATAATCAACTTGTCTGCCTACTCACACTCACCTCTCACCTACTAATGCATAATACTGACACGAGATACCTCGCCACGGCGGAGAAAAATATTATTGTTTATCTGATTGACTGAATAAATGGACAAACAGCACGACAACACACCTTGCAGAATATTTTAATCGAAAAAAGATAAAATATCCATCCATGCAAAATCCCACTAACACAATAATTGAAGACGGCTTTTCGGCCAAAGTGCTCTTTTCTGATGAGGCTCATTTTCACCTCAATGGGTACGTAAATAAGCAAAATTTCAGATTCTGGGGGGCTTAAAATCCACACCAATATCATGAACAACCTCTCCATCCTGAAAAAGTGACTGTTTGGTGCGGATTATGGGCTGGTGGCATCGTTGGACCATTCTTCTTTGAAGAAAAGGCCATTACCGTCAACGGGGAACGTTATCGCGGCATGTTAACAGACTTTTTGTGGCCACAATTGGATCGTATCGGTGCCAACGATCTTTGGTTTCATCAAGACGGAGCAACGGCTCACAGATCTCGAAAAACAATCGCCTTATTGCACACGAAATTTCAAGACCGCATAATTTCACGAAATTCAGATGTCAGTTGGCCCCCGAGATCGTGCGATTTAACACCTCTTGACTATTTATTATATATATATATTTTTCTTTGGGGATTTTTGAAAGGAAAAGTATATGCAAATGGTCCCCGGACAATTCAAAACCTAAAGCGCAATATTCGGACTGAAATTGCGGCCATAGACCCGATTATTCCGGGAAAAGTCATTGAAAATTTTAATGTTCGGATGTTGGCCTGTAAACGAAGCCGCGGTGGTCACATGATTGATGTTATTTTTCAGACATAAATGGCATGAACCAACCTTCATTTATCAATAAAAAAATTCCATTTCACCTCGTAAAAAGCGTGTTGATTTTTCAAATAGAAAAAAAAGTAATAGATGACGCACCCTGTATAATTGTTTTTTAGTTAAAAGACTTTCGCGGCCATCATCCAATGTTATTTGGTCGGTTTTTGGGTAATTAGGCCGTCGTAAAATATGTTTTTTATTTGACGTCAAAAAAAAAATTATTTTACGCAGCCTAACTGCTCTAAAACCGACCAAATAACATTGTTTTTTAGTCTCGGCCGTTTTTAGGTGATTCTGAACAAAAAAGTTTCTTGCAAACATTTCTCTAAAGTTGGAAGTTTTCGAGATACAGGGTGGTCCAACGAAAAAGCCGCAACCCCGTTTGTAACTCTCCTAATATATACTAAGTAACATATAAATCCGAACACCCAGTTTAAATGGTTATTTTAATAAAAGTTGGTGAATGTATTTATCTTACTGTAAATAACAAGTGAAAAAATTTTCAGCCTTATCAGTTGGACATTCCGGTTTTTATACTGCTTTTTTTTAATTCACTAACGCTCTAAAAATGAATATTTCAGCCGCAGTAAAGAATCAACGTTGGCGGATTTTGGTTCTTGACATCCTTTACGATCGGTTACGATGCCTGGAGTACGGAGACCTGTACGATTTCGTCAACTTAGTGAGTTTGATAGGGGCCGTATAGTGGGACTTCGGGAAGCTGGACTTTCTTTTCGGGCAATTGCAGTTAGAGTGCAAAGAAGTGTAGACACTGTGGTTAGGTGTTGTCAGGCATGGCTTCGAGAAGGCCGTACGCAAAGAGCAAGGAGCACTGGACGCCGCCGTAGAACAACAGACCGTGAAGATCGCCGCCTAAGGTTATTGGCCTTAAGGGACCGTTTCTCCACTACCAGGTCCATTGCAAATGAATGGTTTGCAGAACACGGAAGACCTATTGGCATGCGAAGTGTTTACCGACGAATGAGAAGTTTTGGCTTGTTTTCATACCGGCCACACTGGGTCCTCCCTTTAACTCGAGAACACCGACGTAATCGCCTTGAGTGGTTCAGACAACGGTCACTCTGGGATCAGGAATGGAACAGTATTGTCTTTAGTGACGAGTCTCGATTTTGTTTAGGCATGCACGATGGTCGTGCCAGGGTTAGAAGGCGACGTGGTGAAAGGAGGAATCCACAGTTTTTTGTTGAAAGACATGTTCATCACACTGTTGGAGTTATGGTTTGTGGTGCTATAGCTTATGGTTCCAGGTCACCTTTAATCTTCATCAGAGGTAACATGAACGCGCAGCGTTATATCCACGAAGTTCTAGAACCCCATCTTTTACCCTATCTGGCAGATCCAACTTTCCAACAAGATAATGCCCGACCACATGTTGCAAGAGTCACAATAGACTTCTTTCAACATAATGATGTCACATTGTTACCATGGCCACCAAGATCTCCCGACTTATCCCTAATTGAGCACGTGTGGGATATGATGGGTAGGAGATTGCTCAATTTGCAACGTCCTCCTCAGACTCTAGAAGCACTTCGAGAGGAGTTGGTGGTTGCCTGGAATGAGATACCACAGGAGGACATTGACCACCTGATCAGAAGCATGTCTAGGCGCGTTGGAGAATGCGTAGCACATCAGGGTGTATCCACACATTATTAAAGGTCAAAGGGCTTTAAAGCAGTGCAATCATTTTGAAATTTTCATCATTTTCTTATTATGATTCATTAAGTACTTATACAAAATTTTATTAAAATAAAACCATTTAAACTGTCTGTTCGGATTTATATCTCACTTAGTATATTTAAAAAAAAAACGCTCATACATGACAATTTCGATTTCTACAGGGACGTCTTCTCATTTATAGAGAAAAATAAGATATTGCGTTATATGAAGTTTTTTACACGCGCAATATCCTGAAAAAAATAAATGTGTGAGCCGGCATTTTCGGAAATCCTTCTGCAGGACCTTCTTTCATTCCTGCAAAGTTGACGGAGTTGGACATGTTAGAAAATAAATGCACTACGTTCGACCCGAAAAAGAATACGAAAAATCCTTAAATATTCTCCAAACACCTATTAACAAAATCCCGAATGATTTTGGAAGATTGTTATCGTAAACCTTTCTTTTTTAATGTTAATCAAGCGCCCATATTGGGCAATAGAAAAACACGTTAAGGATATTTGGAATGGGCAGCACAGATCAACCTACATGATTCTGCGACTCTCGAAATTTAAATAAAATCCAGTCAAGCCAGTAGGAATGATTGACAGGGATTTTTCATGATGTGGACACTGTTTGATACGCAAATACTTCGTGTGGGACGTAAAAACAATTAATGCGAGTGTTTTAATATCCAACCATCAGATTCGCGAGTGATATTTGCATGAAAAATTCGGAAAATATGCGCAACTCAAATTACAGATCAAAAAAGGTACCAACTGTGAACTGGAAGGAAAATCGACTTTTCCAAATGGTTTTGAAGCATTACGATTTGAAATTAGTTTGAGAGAAAAGAATTACATAATGTCAGTAGTACCATCAGACTTTTTATACATATTTGGAGCTTTATTTTCAATTTGCATTATTATTAAATGACAAGAAATAAAAGATTGTGAATGATGATTAGGGGGTCAATTTTAGTTTTTTTTTTTACTGAATAGCTGCTAAACATTTCAAAGAAAAACTGAGTATAATATCTGAGTATTACACCTTTTTTTCAAGCTAAGCACATTTGTTTGATTCAGTTTGAAGGTCTCATAGAAAAATCTGCAGAAGAATTTTTATTGATTTCAAGTGATTCAGAAATCTTGTTACAAGGTTACCGCAACAATGTGATTGCAATATATTTTATAAATGGCAAATATCTTCGCATCCTAGATAATAAATAGCCAAACAGACTTTTAATACAGCAACATGTTTTCAGAAAATGCTCTAATGCCATAAATCCAGGAAAAATAAATCAGACTGCATCAAAAAGTATATAAATTAAAATCAATGGAAAATTTAAAACAAGGTTCAAAGTTACAATACAAGCAAAAGGTGTGGTTAATCATCAAGTACCTGATAATACAGATATCAAGCACAGGTTGTAAGCTTGCTGACTCAACCAGTGCGTATCATTGTTATTATCATTCATAAAAAACAATTCTTATCTGAAGCCTCCAATACTCACAAGAACTATTCACTGGAATAGTCAGCTACTTGTTGCTTGAAAGCTGGCAAACTTGAATTGGCTCTACTTACAGCCTCTGAGCATCTTTCTGCAAAAATATCATCCACCATACTGGATCTTGATATTTTTAAGAACTACTTTCAACTACTAACCCTGGACTATAGATGTTTGAACAACACTTGGGTAACTTATTATTGCTTCAATCTTGTTGAAGTCAAAATGCTATAGTAATTGTCAATTTTCTTCAACATTAAAATAAGCAACTTTTTAATATAATTCTTGCTATGTATGACATAAGTAACTCAGTTCTGTATTTGTATCAGTAGGAAATAAGTATAGCTGAATATAATGTTTCTTAACATTAACCTTTGATTGTTAGGAAAGAAGTTACTTTATTTTAAATTGTCTAATAATGGTTCAAGTATGCATTTTTGAACTAAATGAATGATGCTATGATGCTGAATCAAAGGGTACATATTTATGTCCAAAATGCATACAACTAAAATAAATAATTAGTAAAGATTTGACAGTAGCATACCCTTAAAATAAAGTACCTTGACAACCATTTTTTTAGAAATTTGTACCAAGACACTGCATGAAATTGATGCATATATTTCTGAACATATACAGATACTATGTTGCTATAACAAAATTATTCCATGTGCTAGGAACTTATTAGGATTCAACAATCAATTGAAATTACATAAGAGCATTAAAATGCCATAGATGTTTCTTAATATAAAAGTTGTTGTTGGTTGATAAAACCAAGGTAAGTATAAAATTACTTGAGCTGTCAAGCAGATCTTCAAAACATACAACCATCAAGTTTTTTGAATGAATACTAGGCTTGTTGAGGATGTAAACAAGTAGAAAAATTATGTGTTTTGGTGGAAGTACTTGATCAAACTATATCTAAAGTTTAGGTTTGCAGTTTATAACATAGTTGACAATGTCATGGGGTTTGTTTACATGTCTGATAAGAATCGAAAGAGACGAAACGCCGAGTTCAAATTGACTTTGATACATCTGCAAATGCATTAGGTCTGTGCGCCATATGTGAAAATACACACAAATAAACAAAATAAACGATTCCTTGAACTTTTTAACAGAAATCCGGCATTTTCTATACCTGGCTCTCAAGGATATCAACCAGATCCACTAAAATATGGAAATCATCGCGATTATTCGCTTACAACGGGTCGAATTCCTTTTCCCTTTTTTTCTGCGAGACCAGAAAGAAGTCCACAAAATCCGACTGTCGCATGTAATACCTTAATTGGGCATAGGCATCGAAGTATGTCAATGTTTGGAAATCTAAGCACGTTTCGGGATACAATGCAACGTTTCGTAGGTACAAAGTAACAATAACAAAACCGGCAAAATTGGTACGTACCTATTCAATAACCCCCTTAGCAAATAAGTACAAATGCACAACAAAAATCGAGAACCCACTCACACTGTACAACGGATTTGTGCAGACAGATGGAATCGACATACGTCTCGACTACTTATATGGAGAGAGATTAGACCGACGTCGTCATGGTTCACAGCGTTCACAGGTTGTTACAGTGGGTTTACATTGGTCATCCCCACCAACTTTTTTATTTTCTATCGTTTAATCCACCTAAAAACGGTGACCGTCTTCCTTATTCGTCATGAACTTGATTTAAATAAGGTAGAAAAATAAAAACAAGTTCAAATTGCGCACCGTCAAATGGAAATTTATTATCAGAGACGAGATCGCTTTTTGGATGAAAATGAGAATGAGATGAGTGACATTGACATACGTCAAACGTCCGATTTGAGGTTATGCGAAAATTTGTTTTCACAACACACAACAAAGTTCATGTCCGTGCGTTATTAAAAACTAATTAGCGAATCGGTTTCCGAAAGCGTCTCCGTAATTCTGTAACTTGAAACGTAAAGATGTCTAAAAGCGGAGTCGGTAGAGGCAGAGGTTGGCTAAATTTAAACAAAACTCAAAGCCAGAATGCGGTACCAAAGGTTGGGGCCGCCACAGCGGGTCAAGACCTTACAGCAGCCGAAGAATCTCGGTACATAGACGCTTCTAGTTCGTATAATGATCTCATTAACAAAATTCAGCAGCTGAACATTAAGGACGATGGTATACTCTTCAATCAGAAAATCAAATACGTCCTAGAAAATTGGAAGCAAGACTGTCAAAATTCTGAACAAGTAGAGTGAGTAACACCGAATCATTGATGAAAATAGATAGATCTAACGATGGTTTCTTTTAGAAAAAGTTTCGATAGGATATACGAAAGCTGTTTGAGCGACCCAGAGCTAGGTACCAAGCTAGTCATGATGATAGCATCTAGATCGTTCATCACACAAGAAGTCCATGATCAGAATATAAGGCTAATGTTTTTGACAAGATTACAAAACTCTTTTGAAGGTATGTGAGATGTTAGAATGCTCTATTTGATAGGGAAATTTTTTCTACTGGTGTGTAATGAAAGTTTGTTGGTAGATTTGGGTCTTCTTGACATACTTTATTTTACTACTACAAGTCTTCAGTTACATTGGTCTTGAAACAAGGGAATCATATACAAGGTGGCGCATCGAATAAGAAACAGACGCATTTACTGGCAGCTGATTTTTTTTTTTTTCGTCGATTTTGTTTTCGAGGGGGACTTCAAAACTACTGAACTGTAGTAGTGAAGTACATTAATTTTATATCATTATAAAGGGAATTGAAAAACCTTTAAAGTAAGGTATCACTTGACCCCCCTTTCCATTTAAGATTTTGGTGGTGTCACCCCCGCTTAGGGGCATTTTTTGCAAAACTTGTGTCCCCCTCGAAAACAAAATCGACGGGTCTGAGCGTTTTTCAAAAATCAAATCAAATTCTTAGACCTTATATTTTTTAATTCTTAAGCTTATTGTGCCTAAACCAAGATATTTACCTCAATTTCATCATATGCTCCAAATAAAGCATGATATTTTACACTACTTGGATGGTTAATTTCAACAATTTGTCGATTTTTCTGGAGTAACATTGAAATCCCAAATGTCATATATTCACCCTTGTAGACTTGCATTATATATCCATTTTCACAATATTCTGGAGCTGAATTTGAGTTACAAAATTGGTTTTCTGGGCGTGCCCATATGCCCTAGTGTCAAATTGACATCAAATTTGAAATCTACACAACAAATTCATCCAAGAAATCAAATCCATTTTGATCATAGATACTCAAGCATCTTTAGACTTTTTCTCACAAGAAATCTGAATATCTTATAGAATTTTGAGAGGCAAGACCGTTGCTACATCAATAGCGAATTGTTGTCAGGTTCATAAATGTCGGAAAATGTGTAATAAGCCCAAAATACTATATTGGAATCTATGGTTTTTTTCCTTTTTAAGAAACCAAAGGAGTGGGCACAAACCTCATGGAAATCAGTTGCTGGTAAATCGTGCTTAAACTTTGAGAATAAGCGTTTCTGAGCATCCTGATCAAAAGTTTCATGGGTTCTTAACAATCCTGTAAAGTGTGATATACAGGGTGTCCCAAGCGGAAATTTAGCAAGAGAAACTGAAAACTAGAATCGTAGGGCTTCAAAATGCTTTTTTTAGGGTCTAGATACGACCGTTTTTCACCGAAACCTGTCAAAAATCGCCGAGTTTTTTTCTTGCTCGCTTAATTTTTTTGAGTAGGGTTTTTGCCCACATCAAAAATATTTGTTTCAAATGGCTAGGCCCTTTTTAAAAGAAGATTGATATCCTCTTTATGAGTTTTGATTATTAGCTACTAGATATTTTATCTAAAAAAATTCCAAATTTTAACAGTGTGCATATCAGCTGTCTTGACACTTTGCATTAGTGTAGACATGTTGGTCAATATATTGATGAAACGACCAGTTCGCAGATTTGACCACGAACATAACCTTCAAGGTCATGTCAAGGCCAAGTCACTTCTTTTCGATAAGAGACTCCATTTTTGATTACGGAAATAAAACGACATTCCACATTGAACTATGGACTTCTAGAACAAACATTTTTGATGTGCTGCGAAATTAATTGGGACACCATGTATACTAAGTGACATATAAATCCGAACACCCAGTTTAAATAGTTTTATTTTAATAAAATTTTGTATAAGTACTTAATGAAGCGTAATAAGGAAATGATAAAAATTTCAAAATGATTGCACTGCTTTAAAGCCCTTTGACCTTTAATAATGTATGGCTGCACCCTGATGTGCTACGCATTCTCCAACGCGCCTAGGCATGCTTCTGATCAGGTGGTCAATGTCCTCCTGTGGTATCTCATTCCAGGCAACCACCAACTCCTCTCGAAGTGCTTCTAGAGTCTGAGGAGGACGTTGCAAATTGAGCAATCTCCTACCCATCATATCCCACACGTGCTCAATTGGGGATAAGTCGGGAGATTTTGGTGGCCATGTTAACAATGTGACATCATTATGTTGAAAGAAGTCTATTGTGACTCTTGCAATATGTGGTCGGGCATTATCTTGTTGGAAAGTTGGATCTGCCAGGGTGTCAAGTGAGGGTAAAGGATGGAGTTCTAGAACTTCGTGGATATAACGCTGCGCGTTCATGTTACCTTTGATGAAGATTAAAGGTGACCTGGAACCATAAGCTATAGCACCCCAAACCATAACTCCAACAGTGTGATGAACATGTCTTTCAACAAAAAACTGTGGATTCCTCCTTTCACCACGTCGCCTTCTATCCCTGGCACGATCATCGTGCATGCCTAAACAAAATCGAGACTCGTCACTAAAGACAATACTGTTCCATTCCTGATCCCAGAGTGACCGTTGTCTGCACCACTCAAGGCGATTACGTCGGTGTTGTCGAGTTAAAGGGAGGACCCAGTGTGGCCGGTATGAAAACAAGCCAAAACTTCTCATTCGTCGGTAAACACTTCGCATGCCAATAGGTCTTCCGTGTTCTGCAAACCATTCATTTGCAATGGACCTGGTAGTGGAGAAACGGTCCTTTAAGGCCAATAATCTTAGGCGGCGATCTTCACGGTCTGTTGTTCTACGGCGGCGTCCAGTGCCCCTTGCTCTTTGCGTACGGCCTTCTCGAAGCCATGCCTGACAACACCTAAACACAGTGTACACTTCTTTGCACTCTAACTGCAATTGCCCGAAAAGAAAGTCCAGCTTCCCGAAGTCCCACTATACGGCCCCTATCAAACTCACTAAGTTGACGAAATCGTACAGGTCTCCGTACTCTAGGCATCGTAACCGATCGTAAAGGATGTCAAGAACCAAAATCCACCAACGTCGATTCTTTACTGCTGCTGAAATATTAATTTTTAGAGCGTTAGTGAATTAAAAAAAAAGCAGTATAAAAACCGGAATGTCCAACTGATAAGGCTGAACATTTTTTCACTTGTTATTTACAGTAAGATAAATACATTCACCAACTTTTATTAAAATAAAACCATTTAAACTGGGTGTTCGGATTTATATGTCACTTAGTATATAATTGTGCATATTTTCGAAACGTGATGTGTCTCAAAAATAAGTTTCTCAATGATCTACCAAGTTTATAAAAAGTGGATTTTACCTGAAACAGAAATGCATAGAAAAAATAGCGACTATATTGAAAAATAGCTTAAAGATCAACGTTACCAATGGTAAATTGTTTTTTTTTTTTTTGGACAACCTATGAGCCGGCGATTAATTTCCGTAAGGTTTGTCAAATATAAATTTTTAGATGCCAAGCAGCTGCAAAAAACAAATCCTGTCATATTTCGCAACAGCGTGCATCTGCTAGGAGAGTTTTACAATAAAGCAAGACTCGCGAACGGACAGCAGTTGCAATTTATGGCGACGCCTCTTTTAACAAACTTGAGGATGTTGTTGGATACAGCACAGTTGGACGACCTCAAATTGTTCACCACACAGGTAACAACACCGTAGGATAATAAATTTATTTTAATTGTTTACTTAGTTTACTGATTTGAGTTTGCATGGGTTCTGCCATTGTAGAACTACATTTCTCTTCTATAGGTATTTCTGTACATTTTGTCGTCACCCATTGTCACATATGAAACTTTGTCCTTATTCTGAGTGAGGGAATGAGACAAGCTTGGCATCCAAACGCATCTTAAAACTAAATACAACAACAAATATGCTCATCAAAAAATTCTGGAGTGAACGAGTGAAAATTCAATATTAATATTGTGCCCCATTTTTTGCTGTTTTGCCACTCTCGAGTGGCAATGTTGTCAGTTGCGATTGGTCATCGGAAAACCGTAACTTGCTTGCCCGACTACGAGAAATGACACATACTCTTTCAGTGTGCCGTGGAAAAAAAATATACTTTATCAATGCTAAGGTATACAATTTCACATCTGCACTTGTGAATCATCATTCATCCAAGGTTTTGCTTTATTTTCATTGCAGTTTTTTAAGGAGGAACTTGTTAAGCTGTTATTTCTTCACGTACACGTCGTACTGTTTTTTGTCGCGCCAGTTGACGTTTCATTATCAAGTTTTAATCGTCGGACGGATTTTGAAGAAATGTTTGTACGAAAAGCGGTTTTATTAAAAGAATGTGAAAGCAGGTTGCTTCCTATTCGTTTTTGCGGACGTTTTCCGTAGAAACCTCGCCCAGTTTATTATAGTACAAAGTATGATTGTGCACTTATTTATTTTTTGTTGGATAGGGAAATACAGCTACAACCTTACGTGCAACAGGATGAAACATTGGAAATTTTGCCATCTCAGCGATATTTGAAATAAGCATCAAACTGTTTTTAGTCGTAATTTTTTTAAAAAACTCTAAAGGTAAAATTTTAATCTGAATGAAAAATCAGCATAGGATTCGTGATCTACGTACCCGATTTTGCCAAAAGTTGGTCTTCGTAGATAATGCAGAGACGCGGCAATTTTTGAAAATATGTATACAGGGTGACTTCGAAGTTGAGTCATTTATTTTAACAGTGAGTAGATCTGATCAAAAGAAATGTTTTTTTCCTTCACCATTTTTCTGGTAAAATTAAAGTAACAAAGTTATCGCCCTTTGGAAGTTTGAGTACCGCCCTGTCTCAATAACAATATTATGTGCTCGTGTTTGGCAACAACGGATATAATCCGCCTTATCGGTTCATCGCATCGGAAACAAAAAAGCGAAAGAATTTGGAACGATGTTTTTACAATTATTTTATTCAGTTGTATACAGTCAGTGTCAGTCGGTAACGCGTGAGTGAATAGTGGTGTCTGTTGCGTGGCTCAAACGAAATCAAAAATGGCACATGTTTACGAAAATGCTGAACTTGTGGACACGATTCTTATTTACGCGGCATGACGGATTTATGCGGATCGGTTTCCCAATCGAGTGCAACCAACCCCTCGTGCCTTTGTTAATGTAGTACAAAGGGCTCGTGAATCAGGTGACTTAAGACCTCACAGGGGAGGACATGCCGGTGCTCCAAGACCGCACGATCAAATACAGGTCCGCACTGAAATACTTGTCGTGAGGATACTTTAAAAACAAGGTAACATTTTTTTTTATTTTTTTTTATTTTTACACACATATTTTGGTTTATCTTTCTTCTACAATCATTATCTGAAAATTAATGACTCAACTTCAAAGTCACCCTGTATATATATATATATATATATATATCAATTTTTAATACGTGACCAAATCTAGGATCCAAAAACCATCAGAAGGTTGGTGCTGACTAAGTGTATACCGGCCATTTTCAACAGGTTTTGACAATTTTTTTTGTCAGATTTATGATTTTAATGAGAGAAAACGTACCTACTACTTATTAAAACGCAATTTCAATAATTCGAATTATTTAACGTCAAAGTCAGAGCCTACTGAGATGAAAAAAAATGCGTTACTTATTAATTTTATTTTCTGACAAATAAATCATGGCATCCTTTGAAAAAAATAATACATAACATTACGTGTGATGATGTTGCGATGATACTCCAAACTTTTATGCACTTGTGATACATCGCTAGGCTGGAAATTTTACGCTCTTTTCAAAAATCGAAAAATCTAATATGCCAGCCGATATTTCCAAAACTAAATGACTGATCGTAAATCTTTAGCCGGCTATCGAATGCATTGAGTTTCCTCTTAAAATTTCCCCATTTAACCTTTGCAGTAGGTATAACAGGAGCTGAGATCACTGTAAAGGGAAGCGAATCTGAGACACACTGTATATTAGAAATAGCAGGCGGCCAAATACTGATCCCTGAGGTACCCCGTTGCAAATAGGCAAAAGGTTAGAGGCGGTTCCCTCAGAGCTTACCTACTGCTTCCTATTTGACAAACACGTACACCAGCATATAATAAAACAATAATTAGAGCTTTGCTTTGTAGAGGAAGGTTGGGGCTACATTTGTCTCAAAACCGCTAAGAGAATAGACAAGCGATCAAATAAAGTGACCCGTGCTTGTCTTTTCACAGTTGTACCTGAACGGCGCGTCTCTGAAGACAGAATGTCCAGAGGTACTCTCTGAAGTCCTCAACAATGTGCGACTCGCGTTAATCGGGGACAAAGTAGCCTTAAAAGAGTCCAGATTGTGGCTCCTGTTAGCCTTGGACGTGGCTAATAACAGATTCGGCCTTCAACCTGCGGAAATCCAAAAATTCTACCAGGAACAACTTGGTGACGGAGCGATGGCTGATTTCCAGGTATGGCTTGTGAACAATGAGACAATACTTATGGATCAGATTTCTAGGGTCATACATTCATGATGGTTGTGGTGTTTAATATGTCATGTTCTTTATTGTTGTTGTTTATGACATTGGTGTTGCATGGTTTGATTAACTTTTTTAATGACATTCACATAGCGGTGTTTCTTCCTTATGTTTTATATGTTTGAATATTGTTTTTAGGTTGTAAATAAAATTGTATTGTATGCACGTTTTTATTATTTTACTTATATAGATTTATTGATTGTTAAACCCTATTCTGAGTAGGAAATGGAACTTGTACAGTTTCAGAAACCTATAGATTTGTATCAGGATCGCAGAAACGGCAAGAGGTATCGATGCCATGGATTTGAATTTCGTGCTTATCTCATAGTAGTAGCAGGGTACCATTTTCAGGGATCCTGATAGCAAGTCACCGTCCACCGATTTCGTGGGTCGACAGTGCAATTTCCCGAAACCTGTAGATCTGTATCAGGATCGCAGAAACAGTACGAGGTATCCATGCCTTGGATTTGAATTTCGTTATCTCATAGCAGGAGCAGAGTACCATATGAGTAGCTCTTCGCGTTTCAGTGATCCTGATAGCAAGTCACCGTCCACCGATTTCGTGGGTCAACAGTGCAATTTCCAGAAACATGTAGATCTGTATCAGGATCGCATAAACAGTAAGAGGTATCGATGCCATGGATTTGAAGTTCGTGCTTATCTCATTTTTGGTCATGACTTGTGAACCACCCTGTCGAACTTACTGTAATTAGCAAGTCAAGAGTGTCCACTTTAAGATTTCCTAACCTATATGTATCTGACAATGTGACAGACCACTCCTAGCGCGCTGAGCGTGCAGACACCACCGGACAACAAGCAGCTGGACGGCTACCAGAGCGCCGTGAACGTGTTGCAAATCTCGTCGCCGGCGCAAGATGGCGCCACGTCACCGCCGCACCAACAGCAGTCGACTATCCCCCCTCCCGCGCACGAGCCGAACAACGTTTCGCAGAGCAGCGGATTCGTATCGGACTCCAGCATAGCCAGCAACAGGTATTCAGTGACTTAACTCTCTGTTGGATGGACACCAACGGGACCGACCGAACGTGTCCGTTCAAGAGGGAGGTCGGAAAAAATAAATACAACAAAAATCGTATTTTTAAAAAAATTGGACACTTAAAACGTATATGTATACTGAGTAACAATAAAACCTAAATTTATAAAATTTCAAGAATTTTTACGATGTATCTTGCCATGAACAACATGTGATAAAATGGACAGGTCTTTCTGTAAAGTTTTTGGCGTGGCTGCGTGTATTGTTTGATGATAAAGAAGCATTCAGTTTTCGTACATTTACGGCGCCAGTTAAATGTTAAATTGCATTACCGGTTTTGTGCTGCTCCAAATACTATTTAACCCCTCAAATTCCAGAACTGCGCCGTCCACAGGCCCGAAGTGCGGCCGACCGATCTTGGGCATAGGGGCCAGACTGAAAAACAAAGTGAACAACACTGACGCTAATTCTACGGACGCTAACTGGAAGGAGCCGGGAGCCCCTGGGAGCGGCAGCGGGGGCAACTGGAGCAGCGGTGGCGGTAAAAAAGGAGGCCATAGGGACGCGAAGAGGGCGCCTAAGGGCGGAAGTAGCGGCGGTAAAGGGTGGGAACACGATGACAGGTTCGAGACGGATTATAGCTAGGGGGCGCTGTGGTAGATTGTAATTTATGGGTAAACTCTATTCAATATCATTTAGACGAGTTCAGTCACTTTGTTAAATGTCCCTTAAGATGAATCTGAAGGTTGCAGGCGATGACCCGGAGCGAAGGATCAGGGTTTGTAAGGTGTTTTCGCCCTGAAATTTCAAGTTGATCGATTCTCTGAAATTTGTGCATTCAAATATCATTATACGTATTTTAAACTTTCAACATTTTTCTTTTTATTTCGGTACTTGATCGTTCTTTAAAAGCCCAAGTTTCTTAATCTTTGCATTCTTGTGAAAAATACATCCATTTTCGAACATGTAACTTCAGTATTTTCATATGAGCGCTTGGTCGCCACACTTTCTGCTTCAGATCTAACCGCGTTCACATTAAAAACAAAAATTGAAGTCACATAATTTTATTATAGATTTGAAGTAAAAGGGCTCATATGAAAATATTAGGTAAAATATTCGAGTAAATTTTGGACAAAAATGCCAAAATCATTGCGAACTTTGGACTATAAAAAACAATTAGGTACTAAAAAAGAGAAGAAATGTTCATCATCATCTTCTAAAATATTTGTATGCAAAAATTTCTTAGGTGCGATCACTTTGAAATAAGTTATTTTGAGAGTCGAAAACCCCACTTTTAGAGCCTGATCCATCGTTTAAACAATTTTTCCACAAAAAATGTTTTTCCACTCCGGACAATAAAAAATGTCGCTAAAGCGATTTATAAAGGAATCCTAAAAATAGTGATTTTCGATACTTAAAACTTTGTTAAAAATCGTCATTTTTGAGGTTGCTAGATATCTACATTAAAATTCAAACCTTCTCTCACAAAATCTCGAAGAGTTTTTGGGACTTACTTTATTTAGAAGCATTGTTATTTAACTGCTAACTTGCGGACTTCATTTCACTTCAAAAAAAACCTAGGTCAAAATATTCCAAAGAACCCAAAAAAAAATTTGGAACCGTAGGGAAAAAATATTTTTTTGTAATATTTTTGAAAAAATGTCCAAACGAATTTTCACCAGGCCAACATCTTGATTCATATTAAGAAACATCTAACATGCGAGATTTTGAAAAAGAATACACGACTGATAGGTGAACTTTGAATAGGGCTTAGCTTGATATGAGAGGTGACATATTCTTGTTATAGTCTGGTGAAATTCGATGTTTCCATTTGCAGGTTTAGGATTGAAAACGGTCGGCTGTTTTTTACAGGTGCACCAGAGTTTGTGGTTGATGAATTATTTTTTTGTTTTATATGCTTCCGAGGGATCCGGTCTTCTTATGGGACACCCTGTATATCTGTAAAACGAAAACTATTCTGAGTTATGGTGTAAAATTTGTCTTACTCAACATGCAGTCTGGAGCAGCCAAGAATTACGTTGGGAATAGGGTAGATTTACTGGTACCTGGTGAGAAACAAGACTTAAATTTTGATGGCTAATTTCTATATATACCTATATATATATATATATATATATATATATATATATATATATATATATATATATATATAAAGAGTAAATTATCATGCGGAGAAAGGTATATAACAAAAATAGGAAAATAATGGGCAAAATCCACAAAAAGTGGATTTGAGCAGAATAGGATAGGTAACCCGAGCGATGAAGCCAACCAGCAGAAATACGTATCGCTCGGGTTACCTATCCTATTCTGCTCAAATCCACTTTTTGCGGATTTTGCCCAGTATTTTCCTATTTTTGTTATATATATATATATATATATGTATATACATTTTTTACTAGGCTATGAATTGCTTGTCTACTGGGACGAGAATTACGTGATGATATTTTCTTTACGGAATATTTTGACATTGATTCACAGTGAAAGTTCAAAGTTGTCAAGCGCCTATTGGAAAACCCGATATAAGGTTTTTTCACGCATGTCTTTTTTGTATACAAGGAGCCAGTGCTATCTAATGAAGCATCCCGTTTAAAAAATACAATTTTTCAATCTATAGAACGTTTCTGAGATATCCTATGTACAAACGAAAAACTTGCACGAAAAACCTTAAATCAGACACAATATTTTTTGCATGAAACTTTTTTCGCTAAACCGCCATATATCTTAAGTTAGATAGGGTCCTTTTTATATGGAGACTTCTTGTTTAAAGCATCTGATAAAAGTTTTCGCTGGCGGAAACTGTCAGGTGAATAATATCTTACAAATTATATATAAAAATCAGCCATCAAAAATTCAATGACCAACGTTTAATCTTTAAAAAAATCTGTCAGCCCAATAAGAACATGGTGTATGTCGCCTCAGCATATCGGATACTGTTAAGAGTTTATTTTAGTGAATGCATTTTTTACTAAGCAAGTTGTAATTTTGATCTAGAATGTTTTATATACGTAAATTTATTACAAATCTCGATCTATTTATATTATTTATACGTTTTTACGTTCGCTGCTTTATTCACAACAGATTATTTGGTCATTGATTCAGAATTAGTAAATATGTGTATCATTCGAAACCAGATCAGCATACATTGAACCCGACTAGAATAATTATTAGCATTGAATATGCAAAAAATCGAACTGGTTGTCAATGATAAATCCTCATATTTATACATTATATTGTTTTTTGATGTTGCTGTATTTAGTCCAGGTGCTTAGCATGCAGATTTGTTGACTTTGGTGGCGATAACTAATTTTTTTTATCATTATCGATTTCAAATTTTCAAATCATGCACTAGATTTTATCATAATTATCCTCCGAGAGGATCGCTAAACGTCAACATTTTTTTTAACATGACATCGACCTGCCAAGGAAAGATCACCCCTAACCTCCCTCGTAACTGTTAATAAAATTTCGCATCTACAGTTTCTTAACGACGGAAAAAGAAATCACAGAATCTGCGCCAAAAGTGCGAGAAGCGGCAACACTAACACCTAAAGACGGTGGTCAACTCGTTTAGGTGGCAGCGCGACGGGACGCTTAGTTCGCGATTTTTGGCGGTTCGCATTAAAATTATCGACATCACTTTTATACAGGGTGTCCTTTAAACAATACGACAAAAAATGGGGAAGATAGGCGAAAGACAGATCTACCACATACCAAAAAATGACCCTAGTAAAAGTTTCACTATTTTTGAGATATTGATTTTTCTGTCTTTTTAAGACGCTAGCCTTTTTGAAGTCCTGATTACGCAGGTAACTCATCGCAGTACTTTGCAGCAGCAGTAAAGTACATTTTTATTTCATTGCTGAATACCAAAGTTGATTAAAATAGTTTTCTAAAATAAAAATTACGAGGAAGAAATTAGTTTGTCAAGTTCACCTACTTGTAACGGGTGATTTTTTAAGAGGTATAGGATTTGATTTTCTAAAAAACACATAAAATTTTAAAAAACGATTAAATCTTTATTTGAGTCGATAGAACGGTCGATATAATTTAATTTTGGAAGATTATTTCATGTAAATGTTGGCCGCGGCTTCGCTTTAGATGGGCCATGCGCAAGGTCCAATTTTGGCACACTCTCTCCAACATATCGGCCGGTATCTCACGAATAAATGCTTCAATATTGGCTTCCAGTGCGTCAATCGTTGCTGGTTTATCCCTGTAGACATTAGCCTTAACATGGCTCCACAAGAAATAGTCCAACGGCGATAAATCACGCGATCTAGGCGGCCAATTGACGGGCCCCAAACGTGAGATAAACTGTTCACCGAATTCGCCTCTCGATAGGGCCATTGTTTCGTGTGCGGTGTGGCATGTGGCACCGTCTTGTTGAAACCACATGTCAGCCAAGTCTAGCTCTTCCATTTTGGGCAAAAAAAAGTTTGTTATCATCGCACGGTAGCGCTAGCCATTCACAGTTACGTTCCGGCCATTGTCGTCTTTGAAGAAGTACGGCCCGATGATGCCATCGGCCCATAATCCACACCAAACAGTGATTTTTTCGGGATGCATTGGTAGGTCTTGCAATGCTTCTGGCTGGTCTTCACTCCAGGTGTGGCAATTTTGCTTGTTAACGTACCCATTCAACCGGAAATGAGCTTCGTCGCTGGACACAATTTTTCGATAAAAATGTGGATCTTCTTCCAACTTTGCCGTCGCCCATTCACCTTCAATTCTTGCATCAGCTGTATCTTATAAGGTTTTACACCCAAATCCTGTCGCAAAATTTCCCACGTAGTGGAGTAACAGAGGCCCAATTGCTGCGAACGGCGGCGAATCGACATTTCACAGTCATCACTAACACTGGCGGATACAGCCGCAATATTTTCTTCAGTCCTCACTCTACGTCCGCGTGTTGGTGGTTTAATGTCCAATAATGTAAACTGGGTTCTAAATTTAGTCACAAGCTTCCGAATAGCTCCCTCAGTAGGCCGACCAAATTGCCCATAAATTGGAAGCAGTGCTCGATGCACTCTCTTAACCGAGCATGAATTTTGATAGTAAAATTCAATAATTTGCAAGCGTTGTTCGTTCGTAAGTCGATTCATGGTTCAATTATAGACCAAACTGAACAAGTTTGACAATGACACAAGACACGATTCACGCGTCATCTGTCAAAAACAGTGTTGCCAAAAAGACACTAGCAAAAAAATCACCCATTATTTATCGAAAGTGATATTTCAAATCTGAAAATATTTTGCAAAAATAAAACAAATATGTTATTTCTAGGAACAGCAACCAAAGATAGATTAACCCTTTGACGCCGGAGTTAATTTTTTTTCGAATTTGCGAATTCTTTTCTTTTAATATAGGTAAATGTGAACAATATGTTATAACTTTACACATTTTATTTATTTTTTTTAATCCTGAAATGCTTTAGAATATGGTTTCATTATGAAACCACTAGGTAGTAAAAGAAACTAATGATTTTTTTAAACAAAATTTTATTTCAAGTAATAAAAGAAGACAAATCCGATATTTTCTATTTATCGTCTGTGATACGGAAGGAAACAATTTTTATTTGCGTTGAGGCATAATCCAACGTTGCATCTGAAAAAAAAAGTTTTTGCTAAAACTAAAAAGAAGATGAAGCATTACTTTCTTTACCTGGAACAAATCCATTTCGTCCGGTGTGGTGATGACGTAGAGCTGCAATAAGCACATCTTCTTGAACTTCCATCGATTGGCATGTGTGCACAAGAATCATATCGAATTTCCTGAGGCACATTGGCTTTGAAGGTATTTTGTTGCACTGATGATATCCGCCCTTTCTTTGGAATATTTTCGTCTGCTCCAATAAGTCCCAAGCATACTGCTAGCTTGAAATCCTTCAATGTCATACATTTGCCGGACTTAGTCGTAGTATTTCGGTTCTCGAAAATTATGTATGCATTCACTAGGGATATGTCAAGTAAATACCAAAAAATGCGCAGCCACCACTTTTTAGATTTTCGATCTAATTCATAAATTGACTTCAACATGTCTAGTTTATCTACATAACCCATGTGCTTATTATACTCCAAAACTAAACGAGGACAAGCAATATCCTGCACATCTTCATTCATGTGTTCATCTGAACTCATCTTTTCTAAGTTGGCAAAATAATATTTCTTGATCTGATCTGGAAAAAAAACACGGCATGCCTACTGGTTTCATAACGTAACCGAAGGTATTTTTGTATAAAAATATGAGCTAAATTTGGTCAAATTCAATCCCCAAATATTTTACAATCATGATCAACATCATATCATATAAATCATCTATTTACTTACCTCCCATTGTATATCTAACAGCGAAAAATCCCCTATTTATTTTGATCAACCACCTGTTTGCTGCAACAACGCACACTGAACGTTATCATTACGCTAGGAAACCAAATACAACCGACGCAACTGTCAAAGCCTATCAAATGGAGTCTCAAGGGCACATGACTGTATGAGGTTACGCACCAAGACCATTCGGCGATTAGAAATTAATTCTTATTCAGGTGGTTTCGTCGTGAAACCAGTAGGCGTCAAAGGGTTAAAAAAAGAAAGACAAAACTATTAATATCTCAAAAACAGTGAAACTTTTACTAGGGTCATTTTTTGGTATGTTGTAGGTCTGGCCTTCGCCTGTCGTTCCTATTTTTTTATCGTACTATTTACCGGACACCCTCTATATCCATCTTTCTCAAACATAAATATCAGACTTGGGTAGGATACCGAAATGCGGTATTCGGATACGAATACTGAATACTGTATTTTAAATTGTATTCGCAAACTCGAGTTTCGAATACAAAGGAAAAAAGTATTCGAATACCGCCCTTTTGAATACCTGGATTCATTTAAATATGAAGCGTAATGCAATATTCATTAGTACAGCCAAAGAGTATTCGAAAACGTGATTCGAATACTGCGATTCGAATACAAAGTGGGTATTCAAATACTGGGATGCGAAAATGGTATTCAGAATACCGAGTACTGACCAAAAAAGTATTCAGTCGAATACCGTATAGCGAACAGACAAATTTATTCGAATAGTATCCGAATACCAGCCAAATGTATTCTGAATAGGATTCTGAATACCGAGTATTCGAATACCACCCAAGTCTGTATACGAGTCCCATTCACTGAGATCTCTGACGTGGCACCTCGACGTTTTTTAGTTTAATACATTTACTTGCGTTTTCGAATGATTAATTTTGATCTGCCACCGATCCGCACACTCCAATACTTCCGCCACCGCACCCTGCAGTCTATGGTGAACCTAGGGCTACTAATGCATGTCATGTATATAAAGTGAATAATGAGGAACACCAGTGCTGTTGGCAAAACATTGTTAATTTTCATCTGAAACTTGAAAGGATTTCAACGGTTTCAGAAGCAACATGTTTGTTCCGTTTTCTTCCAGCTTTGGGTATCTTCTAGTGAAGTATATTAACGATTTTATAGACTAGCACCTGGACTATTTACTAATCTGTTGGAAGCCGTTGATCGTGACCGTGAATTTCTCGCACTTTTTTGTACGTTTTTTTTTCTAAAAGGTAATCTATAATACTTAGATGATCGCGCTTCTAATAATAAGTTCCTGTTCGTTGTAATTGTGTTTGCAATATAAAAAATCGTTCTATTAAATTTTTGTTGGGTGTATGTATTTTTAAAAGTATATTCTGTAATTTTAAATGAAAATTGTGATAAATGAGAACAACGTCGTTTATTAGAAGATGGTTGGTTGCATTTGGTGGTTGTAAAGTTTAATTACAGCGTTGGGTTTTTTACGCATGATATTATAATTTTTGGTGTTTTCTTTTGTGAAATTAGAAGAAAAAATCGCACTCTTAGGATGTTTCCTAAACATGAGGCGGAAACTTCTAGGATGCGTGTTGAAAAACATATTATTTGTCCCGTATTTTGGAAACTTTTTTATGCATTATTGTGTGAAAAAATTATTATTTCTAATCGTCTTAAATTGAATCTTATATATTTATGGAAATATTAGAAAAAACTAGATCTTAGTGTCATTTTTGCATAGCTCGAAAATTACTTATAATCATGTAAATAAAGTTTTTTTACCTCGCACATCTAAAGCTGATAGGATAGCATTAGCTTGGACTATGTTGAATGCATTTAAATACACAAATGTGTTTGTGGTATAAATAAAAAATAACATACGCTACTCAAACAATGGCATGGAAAAAAATCCTTTTATGCATTCAAAAAATGTACTTATATGCTTAAAATCATCATATGCGAAAAAATAAAATTTTCTTCGATAAATAATTATAAATTGATTTGTTAGTTCATTAGAATCCGCCCTATATACATAAAAAAACGTTCGAAATTCTAGGTTCCGTACCGCAGTATACATCATAAATTGATCCAAAAAAATCGTATCAGTATGTCCAGGGCGATAAGTAAAAAACAAAGAAAATATTCGTGTTTAGATTGTAGTGACTGATGTAATTGAATAAATACTATTTCGATGTGTGTATATAGCTTCTGCACTCTGTACGATTCAAGAATCTTTTTTTACTGAGATACTAACATAGACTATAGCGATAGCTCTAACCTTAAACGATATATAGTGTCAGTTGTTTGCAATAGCACTGTAAATAACAGAACTTCAGCGAATTGGTGGAAAAATATTCCTTCAAATTTGTCATACAGTAGAAAACAATTCTTAAGATATGAATAAAACTATAAGCTAACAAACGTTTATTTATTTAAATCTCAATACCCACCTAATTCTACCCTTAGTGGTGATAGTAACCTGGCAGCTTGGTCACCTCGTTCCTTTTTGATGACTTCGTAGCTGCAAACATTGAACCCTGGTTTTCTTTGGAATTTTCAATCGAACCTATACCTTATTTCACGAGTATCCATCACGCTTTGACGTCTACTTCTACTGAGGCGAACAGCTGATCAGCAAGTGACATGTTTGTGTTAGTCCGCAACGTTGGCAATAATGGATCGGGTATTAATCTAGTAAAACTTCTTTGTAGCGTTTTGTTTTTTATATGTCATTTGTAGAATGACAGCTGATTATCTAGTAATATCTCAAAATTCCCCATATCGGCACAGGACACATAATTCTGACGGATCCGTCAACGCCATGTAGACGGAGCCGAATTTTGTTTTGGTTTTTTGTCCGCTACAGATTAATTTTGAACAGCTCTTTTATTTAGAAAAGTTCATTTGCATACAAAAAACAAAACGCCACAAACAAGTTTTACTAGATCTACATCCGCACGGGTATCATGTAAAAAACCTACAAAACGTCAAAAAAACCTATAAGATGTCAACTTACAGAGTAGGTAGTTTTTAGGGCGCAAACAGTCATTCCACGTTTGCTCACTAGTATCGTTGTGAACGTCCATCTATGGAGGAATCACTCAACTAAACTACGCAATATTGGTTGCATAGTTTTGTGTGGCTGAGTGATCCGGGTCTTTAGTTTTTATCTCTGAGAAGAAAGTTGGTTGAATAGCAAGATCACATCTCTATGATTATGTGTATTGGTCTGCATGTGTATAAAATCAGTGATATTTACTGTGTGAGAAAATCAGTACTGAATATGACGGGTTATTTATATATTGTGCTTTCTGAAGAGAGGTTATGTTCAAAGTTATAAATTACGAAAAACTGAGGAGAATTACGGGAAATCATCACCGCGCCCGCGTTGGGTGTAATTACTGTTAGCATGTATATGGCTTGTAATTCGACAGTGTACAGTGATTATAATTATTTCTTCTCTCTCATTTTTTAAATTCAGCAAATTTGTATATGTAATTTCCAGAATGGATAAGAAAAAGTGGATGCGCAACTAATTTCTAGCTTTGACGCTCAATTAAGTGTATTTGAGACAGGAACCCAATGTAATTATCATCAACACATACAACTTACAGCTTAGACCTCCAGTAATGCCATCTCAGAAGCAGGTTTTACCTCACATCAATCCAAAGATTGATAACAAGCCTCATGACGTTTAGGCAACACGTACAACTAAGGCCCGTATCTTCAGTCGTCCCTACAATTATTGTAGGGCGCCTTTATGGCCTCCTTGATTGTCATAGTTTTCTACATCTCCCTGTCAGCGCTCTATTTTGAGGTTAACTCACAAACATCTATTTGCATCAAATTGTGCTTGCTTTTGAGTTATATCATGTTTTATCAGCCTGAAATTTCCTACAATTTAAAAAGAAAACATATCTGTAGAATATGAGAGCGCTGACGCTGACACGGGACAAGTGTAATCAAGAAATTTTTGAAGGAGGGAAACGAGTATGACAATCAAGAAGGCCATAAACGCGCCCTACAATTGTAGGGACGACTGACGATACGGGCCTAAGTGCTGAGTTGATATCTTGTAGATTGTAGAATAACCTACATGTCAAAAAAACAGCATAATGTCAAAAAAATCCGCATAATGTCACTTTTCAAGTTACTTGTTACCCCTGCTGATCCATTATTGTCAACGTTGCAGACTAACACAAAAATGTCACTTGCTGATTTTCTGTTCACCTCAGGAGACGTCAAAGCGTGATGGATACTGGTCAAATGACATTAAATTAATGTCATACCAGCTGAGCTATTTTATTGGCTATCAATTCATTGCTGATAAAAAGCTTAATCCATAGGCAACCGGTAATTATCGTGGTAAGAATACGATCAGCAGGAGCCACCTTTCCAGAGAACTAAATTTTCTCATGCCCAACCCATCCCAAAAAAGGATCTAAAACCGACCCTTACAACTACAGGCCTATAGCCCCTGGTTTCTGTAAGGTGATCGAGAGTCTACATTATCCATGCTGTTCGACTGAAGTGGCTAACACTTCTACATTAATCAAATTCAAGCGGATAACCAAATGGAAATGGTATTTACCATTTTGGGTTGGTATTTACCAATCCGTTCAAGCGAGTGTAGTTATCAGTTTGGTTATAAGATCCGTGACGTCACGAATCAGCTGTTATATGTCATAGTTATCACCGCAAAATTGTGGTATTTACCCAACTCAAGAGTAGTTTTATATTTCTGGTTATTATTTGAAATGTGACAAGTTAGAATTTTGCCGGGTATTGGATATTGTTATTGTACTTCAGCTTCATTTTTGAGAAAAATGATACAGGCTTTTACCATAAAGTGGAGCACCTTATTAGTTATACTCATTACGGTTGTTGGGGACACTTTAAATGTAGTTCCTATGCTTAACAAAGTATCCTGTGTAGCCATTTAAAACAAGAATAGGTTAAAATGGGCCATATAAACTCACTAGATGATATCCACCTGTATACGGTTTTGCTAATTTCTTTTTTCATCATTTCTGCTGAATCAATAAATGTTTTCTTTGACATGCGGAAAAATTTAGAGAATTGAAAGTTATCATAGCTACAAAGCCATGGTTCCATCATTAAAAAAAATCTGAAAAAACATTTCTCCCAAGAATATTATGAAAGGTTTCTTATTTAAACTTTCCATATACAGTTGTAGACGAAAAAGCACCGATTATTAAGTGATAATAAAAATAATCAGAGATTATATACGCGCTTTTCTAAAATAAACAACTTGCAACAAAACCGCGGTTAAAACCAACGCGTTCAAGCGATTCGTGTAACTGACGTCATCAACCCGTGTGTCATCTTGAACCATATTATAACCGCGGCAGATAACACTGAAATTTTGGTTATTCGCTTGGATTTGATTATTGTCAGACATAAAAGAAGACCTAATAGGGAATGCCATCGTGGAACCGTGGGAGACGAAAACGAGTAAAACTCGTTACGTACATTTTGGATATATCGTTTTGGGCACAATATCCTGATTTACAAGGCCGCTAAATTGCCATGTCCAATGGACGTATAAAAACAAGAAGAAAAATATTAACAATGGCCAAGTGGGCAGAAGTCCATTTTGGTACACGAACAAGTGATCCCACGTGTGTTCTACTTGTCCTTGCTTGTGTAATATCAGTAGGCTTACGCGACATGGCTTGCTTGATCGGTTTAGTTTTTGTTACAGATACCCATATCTGATACGCGTGATTCACTTTTGTTTTCACAATATTGCATATCAATTATTTATTCGACGATTATATTCTCGGGTTATTCCAGCTCGTAATTTGTTATCACCTATATTTTGTCAAATAGTTCGGAAAAAGAGTAAACCCCCTCTAGCCAGTATTTTGTTTTAAATTGCAATTGTATACCAAATATCTTCATTTACTCACTGATATTCAAACACAACCAAGCCTTACTCACGAATGTTTACTTAAGATAAATAAAAGATCATGTAAAAAGCTAATGCTATATGCAGAAAACGTACATGGTGTCCCACGTTGAACTGCAGCTAGTGGAAAGTTGACGTTAGAAAATTTCTGCTTATGGTATAACTGATAAATTACCAAGACATTGTTGGTTGTAGGGCCCTAAAATAGATATGGGATGACAGTTACAGGTTTTCAGAATGACTTCTATATTTTAGCTTATCAGTTATGCCATCGATTATACGGTGTAGGCAAGAAATACTAATATTAACTTTCGTAGTTGGTCATGATGGCGAGATTTTTAAGCATGGAACTTCAACAAACTGCAACGTATCCACAACACCAAGCACGGCACAACTTTGACTTGACTATCTTTGATGCCAGTAGAGGTATGTCTGATAATTTTTTTCTCTTGGTATCCTATCACGCGTTTTTCTAGCAGTGCAAGAGATTGGTGTAATCTCAGCACGTTCGTGTAGACTCATAAAAAAACGGGTAGATAAAAACCTTCATGTATGAATAATTGAAATCAATTCTTGGTTATGTTTTCTTGCGCCTTTTTTTCGTTGATTAATAGTTGACTTTTCAAATGTCAACATAGAACGTTTATGATTTTCCGAAAAGAAAAGCATCTCAACGTTGCCAAGAACCCGCAAGATTGAAAAAGTTACTTTTTTTGGTGCCTTCCCCATAAAAATGAAACCCAAATAATATATAAAGGTGTATTTCTTTGTTTAATTTTATTTTTATTATAAAAAATGACTCAAACTTTGCTTATAAAAAACCACATTTACAAAATAGTGCATAATAAGTCTCATATGTTACTTATCGAATTAATATTCCTTCCTCGAGTGAGAAACGTAGCAATTTTCACCATAATCCCGAAGAGTATCCTCCTGGGGGCACACGATTTGGTGTCTTCACGTTTTTCTTCTGAAATCCTTGAACCTCCATATCATCTTGAGCTAAAATGCTCCCTATCGTCGCAACCTTTGCTTTACTCGTCTTTGTGATCTCTACTTTCGATTCAACTTTGCATTCTTCTTTTTTGTTTACTATTTCTTCAATTACGTTCTCCTCTTTAACCTCCTCGTTTATTTTCAGCTCTTCCACTTTCAAATCTTCAACTTTCGTACTTTCTGAGTCTCCGTTCATGCCATTTTTCGAATCGTGACAATCCGTCGTAACTTCTTCAGCCTTACGTGTTGTGTCTTCAACATGTTCTACAGGCATTTCGATAATTTCTTTCAAGGGACTCTGGGGAGTTTCTTCGATAATTTTGGCGGCAGTTTCGACTTTTTTGACGTTGGTACCGAATATGTCCGAGGTCCCGCCGCCTGGGGGTTTCAAAATTCTGCTGCTATTTCTTTGGTCATGGAATCCTACGTAGACGTTCATTTTGGAAGATCTGCAACAAGACACATATTTCAGAACACTAGGATTTTAAAACATGTGAATTTCAGGAATTTAGCGGATGAAAAATGTGCCATGTTTGACATGAGAAACAAATTGTAGGTAGTCTTAAAAGATACAGATTGTGTACTCGCTTACACTTAGCAAACTTACAGGGTGTCCCAATATTCCGTGGGCATGAAGGTACCAAGTATGTTTACTCTAAATAAGAATAAATTCTCTAAATCCGCTAAATTGTCTTAATTCTTTAAATTCCTTAAGCTGTCTAAATTATCTAAATCCGCTATATTTTCTCAATTCTCTAAATCCGCTATAAACTCTAAATTCTATCAATTCTCTCAATCCTCTAAACCCGCTAGTCACTAAATTTTCTAAAATCTCTAAATTCTCTAAACTCTGGCATCTCAAAAATCTATATTTTCTCTAAATCCCATAAATTCTTTGAATTCTATGAATTCTCTAAATCCGCTAAATTCTCTACATTCACTAAATTATCTAAAGTCTTTAAATTGTCTAAATTCGCTATATTCTCTTAATTCTCTAAACTCTTTAAAAACTCCAAAGACTCTCAAATCTCTAAATCCGCTAAATTCTCTAAATTTTGTAAATTCTCTAAAATTTCTAAATCCAATAAATTCACTATATTCTCTAGATTATCTAAATTCTCTAAACTCTGGAATCCCAAAAATCTATATATTCTCTAAATCCCATAAATTCTTTGAATTCTATGAATTCTCTAAATCCGCTAAATTCTCTTAAGTCTCTACATTCACTAAATTAACTAAATTCCCTAAATTCTTTAAACTGTCTAAATTATCTAAATCCGCCATATTCTCTAAATTCTTTAAATCTCTAAATTCCCTAAATTCTCTAATTCCTCTAAAGGCTCTAAATCCGCTAAATTCTCCAAATTTGATAAATCTTCTGGATTATCTAAATTCTCTATAATCTCTAAAATCTATATTTTCTAAATCCGCTAAATTCTCTAAAGCCTCTACATTCCCTAAATTATCTAAATTCTTTAAATTGTCTAAATTCTCTAAATCCGCTATATTCTCTTAATTCTCTAAACTCTTGAAAAACTCCAAATTCTCTCAAATCTCTAAATCCCCTAATTTCTCTAAATTTTGTAAATTCTCTAAAATTTCTAAATCCGCTAAATTCACTATATTCTCTAGATTATCTAAATTCTCTAAACTGTGGAATCTCAAAAATCTATAAATTCTCTAAATCCCATAAATTCTTTGAATTCTCTAAATCCGCTAAATTCTCTAAAGTCTCTACATTCACTAAATTATCTAAATTCTTTAAATTGTCTAAATTATCGAAATCCGCCATAGTCTCTAAATTCTTTAAGAACTCTCTCTCAAATCTCTAAATCCTGTAAACTCGCTAGTCACTAAATTTTATAAAATCTCTAAATTCCCTAAATTCTCTAAAGTCTCTACATTCACTAAATTATCTAAATTCTTTAAATACCCTAAATTCTTTAAATTGTTTAATTTCTACTGTAAATTCTCTAAATCCGCTATATTCTCTAAAGCCTCTACATTCACTAAATTATCTAAATTCTTTAAATTGTCTAAATTCTCTAAATCCGCTATATTCTCTTAAATTTTCTAAACTCTTTAAAAACTCCAAATTCTCTCAAATCTCTAATTCCGCTAAAATGTCTAAATTTTGTAAATTCTCTAAAATTTCTAAATCCGCTAAATTCACTATATTCTCTAGATTATCTAAATTCTCTAAACTCTGGAATTTCAAAAATCTATATATTCTCTAAATCCCATAAATTCTTTGAATTATCTAAATCCGCTAAATTCTCTAAAGTCTCTACATTCACTAAGTTATCTAAATTCTTTAAATTCCCTAAATTCTTTAAATTGTTTAATTTCTACTGTAAATTCTCTAAATCCGCTAAATTCTCTAAAGCCTCTACATTCACTAAATTATCTAAATTCTTTAAATTGTCTAAATTCTCTAAATCCGCTATATTCTCTTAAATTTTCTAAACTCTTTAAAAACTCCAAATTCTCTCAAATCTCTAATTCCGCTAATTTCTCTAAATTTTGTAAATTCTCTAAAATTTCTAAATCCGCTAAATTCACTATATTCTCTAGATTATCTAAATTCTCTAAACTCTGGAATCTCAAAAATCTATATATTCTCTAAATCCCATAAATTCTTTGAATTCTCTAAAACCGCTAAATTCTCTAAAGTCTCTACATTCACTAAATTATCTAAATTCTTTAACACATTGACTGCGAACTGGGATGAGGATACCCACCTCAGAAACTGAAATACTTTTTTCCTTTTTTTGGAAGCCGGCAGAGAGCGTCGGAAGACGCCGTTCGCCTCCCACCACAGGAGCTGTTCGCACTGAACGTGTTAAATTCTTTAAATTGTCTAATTTCTACTGTAAATTCTCTAAATCCGCTATATTCTCTAAATTCTTTAAAAACTCTCTCAAATCTCTAAATAAGCCAAATTCTCTGAATCCGCTAAATTGTATAAATTCCCTAAATTCTCAAAATTCCCTAAATTCTCCAAATCCGCTAAAAACTCTAAATTCTATCAATTCTCTAAAGTGTCTAAGTTCTATAGATTTTTTAAATCCGCTAAATTCTCTAAATTTTCTAACATCTCTAAATTCCCTAAATACTCAAAATCCTTCTCTAGTCTCCAAATTCGCTAAATTTACTATATAGCTAGATTATCTAAATTCTCCAAAACCTTTAAATTCTCTAGAATCTTAAAAATCTGCAATATTCTCTGAATCCGCTAAATTCTTTAAATTCTTTGATTTCTCTGAATCCGCTAAATTCTCTCAAGTCTCTACAATCACTAAATTATCTAAATTCGGTCCCATAGTTCATTGGCGTTGCCTATATGAACCTCGTACACCTTTGATTTTATGCTCCTCATATAAAAAACTCGCAAAGATCAAGATCCGGGAAACGAGGTGGACACTGAATAGGAGCTTCTTGACCTCTACCAGTCCACGTATCATCAAATTTATTACAGCACGTTCAATTCACAATTTTTTGACGATCACGTTCGAATTCAGCGTCTCAAATTATCCATTATACCTTTTTGTTACTCTTTAAGTCATCCGATCATACCCATAAAGAGATCAGGGGCGTTCTTAGTTAAAATGAAAGTCGGACTTAATACGAAAATGATATTTTTTGGCACAAACATGCCTTCCAACGCTTATACCAGTAATTAACAAAAGCTCTTTAATTAATCCATAAATGCAGCAGTGCTCTAAATATGTCTAATCGTTCAATCTAGTTTGATTCATAATAGCATAATATCGCATAAGTTATGGCTCACACTTTTTCTAGATAACAGTCTAGCGCACATGGCTTATTAACACAATAATAGGACAAAGACATTTTATTTATGGAACTTCAATTGTTAATTGTTTCCGACTGCAAATGATTAAGACTTTCGAGAAATAAAAACTAAAAAGATATCCCCAGTGAATAGCAATTGATGCATACAATACAATAGACGTCAGTTGAAATAACTCGATGCAGACGATGAAAATGATTAATTTTTAAAAAGGTCTGTCTGCAATACCTATTATGAGAGTAGCAGTGTAATTGTTGTAATATACTTTTATTTTCAATGATGGGAAGTTCAGTTTACGTATGAAACGTGCTTTTTCTGTAATAGTGTAATAGGTAATGTTTATAGGGAACTCATGTTCTAAGTAAAACGTTGCATCAACTAATAATGTTTAGCTAATCTTATGGTATCGTTGACCTGTGTATAATACCCAGAAATGTCGCAATAAAGGATGTCCCAAATTAAAATCAGGGAATATTTGAATTGAATATGAAACTGTCTGTTTTTATACGTTAATCTGTACTTCAATCGGAGGATTGTATGAAGAGCAAACTGGTTGAATACCACCTTCCTCTTTTTTACTTGTATATCAACCTCGTAATTGAATCAATAAAGACACATAATAACAATCCAGATATGGACTCGGAAACAGTGTGCCATTTTTTTAAAATTCAAGGATTCGTATATACATAAATGTATTTTGTTGATTATTTATTTACATTTTATCTTAAAAATAGGAAAATGAATCTTAAGCGTTTGTCGATTCAGGTCGCCTTAAAAATACTGAAGCATGCACGGAATTATTTTTTCCGTTGAAAGAATAAAATTTTACGTACTTTCTTCGTGAAGGGGAAAACCACACTTATGCTTTAAGGGGTAAACAGCTATTCTTTGAAAACTAACAATTCAACAGGGATAGAAAGATCCATAAAAGTTATATTGTTTTCACTGATTGAAAAACAAAGATACGAAAAAGCTAGTTGCCAAGAGCATTCATTTCAGTATTTTCTTTTTGCCCGCCATTTCGAAATCCTGAACAGAAATTCGCCAAAAAACCTAAAACGTGAAAATTAGAGACGCTGTCAACGTGGCAAATGAAGGTTTAATGTTTTACGTTCTGTTGTCCATTTACGATTTCAAAAACATCCTATTATTAATTATGTAAATTAATACCATTAGATTCCTTTTTATGGACACTCGTACATTGAAAAAAAGAAATGCAATGAAAATCTGCCTTAAGCAACGTTCGGAAATACTTCAAAATATTCAAAAAACGAGACCAATCGGAATGAGTGTTATCTTCGGTTGATATTTTTCATTTATTTACACAAAGAAAAGGAAAGAAAGAAAGTGTTAATAAGCGTTGCTTTGTTATGGTAACCAGTGCGTTATCATACCAACGGATATTTCGTACTTCCTCAGATAATTTATATCAGCTTGTTTTGATTACGTTTATATAGTAACTGTAGACACGTACACAAACAAGAAATACTTTCATATTCTGACTAATATGAATCCGACTAAATCGCTGTATGACAGCGATTCTTCAACAATAAAGGGTTGTCCAATAGGGACGCAGGAAAGTAAACGTCAATTTGACATAGACGCCATCTTTGTTTTCTGTCACCGACATGTCATTTTGTTAGTTGAATGTTTACCATTGATCGCTATGGAGTCGTATTCGATTGAAGACCGCATTAAAGTTATTCAAGAGCACTACAAAAATGGTGCCAAAATAAAAAACACGTTTCGCGCGCTTCGTGAACATTTCGGTCGCAACAACCGCCCAAACGAAACAACCATCGGTCGTCTGGTGCGTAAATTCGAGGCAACAGGTTCTGTGGCAAATCTGCCAGGCTCTGGCCGGCCAAGGAGCGTTCGCGCACCGGAAAATATTGCTGTTGTGAAGGAGAGTGTGAGAGACGATCCGAAACAATCAACAACGCGTCGATCCCAAGAATTGGGCATTTCGAGAACCAGTTTGCTCCGCATTCTCCACAAGGATTTGAGCTTACACGCCTACAAGATCCAATTGACGCAAGAGCTGCGTCGGGCCGACCATTTTTCGCGCCGAACGTTCTCAGATTGCCTCCTTGAACACCGCCAAATTGATGCCAATTTTTCATCAAAAGCGACGAAGCGCATTTCACTTTGAATGGGACGGGAAACAAGCAAAACTGCCGCATCTGGGCGAACGAAAATCCCCGTGAGTATCAAGAGCAGCCGATGCATCCTCAAAAAGTGACTGTGTGGTGTGCATGGTGGTCAGGTCAGGCATCATCGGACCTTACTTTTTCGAAAATGCAGCCGGGGACGCCGTTACCGTCAATTCTGAGCGATATCACGTGATGATAGAGGACTATTTTTTGCCGCAACTTGAAGGAATGGATATGGACGATGTTTATTTCCAACAAGACGGTGCAACATGCCACACAACCAACGTCAATATCCATCGATTGCAGTCCTTCGGTGATCGCGTGATTTCGCGCAGAGGAAATGTGCCATGGCCACCAAGATCGTGCGATTTGACTCCCTTGGACTTCTTTTTATGGGGATATTTGAAAAGCAAAGTCTACGTCAACAAACCAGCCACCCTCCAAGAACTCAAAAACAACATCATTGCCGATATAAATGCCATAGAACCGACCATGTTGCAAAATGTCATTGAAAATTTCGACCATCGCGTGATCGTCTGTAAATCCGGTCGTGGTGAACATTTGAGCGATATTATTTTTCATACATAAATGGTATAAATGAAACTTCAAAATAAAGTACCCAACTTGATTTGAATATCAATCTTTCTTGTTTTGGACAACCCCATATTATTTTAATACGGCTCCATGTAAAAAATCTATTTTATAGTATTTTTGTACCGCAAAATTCCACTTGATTATATTTTTTATGTATAATTATCTTCAGTCGTCTACACTGAATTAAAATCTAGTATTTCTGAATCACTTGGTGAAAGTCCAAAATGTTCAAATTTCGCGAGCCTTATAGACTAATATTTATAGACCCCCTAAAAACTTTTTATTGTGTTTAGAACAGTGGTTACAAATAAGAAGCAAACATAAAAATCTAAGTGCTCTGGAGAGCAGTAAAGTTCTACCATAAAATTCGCAACAAATGATTCCATTGCTTGACAGAAATAGCAGCAGAGTGTGTCTCGATGAGAACGCCGTTTGGCCTTCGCATCTTTGACTAGCTATAAATACCATGAGAGACGTACATTTAAGTTTTTGTGTTATTAACCCCAAAGTATGTGTATAGATTTTGGATAACGGTTCTGGTGACACACAGACCAGTATTTATTACAAATATGTATATGTAATACTGGAAAAGTCATTATTTATACGAAAACATCGTAGTTAGACCAATAAACATTATTATTATTATTACTAATAATAAATCCAGACAGGCCGATAAATAACATCCAAAAAACAATATCTCATTTTTGATTATTTCGCGATTATAAAATATTTCCTCGCCAGAAAACACAAAATAATATCAAGTTTTCTTTGGAAACAAAAGTTTGTTTCTTTCTTTTCTGTCAGTTGACATTTATTTATTTTGAAGTTTTCGCTTCAAGATTTCGTATAAATTTTGTACCAAAACTTTTAGGACATACATACTCCAGAGGTATATTACCACAAACATACACGCAATTAACTAATGGTAATTTACCTGATACAGTAACCCTTAACACACACTTCCCGACGAAACTTCAACTGCTTATAGCGATGTGCAATAAACCGAACCAAAAGCTTACTCGTATGACTCAGCTGGCCAAGCGCAAAAAGAATTGCAACAGAGGTTAAACGAAACCACGTGAACGTACAGTTAAACTAACCAAATACGGCATGCCCGCTCACCATAAACTATGCTTCTCGTGGACACAGACAAAGAATTGGCAGGTAAAGGTTACCTGGCGCCGCTCAAAATGGATATATCACGTGCAGCGGGCAGGACAGACGGACTGCTGTAAACATATGGGGTCGACCCCAGGCCAGTGTCCATGCTGTGGGGTGGAAGTTCGTTTCAAAGAACACGCTGCGACATTCCCTACGGTTCCGATTAATACGGGGTAGCACAAGGCTAATATTTTTTTAGTATTATTTTAGGACCTTTGTCGTTTTCGCTGTATATGTCAGATTTGAAAATTTTGCAGTACACATCAATATGCTGATGATTCACAACTGTATTACTCTTTCAAACTTGATGAAGCTCATATTGCCTGCATGGATTTGAGTATTTATCTAGATATGTACGAGCCTTGTATTAAATGAAAATAAAACTGAAATGCTATGTTTTTTGATCAAGACCGTGTGAGGTTACTGACAACCAGAATTTTAGAATCTGTATTAATAAAACTGTATTACAAGCAAGCAACCAATGAAAAACTCAACTTTGAAATATTTGATATATTATATCATCACCCCCTAAAGCATTAGCTGTGTTATCTTGAACACAAAATTCGTAATTACAATTTGAATTCCACTTTTGTCTAAACTGCCCGACCACTCTCACATTCGCCCTATAGAGTTAATCTACTTGACGACATTTTTTGATAATACTGATGTAGATGAGCTATTTTAATCGTGATGGAATTTGGCCTAAAAACATAACACTTCTCTCACCAGTTTTATTAGTACTAGACTATTCAGCCTTTCATGAGACACCCTGTTATTTGTATCGATGCAACAATGACGAATATGTAGGGGTATATCAGCTAATAACAGATTACTGAGAATGCATTATTATAGGTCATAAAACATTTATATCGACTTTTGTAGATATTGGTTGTAAAACTCGTCAAATATAATAGAAAAGTGATCGAGAAATTGTTTTACGTGGAATGAAAAACAGCTGACCAAAACGAGCAAAACTATTTTATTTTTATAACATCTGAAACGTTCATAACAGAGCTTTTAACATACGCTGGCGTTTTTTGAACGAGTTTTCGGGAAGTTTTCAGGTGATGATATATAAATTTTTTTATGACTCATTCCCAAGAAAGTATAATTTTTCATCCATAAAATAGTAGTTCAAAGATTTCCTCAAAATACGAATCAAGGTATGTTTAGATTTACTGACAGTCAATGGTTGGACCGAGTATCAATTTTTTGTGATGAATCAAGCGCCGAGAAAACGTAGTTAAATTCCAAATTTTTCATGATCCCCAATCCGTGCGAAACGTATATCTATCACAAGCTAATATAAAACCTTCAGGTGCTTTGCTTTTTATTTTACATTTCATGAATAAAGTTTTTATTATTGCTAAGTTTATAAGCGTCATTTGAAATACTAGACTTCGAGAAAAGACGAGAATTCTTTCATTTTCGTTTTTCCTTTCACAATAACCTACTTTGCCAAAACACATTAAACTGCTTTGGAACCAGCTCTCATTCTTATTGAAAATACGAGAAATTATCAGCCGACTGTGACAAAAATCTAGTGACTGATCAATTTCGAGTAACAGCGAAGCCATGATTTCACATTGACAGGCCCATAGCCTACTTAAAGAAAGTTAAAAATCTCGATCCTTTCGACCAGCGACATTGAATGTTCGACAAATAATTCATAATTTCACAGCCTACTTCAAATTCTTTATGGATAATTCAGAGATAAGAGACTTTGTCATTGACCCATAGCCTACTTAGAAAAATTCAAAATCCCGGTATACGGATCGATTCCTTGCAAGAAATCAAGTTTGCCAGCATGCAGTTTCACGGCCTACTTTGACGAATTGAAAAATCTGGATAATTCTGAACCAAGAGGTGCGGTTACAGGTTAAAAGATGCGACGGTGCTGTTTCAAAATCCATTCAAACGTTTAACACCGATAGGAAAAGGCGCATGTAAGGACATTGACTCACCGGCTGGCTAGCCTGCTATTGGTGGACGGATACTTCGAATGCCTTCAGAATGAATGGATGCCGGAACCGCGGACTGAAAATAACCAACTTCGCTTGACTGAAGTGTGAGACTGATGCACGGCTATCTCGCGTGCCGAATGCAAACTTCTTCGTGCAGACTGTAGACGCATCAAGGAGTGGTGGAGATGTGGATGTGTGCGTGGACCGTTTGGTCTTGGTCTTTCTTTCGCCGACTTACGCCTTTGTGTAGCCTAAAGGGGTACATACACCGCCAGATTTTAGCGTACGGCGAGAACCGGATTGACTGACGCTTTGAGTTCAGTGTTACACGAGTTCCTTGAACTATGATGGTTGTTCAAAGTATGCGTTAATTTTTTTATTTTGGGCGAGGGCGAATTCGTATTATTGTCCGTGAGTCGTTCAGAACGCCTAGCGCGTTACAGGGCCGTACTAAGAAGTGATTTGTGGTTTTACGACTCGATCGAGAAGTATGCAAAATCATTGCAGGCATGTACAGAGTCCAAACGTACAATTTGGAATTCATATTTTTTCAAAATGTAACTTTCTTGACGAAAAAACTCAGACCTGTCGATTTTTGATTTAATACGAGAAGTAACATCAATAAAATTCTGAGAGAAGAGGTAAACAGCCCAGTATATATGTAGTAAGTTTATTTCTATAAGAAAAAATTACATACCGTGTTGCGATCCAGGTCACCGAAAACTTTGAGGTAAAATATTCTTACTATAATGTACAGACAGTGGCGGCTCTACCATAAGGCCGCATGGCCGCGCGCCCCCCCAGATAAAATGCCGTTAAAAAAGCATTGAATAAAACCATTTTTATTTTTTTTTCTAATTAGCTAACATTTTATTGAACATACTATATATTAAACGTCGCCCTAATTATTTTGTAAGAAATCAGTCGATTTTATCCTTATTTGCCCGGACTATACGGGCCGCATCGAACCTCGCGGCCGCACGTCGGTGTTTTCGAGCGCTTTCGATACGACTCGGTTAGAGTCGAGGTACAGTATTAATAGCTATGCTAGGGCGCATTATTTTTGCGGCCTCGCTGCGTCTCGCATAGCTAGCTCCATTTGTTGTTTACTATTGAATATTGATTACGCGCTGCATTTTTAGTGTCGGGTTTTGTTTTATTGCAGAATAAAGTAGCAAATGATAATGAATAGTGTCAGTAACATTTTAAAAAATGATTTTACAGACGCGTCCCTTCAGAATAAATTAGAAATTAAGCAATTGGGCAGACCTTTGCCGGATTTAAAGTTAACGCAAGTGAGTGAACGGAAGGCAGAAAAAAGAAGTTTTACCTGTCATTTTTCTAAAGATACATATAAAAAAAATAATTGGATATGTGGATGTGAGGAGACAAATTTATTGTACTGTTTCCCCTGTTTATTATTTTATAATGCCGCGTCAGGTATGGACTCTAGTTGGTCAAGGACGGGAATCAAAGACCTGCATCATCTTCCTGAAAAGATTAGAAAGCATTAGGCTTCCCGAAGACACATTAATTCGTGCACGGCGCTTGCAGTTCTTGATAAGACAAATATAGCATCACAAATAAGTTCTGCTTATAGACAAAGTATAGTTGAACATAACGAAAAAGTGAGAAAAAATCGGCTCATTTTGAAACGGATTATAAGCTGTGTCAAATTTTGCAGTGCCTTTGAATTGGCACTTAGAGGTCACAATGAGACTGAAGAGTCTTTGAATCGAGGAATATTTAGAGAATTAGTTGATTTTACCGCTGAGTTAGATGAGGCCCTTAAAAATCATTTAAAAAATGCCACGGTATTCAAGGGAACTTCTAAAAGCATTCAAAATGACATATTAGATAGCATGCTACAAGTTTGTAGAGAAGAAATTTTGCAGCAAATTAAAAACGCAAATTTCCTGTCAGTTCAATGCGATGAAACGACCGACATATCAAATCAGTGCCAAATGGTTTTAATATTCAGATATTTCCACGAAGGCGGCATACAAGAACTTTTTTGGAGTTTTTTGAGAGTTAAAGATAAGACATCAGTAGGTTTAAAAACTTGCATAGAAAACTGAAATTGATCCGTTTCTTTTACAAAGTCCTGAAAAGTTGATAGCACAAACATATGATGGTGCGAATGTCATGAGTGGTTCTGTCGGTGGGGTTCAAGTTGACATTAAAGAAAAATATCCTAATGCACATTTCATACATTGTTATGTCCATCAGCTAAACCTTATTATGCAAAAAAGTGCATCACAAAATTCAAAAGTACGTGTGTTTTTTAATAATTTGTCGGCCATACCAGCTTTTTTTTTCGAACTCTACCCATCGATGTGATGTTTTAGAAGAAATTATAAATAAGAAAATCCCCACAGTAGCTGCTACTAGATGGAACTATAACATTCGTACAGTTTACTTTGTCTATGAACATCGTGAGAAACTCATAGAGGTGTTTGAAGAAATAGAAGAGAGATGTAATAGAGGTGTTACTTTAAATGAAGCTTCAAGTTTGAGAAGAGCGTTAGAAGATCAAGAATTCTTGTTTGGGTTGACAGTATTCCATAAAATATTTCCGCATGTTGACATCCTTTATAACCAGCTGCAGTCAAGAAATCAAGATAGTGTTCAATTACAAAAGGACTTAGTAATTTTTGAAAAGAGTACCGACAATATAAGAGGTCAAATTGATGATATTAAAAAATATACCGAAACAAAGTTTGAATCTAATAAAAGAAGAAGAACTGACGACAGTATACGAGGGGTCATTGCCAAAGAAGTGTGCAACATAATAACAATGCAAGTAAAAGATAGATTTTTCTTTCGAGGTCATTTACAGGCAGCCGAATTGTTTAATACAGAGGCATAACATTTTTTGAATTAGATTTTGCGCCCCCCAAACTCAAATACCACGAGCCGCCACTGTGTACAGATGATATAAATCAAAAGCATGAACAATTTGATGCAAATATGATACATATTCTTGACATAACCTCAAAATTAGATGAGGCACTGATAATTAATTGGTGTACGGACACCTTTAGTGAGCCCACGGCTTCGCCACTTCGTTGCTAAGCGGTCGAGCTTATGGTTGTATTCGGTTTCTTTTTCTTTTGTTTTATAGTACGGTAAAAGAGTGCCATATGACTATCTACAAGAAATGAATGCATTAAAATTATCTAGATGCTTTTATGGGCATAACACTTCTTGAGCAGAATATTATATAGGATACTGAACTCAGGCAAAAGAAAAATATAATCTTCAGTTCTTGTGGATATCGTTCAACCACTTAGCAGATTACACATTTGATTCTACAC